AGTTTAATGTGGGAGGAAATCCCGAAGTGATGCAGGTCTCAGACATTTACCACTTCGGTGAAACCCACGAGCACAGGTATGGTGCTGCCAAACCTAGAAACATAATCGTGGCGAACCGGGATTCGAACCCACAATCATAGGTTTCTGGCATGCCCAAGGGACATAACTCTGCACAGCGCCTTAGACGACTAGGCCACCCGTGCCCCCGAAATCAGTACATGAAAAAATACAAGTGGCAACTTGATAAAGAGTTTTCACATGTTGCTTGTATTTTCTTATATATTTTAATTTTGTTTTAAAGTTTTATATATTCCAATTTTGTGTTATTGTCGTTGCAGCTTTTACTATTATTTCAAATAAAAATAACCATTAACAAAGCACTTTGGTACAGCTGATTGCTATAGCTGGATATATTTTACATATGGAAAGGTTTGACCATTCCAGAGCTCCAGATACTTTTTGAGCGATTGAGTTTTACTCTTGGGTTTCTACTTTAATTGGGTTATTACATTTTTCATTGAGTAACCAATATTTTTTCACTCATCTATTCATCACTCTTTTGGGTATTCCCAAAAAAGAGTAAAAATTTTGAATTTTTTTTAAAAAGATGAAATGTTTTAGATGTACATAACCATGGTAACTGTTCTAAATATATAGGCTTGATTCGGAAAGTAAATTATCTCATAATTCTGTTCGGAAATTAACTCCTTTGTACGCATGCTGAAAAAGCTTCATTGGGTTTATTTAGCGTGCTGTTTTTATATATTTGAGTTTTTCATTTAATGCATGCGTTTCTGTACACAAGTTGATTGAAATATTTGGGTTTTGAATATTTTGGGGGGTTATTTTACGCAAATACGCTTATGTGAAGCTCTGCCATTCACACTGGAGGCTTCCTGCGGTCTAGCCTTTCCAACGTGAAAACATTATGTTGTTGATATAAAATAGTCAACTACAATAAATATGACTTTTAACGAGTCAATTTAAGGCATTTATGATATATGTATCCATTCTCTATCACCTGAGGTTTGTTTCAAGGTGCCAATAGTGATAATCTGAAAGTGGTTGCTGTTAATAACGGTGACTTCGTACAGTTCACACACTACTTTGCGAATTAATGTAAACAATATTGAATGAAATTTCTAACAAAATAATAATAAGATAACTTACAACCATAATCAATATAATAAATATACAACAAACAATTTTAACTACCAGATATATCATATTAGTGTAATAACAGGACATAACTGAGTAAATCAGTACGGATTTGTTGACATGGTATTTCTTGTGTCAGGTGCCCACTGTAATATCTTTGTGTTCGGGGAAGAAACATCAATAGCATCTACACAGCCATAATTGTTTGAAAAAAGTGCACACTAACCAATACTTTGACAACAGTGCACACACAAGATTTTGCCTAAACTTTATTTAAAAGATTTTGCACGCTCTGGTGAAAAACCTACCACAAACACTGCCTTTAAATAGTTTTCACACTTATTCTTTCAGAACTTCCTTGTCTTTCAGTGAATGTACATGTTATGCTACAATTCAAGTAATATCCAGTTTCAAATTGAGCTGAAGTGCTTCCTTGTCATGCTGATAAGTTATCCTGCTCTTGTGGCCATGTTGGTGGAGCAGCGTAGATCATCCTTCCTTGACAGTTCCTGGCGTCTTAATTATCTTGTGTCAATACTTCATTATAAGATAAATGATAACTGGCATATTTTCCTGATTTATGTGTTATCAATCACAATGGCCATGATGACTTTAAGGATTGTCACTGTGTCCTAGATGTGTGTACTTGATCATGATTATGTTGGTATTCACTTTTTGATCTATTGGGTTTTCAAAACATCTTCATGTTCACAAGGGCGGTGGGGTAGCCTGGTGCTTAAAGTGATTGCTCGTCATGCCGATACCTGGATTTGATTCCCCACATGGGTACAATGTGTGAAGCTCATTTCTGGTGTCCCTCACCATGGCATTGCTGGAATATTGCCAAAAGCCTCGTAAAACACAACCTTCCCAAAACATGGATATCAACAACCTTAGAAATTTGGGGTGTTGTAACCTTATTTCACCAGTCCTCCGAGTTTGTAGCTAGAGAAATATGTTTACATTTTCGGTCATTTTTATGCAGTACAAGTTCATGGTTTGCAGCAAAATAGAAGCAACGAGGCTGGTTCAGAATTCTAGCCCCCAAATGCTACTAGTACGAGTCAATGAGGACTACCATCACTGAATTTTTATTTGTCAGGCACAATTTAGTAGTCTCGGGTTAGCGGACTAGCGTGAATTTTGAAGGCTGTATCAACACCAAGTCATCTAAGTATAATAGTTTACATAACAGTACCATGTTGCCAATATAAACAGTAAAATCAATGTTCAAGAAACTAAAACCAGATTATTTTCAACTACGCTGGTAACCATTGTAACAATGATGGGTCCAGGTAAAGTTGGAAATAACCCTTGATAGACATTAGACTATACAACATGGTTGGGAGTTGCATCAGTCAGCCTGTTTCTAAAGATGTAACAGCCTGAAGCATGATCATCAAAATGAGATAAATGACCCTAGCTAGGCACCCAGTCGTTTACAACAACAAAAAATGAATGTAATGATGTATCATCAGTGCTCATATATCATTGAAATATGTCATCAACTCGTTAATATTGTTTTTTTAACCATAAGCATCATAACAGTGAACTACAAGACATCAATGTCATAAAAGGATTTTGTTGTGTAACATGCTCGTGCTGTCCATTCTGTCCGCCATGTTTACATGTTAGCCCAAATCATTAACATGATTGGAAGGCTGTATTTATGTTGTTATCATGTGTCCCTATTCCCCTGACCATGCTCATTATTCCAAGTGATGGATAACATATTTATTTTTTCCCACTGATCATTTGATATTGATGTTCCAATTAATCATGTTAATGGATTTCATTACTGATTGAATGGATTCTAACGAAGGAATCGATCATAAACATGATATCTGTGATCCATTACTTTCTAATCATATTCATCCTTACCATGGAAACATGTTTACATTTGTGGTAGATAGTTAAAATGTGTACAACCTATGAGACATTAACACACAAAAGTCTCCATACAAACAAGGTTTCTATGAGGCTGTCATAATGCCTAGTAGATCATCCTAATAATGATAAACATCATGTATGTTTTTGCGCAGCAGAAAGCAATAAAATTATATTTAGTTTGCAATCTTGTTTATATGTATTCAGAGAAATTCATGTGAACATGATGAAAAATGCTGGGAATGAATGTTCCAACTTCCAAACCTATGATTCTCATTCATGAGTCATCATTAATATGATTAGACCCTTGTAGATCCGGGTTAGAATATATCTTCAGCAACCCATGCTTGCCGTAAAAGGCGACTATGGTGTCGTAAGAAGCGACTAACAGGATCGGGTGGTCAGGCTCACTGACTTAGTTGATGCATGTCATCGATCCAAATTGCGTGGATCGATGCTCATGTTATCAATCACTGGATTGTCTGGTCCAGACTCGATTATTTACAGACCACCGTCATATAGCTGGAATATTGCTGAGTGCAGCGATAAATAACAAATAAACAAAGAAACAAACATTAACATGATTAAAATTATGAATCAATCACAAATGATTACCTAACACTTATCCATGGAGCCTGGAAAATTTCCTTTGTCACATTTTCCAATAATTCCATCAATTTGTCAAAATAGAAAATAAGATAAGATTCAAATATTTTCTCAAGCTTGCAAGCATGTTATAACAATATTGACCATGTCAACATGGCTGTCATGCTTGATATTGATGAAATTGCTAGAACATATCAGACATGCTTGCCATAAGAGTTGAGTATGTGAGTTGGGTTTCACTTGGGTTGAACAGTAATGTATTCATGTCACTTCATGGTGTGTCAGCTGAATGTTTGAAGAAAGCCCAAAGTGATGCAGGTTTCACACACTGACCACTTTGGAGAAACCCATGCACACGAATATGGTCCTGACGAACCTATAAATATAATCAGGGCGAACTGGAATTCGAACCCATGATCATAGGTTCCTGTTGTACGCAAGGGATGCAACTCTGTACAGCGAACTGTGGTGCCCTAAATGACTGTCACCCATGTCCCCTCATAAAGGTTGACATAAATAGAGATGAAATGATGATAAGTAAACAGTACTCTCATCTAAGAAATTAATATGCATCCATATTACACAGACTATCTGACAACTGAACACTTTATCTACCTTATGAATTGAGCAACATTATTGTTCTGTGGGTTGATAGTCTTTATTCCTGTATAAAATTTCTGTTAAATAGGGATCAGATTGTTGTGGTTAGCAGGTCCTTGTAGACAGGCCACATGGGAAGCTGATCGTGGAATCAACCTCTGGTTTGCCTGGTTTTACAGGCCACCATGAAATGGCTGCAATACAGCTGTCCGCTCAGTAAAACAACATTCACTCACTGGAGACCTGATCTTACTGAGGTGAGGTGAGGTGAGGTGAGGTGAGGTGAGGTGAGGTGAGGTGAGGTGAGGTGAGGTGAAATTGGGTTTCACATCGCATCCAAGATTGTTGCACTTATATAGCAACATGCATGCGTGCGTTCTTGTCTGCTTGTACTAGTCTGGACTGATGCCGATTAATAGTGCTAGCTCACTGAGATACCATGCCAGAGTTTAACATGAATACCCCACACACACAGTATACTGACTCCGAACCGACCAGTCCTTGTTTTAGCCCCTTAATGCCAAGCGCAGCACAGGGTAAGAACAAGTACTATCTTTTAACGTCTTCTGGTATGACGGGGCCAGGGATCGAACCCCGGACCTTCTGCTCTCCGGGCGGACGCTCTACAACTAGACCATGGAGGCGTTCTTAATCTTACTGAGACTGAGAAGGGGGTTCAGGGATAGTTAACATGGTTAAGTTAAGTACTAATATATAGCTAATCAATCAACTCTCACAAAGGTACTCACTAAGCACAGCTCCTCTAATGAATCGCCTTGCTCCCGGTCTTTCTGGCATGAAGTTGTACTTGCAACCAAATGGACTGAAGCGGCTGAAGTGGTCTCCCAATAGCTTCACCCCCCAGTATCGGTCACCACATCGGTAACAGAAATTGGTCCGACACTGTGAGCATGTCATATGGTCACATCCAGTTGTTCGCTCAATGAAAATCTACAATTTCAAGAGTAATCAAATTCAAATTTTTGACCGAAAACAGACATAACCACAACTTTCCTTGAGCAAAATATGCATATTGTTGGAAAGCGCACATAAAATCTCCAACTATAAGTAACTTTCATGACACTTTTACAGTGACTAAATAATAATAATAATGATGCTTTTTCCATATAATCATATCAATTACAACCCAAAAGCACAGCCATTGTTTAAGTCAATCATGGTGCTGATTTAACCAATTCATGGTACTGAAATATTAATAATTTTTTCACAATACCATGCTATAGATGCTATAATCTTGATTAACTTGTAAAGCTGTCAAAGTTTATGTGTACTATGTTGGTGCATTTCAACATGTTCTGCCTGAAAACCATATATATATGGTATGTAAGCATTTCAGAACTTAAACAAAATGTTAAAGAGAACTAATTTTATCATGCATAATCAGTATCATCTCCAGCAATAAAAATTATACTATGTTAGTCAGAAATAAATCATAATGTACGTCATTTTCTATCAGCACTTCATGTACATGTAAAAAAAAGCACAGCTTAACTATTTACTTTCTTTCTACTTCACAATTCAACAAACATTATGTACCTTGCACTTGGGGCATTTTTGAGCATTTTGTTGACCATAGTGATATTCATTGGCCCATGTTTTGACAAGGCGATCTCCCTTTCTGAATTGTTTGCATGTCACGCCTTCATGCCAAGGGGCCTGACATGGAAAACACCACTCTAGCTCACATTTTGAACACTGTACTTGAATGCCATCCTTTACATGTTTCTTTTCTTCTCTGGTAATAACAGCCCGGTCTTTTTTCTTGAGCTTCAAGGCATGCGTGTTTAGTCTTTGGTTGAGACCACTCAGTTTCATGACATGACTACACCGAGGACAGGTCTTAACATCGGGATCCTTGTTTGCATCCACAAGAAACTTGTAATATTTGTCTTTCAGCTCAGCAGGCAGACGGGCAAGTATTTCGTCTCTGTGTACATAGGAGCTGCACTCCGTCTTCAAACATTCAATCTTGACTATTCCCTGGTTCACCTGGGTGATTAGATACATTTCAATGCACTCATCACACACTGGAAAGTTACAACATATGCGTTTTCTCAATTTCTTGTTGTCAAAACATATCCAACATTCAAGTTCTTCTAAAGGACTGTGGGGATATGGTGGAGGGGGGTTCACTGGCCGAATTGTCCTCCCATGATCAAGAACAGGGTCAAATGGATGAAGATAGAAGTCAAGGTCATACTCTGAATTGTCTGAAGAAAACATGTCATCTTCGTCGTCATCATCTTCATCATCATCTGAGAAATCGTCATGGAATAAATCAGATATAACCTCTGCGGATATTTCTGACGGCGTTCCTTCCATATCCTCCTCATTCGAGGTACCCCATCCAACACTCGCCATAGCTTCTTCCGATAGCCCTGCGTCCACTTCGAAATCCTCAGATTGATGATCTGGAGCTTCCTCTCCATTAGCCATTCTCAAATCATCAACTTTTAACTGAACCGATTTAATCCATGCCCTGCTTATTTTATTTTTCCGAATCTGTTCTAATGTAACCCTTAAAGTTGCTCTGTCTGACCTGGCCGCCATGTTTCGTCAAAAGCAAAACAAAATATTTCCACTTCCTCCCTTCACAAAACTTTCCTGAATTTAAGTCCCATACACATCTCTTTTACGAATGTCTTCTCCATTTTGTCAGTAAGCTACCGATATGTCACCGACAGCCACGTTGAGTGAAGGTCCATTTTCATATCTCACCATAAATAACAATTCTGCAAGTATTTATAACAGCCTTATTTACGTTGTGATCCAAACAACGTCACCAGAAGAAGAAATCTATAATTATCTCGACCAATGATAAAAGGTCTTCTGTTGGCATAGGTAACCACTTTATACAACGATAGTTGTCATTGGCTAAAGTGTTTGCGTTGAAAGGTCAAGGACCAAGTTTGGAGTAAAGCTCCTACCAGCGCGTACTTCTCCCGTCTATTTGTCGAAGTTCAAGAACATCGACCGCGCAGTTAGGAGCTTTCTACGACAAGTTGTAGTCAAACGCAACAAATATTAGTAGTAATGATATAATTCAAACTATGTAACACATTCACTGCCCTAAGAATGTATATACAATTAGTATAAAATTAAAAAGATTCTATTTTAGTAAAGCCAAATTACCATTAAGTGAGAAATTATATTTTTAAAAATCTTTTTAGAGTTCTTGAAACAGTAATGTAAAGGTGTTGCAACGCATATACTATAACCGGCACTCCGTATTTCCGCTTAACTTTTCAGCATTTTAGTCCAGTTGCATTTAGATAAACATGGGAAAATTTACTTATCCAAATGCGAGACGTGACGAACTTGTTGAAGATTATCACGGCACCAAGGTATACCGATGTTGATAAAATGACACATTGTGGATTGTGTAAAAACATCATGAAACAGGTTGAACTGTTAGGGCTCTTGAAGTGATGAGACAAAAAAAAATCCCCGTGACAGCCAATATATTTAATAAATGCTGCACAATAAGGATAATATGGTATTGTTAGAATTTAAAAGTCGCCCTGTGGTTCTTTAGGACTTTTACAATTGTATTTTAACTAGTGACTCCCTAAACTCGTTTTTAAAAATTAGTTTTATGACAAGGACCCCTTGCTTTCAATATCTTTAATAAATGATAGGTATAGTGAAGTTATATGGTATGGAAAAGGTGCCTTGATAATCAAAGACTATAAGTATTGCCAAAGTCGTCAACATCATATTTTCACATTATCTAATTAAAAGGATTGGGCGGCAATGCATACATACATGTACTTAATTTTAGAGGGAGGGATACAGTCAGAAGTCTTTACATGTCCAATATTAACTGACTTAAAATGTCACTTTGTTTGAGTCAATTGGAGATTAATCTTTCAACAATGCTTGTGTTCTTTATCCTATTGTTGATTTGTAAATCTGTCAAAAGAAATTAGTGAAATAAACACTATTTCATGCATTGTATAATTGCAATAGAATAATGAATTAAAGCTCTGATAATACTTATGGTTGAAATAAACGACTAAGACTGTAGAAGTTAATTAACATCAACTACACATTATAGTGTTGTATAAAAGGTGACAAACAAGACACTAATTACAATGTCTGGACAGTTTTAGACCTAATTAGTAAATCAGACCTTGTAGCTCAGTCTTCTTTAACACACACATTGACACATGTGATCTTTACTAATTTCATGGATCGTCTGATCATTGACACCAATTAGTTTGTTAGTCAGTAAGTTTGACTTTTTGTTTTGTATCTGTTCAGGTGACAGAGTACTATCGGTGGCTGGAGGATCCTGACAGTGAGGAGACAAAGGCCTTTGTAGAAGCTCAGAATGAACTGTCCAAGCCATTCCTTGATGCATGTCCCATCAGAGAGAAGCTGAGTTCAAGGTGCAATTTGGTCACTTCAGTCAATAGTTGAAAGTATTTTCAAAGTTAGGACTACTCATTTATTATGGATTATTATAATTTATAAGTTTTTATGGAAATTGTTTGTTCATCATCAAGACCACACTGTTATCTTGACTAAAGCATTGTCAGCGTTAGAAATTGGCTCTAGTCCCATAGTCCTTGCCAAATTGCCCAATAGTTGAGGCATCATAAGGACTGGTAGAAATTTGCCATTTTTAAGGGTTTTGCTATATGTTGTCATTATGAAGACTAGGGGACTAAAAATGTTAGTTTCTACCGCTGATTGTGCACAGTAACAGTCCTAGCTTGTGCTGTCACAGTGAGTACTGTGTATGGGATTCTAGCTAATACCTCAGCAAACTGTCACCGAGCAAAAATAGCACTGATTGGTGAAAACAGCTCCTCGCCTAAAGTGAAAACGACTACTATTGCCTGGTAAACACGGCACCTTACTTACTGAAATAATTGAAATTAATGAAGCTCACATGGTCACTCGCAAATGCAAAAAAATGTGAAATGTTAATCGCCTTGAAACAAGTTTACATTCGAAATTTGTCTCTACTCCAATTTCCTTGCCGACACTTGATTGCTAGTTTGAAGTTTTAAGTAGCTTTACTCAAATTAACTCAGTGTCAAACTGAAACTGTATTTAAGATGCATAACAGGGTGCTGTCAGATCACAATTGTTCACTATGTCCTTTCGATGTGTTGCATGCAGAAAGAATGTTAGAAAAAAATCAATATGCTGTATCATGTGACAACTGTGACTTTCTGTAGCCCGTTATCAAGAAATTAGGCAGACTGAAGAAGACTTCTCTTTCCGCTGTTTAAGATGCGTAGATCACACTAAAGAAGAGGTGATTGGCATGAACTTTGATATCAGTTCACAATCAGAAGATTCAGAAGAAAGGATATCAGACATATCAGACATCAATATTCCTGCACTTTGAAGATGACAGTGATATTTGTGGAAAGATACAAGACAACGCTAAATAAAGAATAACTGTGAATAAAGCATACATACTACTACATAAATCGCTCTTATCATTATTACAAAAAGAGGTGCCGTTTTCACACAACAATTATAAGCCGTTTTCGCCAAAAGTGGTGCTGTTTTCACCAGAGAAGTTGGTGACGATTGCTGAGGTTCCGTTTTAGCCTGTACCCCTGTGCACGTGATGCCTGGTGTGCAGAAGTTTCCTGGGTGTGAGATATTCTGTCCTATACACATATAAATTAAGAATGGATGCAAATAATTTACATTGCCTATGGGACACAAAAGAGTATGTTTGTTTGAATCATTAAATTTATCAAAATTGTAGAAATACACAAAAAGTTCAAGGTGTCACTGTCAGTGGATGATTTTCTTCAATCTAACAGTGAAATCCCATATAGGATAGGTAGGCTGAAGGCTTTGGAGAATGTGCAATAATATGAATTACACCATTTAGTTTTCTTGTTTAAGGGATGAGCAGGAAAATCATTTTGCAAACGTTGAAATTTGTGTTCAAGTGTATATGTCTATTGAAAATATATTATTTAAAAAAATATTCATTTCATGAGGAGTAAGTAAGATAGTTGTTCTTTCTCTGCAGTGTGAACAACCTTTACATACTCGTAAGATGTTTTTTGATGGTGTTGATTTCCATGTTGTATGATTCTGTTCCCTCAGTGGTCCGTTTCCTATTGTTGATATTTTGCCAACGTGTGATGCTCTTCCAATGAGGAGAGGTTTTGATTGGTTTTCATCTGTTTTCTATACCTCTGTCCAGAATCACTGAAGTCTGGGATTACCCAAAGTACAGTTGTCCGGGTCGCCATGGCGAATATTTCTACTACTACCATAACACAGGTCTACAAAATCAGAGGTTTGTTCATTCAATTGATAAAGACGATGCTAATGAAAGGCTGCAACATACATGTACACGTCATATTTTCCTACATTGTCCTTTTCGTCCAACTGGAAAATAGTATCAACCTGCCCTGTCCCTTAGCCATGTTAACTTGCAACAGGCAAATAGCATTAATAGCAACACCGCTGCTTGTAGTACGGAAGAGCTATGCACTCACTGTTTTTTAACTTGCCTTCAGAAAATGGTATTTACATACACTGTCTTTCAACAGGCAACCAGAAAGTCAGACTGATTATTTCTATTATAAAAAAAGTAACGTTTTTCTTTGTTTATCAGTTGTTTCCAATGTTTTCTAAACCTTCAGTCAAATCAATATGGAATACGTATAATATTTGTGGACGTGTCGGATCATTAGTTGTTGAAGGAAATCTTTAATTCCTCCATATGTTTGTGAAAGGTAAACCCCAAAGGGACTCTGGTTAGAAGTGATCCCCAACACCCTATGTTTCCATTTCATCATACTCCACCGCCTTGGATCATTGCTCATAATATCAATCACTGGATTGTCTGGTCCAGACTCGATTATTTACCGACAGCCATCACATAGCTCAGTCTGCTACTTCAGCCACTAGCCTGGAGCCTATCTGAAATCTTGTTAGATTCTGTTCGGTCTAGTAAGTTCAGAAACATTAGTCCATACAATAACACAAAAATCAACGGAAAAAAATCCTGCGAGCCATATTCAGTCTGGTAGCTTCAAACGTTGTGTGCACAGACTGATAGCTGGAATTGCTGAGTGTGGCTTTTACAACAAACTTACAATGTTGTGAAAAGTAAGCTTCAGTACAAGAGACTCCAGTGGGACATCTTTGTGTTCCAGTGTTCTGTACGCACAGAAGGGGCTTGGTGCGGACCCCTCCGTGTTCCTGGACCCCAATTCCCTGTCTGAAGATGGAACAGTGTCACTGCGGGGCACTGCTTTCTCCGAGAATGACCAGTTCTTTGCCTATGGCCTTAGCAAGAGTGGATCTGATTGGGTCACTATCAAGGTTTGTCTTCCATTTCACTGTACCTTTGTCTTTAGGATCACTACAGCCAGATGTAGCAATATACAATACAAACACTGCCTTGGTCCAACAAGAAGTGCACCCTCATGTTTCGAAAATAATCATTCAAGTTTCCTTTATAAACTTGACACTTTATCATTTCATCTTGGGGTTCGTTATTTTTATGTGAAGTATTCAGCTTTGTTCAGAAACTACATGTATCTTAAAATGGCAGTTAAAATGGAGTGTAATAGGAATTCTATGATAACCGTGTACCCTTGGAATATTGTTTTAATGTTCCCTGTGCACATAACACATAACACATTTGATATAGTAGATAGAGTAGTTTTTGTTTTTGTATTTAGTAAACTCATGTAAGTGTCAGCGTCATGTTAGATAGATACTTAGTTCAGGGATTTATCTAGACCTGCTCAGAGGCTAATAGTCAGCCCCAAGATTGCAGCAATGGTCATAAAAAATTCCCGAATGGAAATTAACCATTTCTCAATTCAGCATGTTCATAATGTTACAGAATAGGTCTTCAGCAACTCATGGTTGCCGTAAAAGGCGATTATGCTTGTCGTAAGAGGCGACTAACGGAATCGGATGATCCAACTCGCTGACTTGGTTGATGCATGTCATCAATCCCAATGCTCATGGTATCAATCACTGGATTGTCTGGTCCAGACTCGATTATTTACAGACCGCCGTCATAAAGCTGGAATATTGCTGAGTGTGGCGTTAAACAATAAACCAACAAACCATAATGTTATAAATAAGTTCTAGGTGAATCTGAAATTGTTTTCGCTTTTATGTTTCCAAAGAAACAATAAGACCATGCACAGTAACTACCATACTAATGAGTTCCTCCCAGTATGCCTGCCACAGGCACTCAGTGTCTCATTGTCTCAGGATCCAGAAAAGGTGTTTCGGTAATAAAAAACCCCTTCATTTTTGCTTTATTTTCAGTTTAAGAAAGCGCCATCAGGTGAAGACCTCCCAGACACTTTAGAAAGAGTCAAGTTCTCCAGCATGGCATGGACCCATGACCACAAAGGGCTCTTCTATAACGTGAGATGGTTGCACAAATGTGGCAGTTCATCATATTTGTAGGATAGATCTATCAATGTAAATTCTTGTTATATCATGTTATAAGGATGCTCGGATTTTGGCAAGAGTGAAAGAAACAATATATGCTGTAAAAGAATACAAGATTCTTTCTTTTTTTATTGCAACAAAAAAAAATTAAATTACTGTCAATTCAATATTTTTGTTGTCACAAATATTCACTAAGAATATTCATAACACATATAGACTATTGATGTGGCTTAAACCAGGGTTAGAAACTAACAGTTTTTTTCCACTAGCCATATAGCATATAACATATAGCAAAACCCTTAAAATGGGCCAATTTCTATTAGTCCTTAGGATACCTTTACTATTGGGCAGTTTGGTAAGGACTACAGGACTAGTGCCAATTTCTAACGCTGCTTAAACCATGTTAAATAATACAAAATGTAAACACTGAGGGTCTATCACATCGTTATTCCCTGAGTGGTTGAGCGAACACTCCACAACCACTTGTAGCAGGTGACTAACTTGCATGGAGTGGGCAGGCTCAGTCACTTTGCATCTTCCCGAGGCAAGTGAGTTAACTGACTATGAAAGTCCAGTTTCCACCCTTGCCGAACACGGCAGGTATTATGGAGTTACATTTTGGCTGGGCTAACAAGTCTATGCATAGTCCAATCAAAATCAGGCAACAAAATCAAAATCCGGTTTGTAAACTGACATGCAGATTTTGGTCGATTGCAGGATTTGCTAAGCATGTGCACCGCCAACTTGTTGTCAACAGATATTTTCCAAAACTGTTCATGTTTTTAATCAAGTTGCTCACATGATTTAATGCACTTTGCGATGTAAGACCTGTTTTATCACAATATAGATTTTGATTATCGATCAGATCGTCTTGACTGGGCGCCACCATTTTGTTTAAAGAAAACGTAAGGGATACAAGAGGTGGAATCTGATTGGTCCATAGGAGAGGCATAGAAGGGACATAACTCGTAATAGCCACTGGTGGCGCTACTATGGACCCCAGGAATTCCACCCTAGTTCGGCAAGGGTGGAAACTGGACTTTTAAAGTCAGTTAACTCTCTTGCCTGGGGAAGATGTCACTTGGTTGATTGTTGTACCTGGGACTTGACTCATAATATCATCCACTTGTTTGTCGGGTCCACACCAGCTCTTTTGTCTTACAAGTAGAGGTTCTGTGAGCAATACTATTTGCCTGTTGTTAAGGGGCAGGATATTTACAGGCGAGTGTGATATAGCTGGAATATTGCCGAGTGCAGCAGCAGACAAGCTGACCTATCTAGAAACTGTTTCCTATAATTATCTTCTACATGTCATCTACCTACTATAAACCATTATCCCAGAGATGACATGAGTGGGTCACAGTGGCTGCTGGTTATCTTGATCGGAAAAAGATGTTGATTGAATGGCCATAGTGTGTAGAGCGGAGTAATGTAGTAATCTTTCTGATCTTGGCTTAGAACAAAACTCCCATTCACCCTTCAAAACATTGTCCATCAGAATACTATCTGACATATTGGGATGACAGGTTTATGTAACATGATCAACTCTTGAATAAGCACTTTGGCAGTGCAATGATTTGTGGTCTGGTGGTAGAGCCACCACCCGGAGAGCGGAAGGTTCGGGGTTCGATCCCCGGCCCCATCATACCAAAAGACGTTAAACAAGGTACTTATTGTTACCCTGCCTGGCGCTCGGAATTAAGGGATGAAAACAAGGACTGGTCGGCTCAGAGTCAGTATAATGTGCCTGAGTGGGGTATTCGTGTTAAACTTCAGTATCTCAGTGGGCTAGCACTATTTATCAGCATTGGTCTGAATATTCGCCATGTAAGTCTAATAATCTTGGACGCGACGTTAAGCCCCCTTTCACCTCACCTCACCTGGCAACATCATGAGTAGGGGTCACTACCTAGGACACTGCATTATAAGAGCATCTTTGTAGTAGTATTTGGGTAGTTTGACAAGTACCTCCCCTCTGCCCACCTGCAGGGTTTTTTTCCTTGCAAACCTTTTTGACAAAGCCTTACACATTCATTCAGACCTAAATCTAACTGTTTGCTTAGGATGTTGTTTGTGATTTGTGGAAGGTACCTCTAATTACTGTCTAATATTGATTCATGAAAGTTTTCTACAGTGATACCCATGAGGCTTCTCAAGGATTTGTTTGTTTATTTGTTGTTTAACGCCGCACTCGGTTTGTTAATAACTGAGTCTGGACCAGGCAATCCAGTGATTGAAATCATGAGCATCGATCCACACAATTGGGATACGATGACATGCATCAGCCAAGTCAGAGAGCGTGACCACCTGATCCTGTTAGTCGCCTCTTGTGACACGCATGGGTTGCTGAAGACCTAATCTATCCAAGATCTTCATGGGGGGCTTCTCAAGGAAGTATGTTTTGGGAAAATAGTATTTCTTGAATGTTGTTTGTCTTTTGATACTGTAGAGTTGCATCGTTGTTTACCATATTTTCACTTGCCATCTGTGTTCGTCTATCGGACGTGGAGAGCTACAGTGCATCAGTAATTCCCTCAGCTTCCCATCTCCCATCACAGAGATACTTGAAGCAACAAGGCAAGTCCGATGGAACCGAGACCACGATGAATGTAGATCAGAAGCTCTTCTATCATCGACTAGGAACGGACCAGTCAGAGGATGTCCTTGTTGCCGAGTTTCCAGAACACCCTCGATGGATGATGTGAGTCTGGGAGATTGTTCATCCTGTGATCCACAGTTTGCACAACTTAGTAAATGAATAGTAGGGTGAAATCTGATTGGTTAAAAATGTTTAATAAATGGGATTGGATCCCAGAAATATTTTGGAATTTTCACATTCTTTTTTTGAAAATATTAAACATGTGCTATTTAACTTGGCAAAATGGATACCATATGAATTAGATATGAAGCTGGATCAATTTGTATCAGAACAACTTTGATTTAGTTGTGTTTTCCATGTCCTGCTAAGCAGGTGAGTTCATCCATTTTATCGTCACGTCATAGAATTCCAGAGTGACTCTCATAATTGTGAGTGTTCATGTAGAGAGAGAGTGCTTCAGAAAATTACAGATAACTTTTGTGTTGAACAATGTCCAAAAGCATTACATGATTGTTGCTATCTTGACACAATGCTTTGAATTTTCTTCTTCATTTCTAACATATAGTACAGATCTTCGACATCGGGGGTGCTCTTTGCCCTAGACTTGGACCAACCAGAGTTACCTGTCCCTGATCCCTCACTTTCCTTCTCGTCCCATGAAGGTCTGGCATAGAAGGATAGAATAGGTCTTCAGCAGCCCATGCTTGCTGTAAAAGCAACTGTGCTTGTCGTAAGAGGCGACTAACGGGATCGGGTCGTCAGGCACGCTGACTTGGTTGATGCATGTCATCGTATCCCAATTGCGTGGATCAATGTTAATGATATCAAGCACTGGATTGTCTTGTCCAGACACGATTATTTATAAACCGCCAACATGTAGCTGGAATATTGCTGAGTATGGCGTTAAACAACAAACAAACATGCTTTCCTTCTCATCACACAGACATACACATGTGCCTGCATTATAACTATGTGTGTACAGCATGGCAGATATTTCTGTAAACATTCAGGAATGGTCGAGTGATCCCCACATTGACTGTCCTGATGGCAGCAAGTCCGACTGAAGGCTGGATCTCCACTTTGTCTTCAGTGTGACCTTAGGTTGAGTTTCTAGTGTTGTGTTCCAGTGGTGCAGAGGTCAGTGACTGTGGCAGGTACCTGGTGATGACCATCCATGAAGGATGCGACCCGGTCAACAGGCTCTACTACGTCGACCTCAAGTCAATGCAAAATGAAATACGAGGTCAGTTTCAGCAATTTATCGATCGAGGAATAATTCACCCTCTGGGAATCAATGTTGGAATAGGTCCCGAGTAACCTGTACTGGTTGTTTGTTTTGTTTTGTTTTGTATTGTGGTTTTTTGTTTTTGTTTGGTTGTTTTGTTTGTTTGTTGTTTAACTCCAGCCATATGACGGCGGGCGGTCTGTAAATACTCAAGTCTGGACCAGACAAACAAGTGATTGACATCATGAGCATCGATCTAAGTAATTTGGATACGATGTCATGCATTAACCCAGTCAGCGAGCCTGACCACCATCCTTGGTACTTCATACTTGTCCCTCTTTGAGGATTCCAGGCAGAATAGAGCCCCAGTACTCCATGCTTGTCTTCCTTTGAGGATTGTGGGCAGAATAGAGCCCCAGTACCCCATGCTTGTCTCCCATTGAGGATTGTGGGCAGAATAGAGCCCCAGTACCCCATGCTTCTCTATCTTTGAGGATTGTGGGCAGAATAGAGCCCCAGTACCCCATGCTTGTCTCCCTTTGAGGATTGTGGGCAGAATAGAGCCCCAGTACCCCATGCTTGTCTCCCTTTGAGGATTGTGGGCAGAATAGAGCCCCAGTACCCCATGCTTGTCTCCCTTTGAGGATTGTGGGCAGAATAGAGCCCCAGTACCCCATGCTTGTCTCCCTTTGAGGATTGTGGGCAGAATAGAGCCCCAGTATCCCATGCTTGTCTCCCTTTGAGGATTGTGGGCAGAATAGAGCCCCAGTATCCCATGCTTGTCTCCCTTTGAGGATTGTGGGCAGAATAGAGCCCCAGTACCCCATGCTTCTCTATCTTTGAGGATTGTGGGCAGAATAGAGCCCCAGTACCCCATGCTTGTCTCCCTTTGAGGATTGTGGGCAGAATAGAGCCCCAGTACCCCATGCTTGTCTCCCTTTGAGGATTGTGGGCAGAATAGAGCCCCAGTACCCCATGCTTGTCTCCCTTTGAGGATTGTGGGCAGAATAGAGCCCCAGTACCCCATGCTTGTCTTCCTTTGAGGATTGTGGGCAGAATAGAGCCCCAGTACCCCATGCTTGTCTCCCTTTGAGGATTGTAGGCAGAATAGAGCCCCAGTACCCCATGCTTGTCTCCCTTTGAGGATTGTGGGCAGAATAGAGCCCCAGTACCCCATACTTGTCTCCCTTTGAGGATTGTGGGCAGAATAGAACCCCAGTACCCCATGCTTGTCTCTCTTAGGGGATTCTGGACATAATGGAGCCCCAGTACCCCATGCTTGTCTGAATGCTTGTAGTGTCAGAGATTTCCTGTACACTTGTACTGCCTATCATTATGATATGTGTAACTGACTGTTTTTTGTTTCAGGTGTTTTATCCTACGTCAAGATTGTGGATAACTTTGATGCTGAATATGAGGTGAGCCCAAGTATAATCCTGACCCCTCTACCCACTGACAGTGTTTGTTGTGTGCGTGTTGTTGACCCTCCTACTGATAGAACCAGGAAGTGCTGCAACCTACCACCTCTCACTACCAGATGGTTTTATATTACCCTACATATGATTCAGGAAAGCCTGTCTGAGGTTTCAACATATTCAATGCATTGAGGAGACACAATGGTGTCACATGAGATATGACCAACTGCCGTGTGTGCCTGACTGTACACAGACAAGCCATTGTTTGAGTCTACAAAAGGAAATAGGTTTCAAACAGTTTCTCCCTCTCCTCTTCCCTCTCTCCTCTTCCCTCTCCCCCTCCCTCTCCTCTTCCCTCTCTCCTCTTCCCTCTCCCCCTTCCTCTCCCTCTCCCTCTCCTCCCCTATTAAGACATACTGCTATCATTAAATCATACTCACTGATCCCCTTACAGTACAACACTGACACCCTTACAGTACAACACGGGCACCCTTACAGTACAACACGGACACCCTTACAGTACACTACGAATCCCCTGTACCCAGTGAATAAACAATACTGACTAAACTATGATACTTTCTGGTTTAGGCCTGCCAGTATAGTGACCGTTTGTACAATGTCTGTTTCAGTATATCACAAATGATGGCAGCAAGTTCACCTTCAAGACCAACCTGGATGCATCAAGATACAAACTCATCAACATCGACTTCGCTGATCCTGATCAGGTACACCCAGGCGTCTCTCTGCACACCAACTCTCACACCGTCAACAAATATAGCCATGTCATCAAAACATTTGCTTGTTACACTGAAGATTCCACTTTGTTACCCCACATGGCTACAATGTACAAAGACAGTTTCTGGTATCTCCAGGGGGCACGGGTGGCCCAGTCGTCTAAGGCACCGGATAATACTAAATAGAATCTCACCCTTGTGTCTATTGATGTCAAATATCTGGACTTGTGTTGACATGGTTTATATTAAAAGACAGATGAGATTCTCTATTAGTCCGGGGGGCACGGGTGGCCCAGTAGTCTAAGGCGCCGCGTTTCCCTGTGCAGAGTTGCGTCCCTTGGGCACGCCAGAAACCTATGATTGTGGGTTCGAATCCCGGTTCGCCCCGATTATGTTTCTAGGTTTGTCAGCACCATACCCATGCTCGTGGGTTTCACTGAAGTGGTAAACGTCTGAGACCTGCATCACTTCGGACTTTCCTCCCACATTAAGCTGACACGCCGAGATATAACTGGAATACTGTTAAAAAGGGCGTTAAACCAAACTCACTCACTCACTCACTCTGGTGTCTCCTGCCATAACAATGCTGGGATAGGGATGAAAGAAGCATAAAGCCCTACTCCCTCATGGACTTACTCTTTGTGCATCGTCACTCACTCACTCACTCACTCACTCACTCACTCACTCACTCACTCACTCACTCACTCACTCACTCACTCACTCACTCACTCACTCTGGTGTCTCCTGCCATAACAATGCTGGGATAGTGATGAAAGAAGCATAAAGCCCTACTCCCTCATGGACTTACTCTTTGTGCATCGTCACTCACTCACTCACTCACTCACTCACTCACTCACTCACTCTGGTGTCTCCTGCCATAACAATGCTGGGATAGTGATGAAAGAAGCATAAAGCCCTACTCCCTCATGGACTTACTCTTTGTGCATCGTCACTCACTCACTCACTCACTCACTCACTCACTCACTCACTCTGGTGTCTCCTGCCATAACAATGCTGGGATAGGGATGAAAGAAGCATAAAACCCTACTCCCTCATGGACTTACTCTTTGTGCATCGTCATTAGATAAGTTTATCTATTCATCATGTGACCTTCCAGAGGGCTGCCTTTTATGAAAGGGTGGCTAAAATGAGGATTGAGTGGACAAAATGTGTATGATAAACAGTCTGCACTTGAAGGTTTCAAAGCTACGCTCCTCTAGATTTCAGCATTCACCTGAAAGGCTTCAGAAAAAGAAATTGTTCCAAACTTTTAATATCTAAATAACTAACAATGGCAACATTTGACACTAAACACACTGTGTGTATGATTTAGAGCTATGTTGCCCGACATAGCCAACCTCACTTTTTATCAGTGGTCCAAAAACTGATGTAAATTGTCATAAGAAGTTCCTCAACTTTTAAAGGGCAATGATGTATATGCATATATCATGTAACAAGTATTATATTTGGAATAACACTTTCTTAGTAAAGTGGGGGCATGGGTGGCCCAGTCGTCTAAGGCACCCCAATTCGCTGTGCAGAGTTGCGTCCCTTGGGCTCGCCAGAAACCTATGATTGTGGGTTCGAATCCCGGTTTGCGGCAATTATGTTTATAGGTTTGTCAGCACACTACCAGTGCTCGTGGGTTTCACTGAAGTGGTAAACGTCCGAGACCTGCATCACTTCGGGCTTTCCTCCCACATTAAGCTGACACGCCGCGATATAACTGGAATACTGTTAAAAGTGGCGTTAAACCCAACTCACTCACTCACTCACTCTTAGTAAAGTACAGATTCTCGTACTTTTTGGGGTTGAGCCACCGACGCAGCCACCGAGGCTCCCCCCAAAATGAAAGTCTGACAACTGGGTTAGATCGCTGACTGTGTGTGCTGGTGATTAGGTGCCTCACTCTGGCAAGTGTGGGTTCGAATCCCAGACGTGACTCAACCCAAAAACGTATGAGAATCTGTACTTTACTAAGAAAGTGTTATCCCAAATGTAACATTTGTTACATTTGACCACTTTCTAAATGGCATTTTGTGTTCATGCATATATCATATACATGGGTGGATACAGCTTTTTTGAAAAGGGGGGGTGCACAACTAAGATCTATTTATTGTCTTTGGTGGTAATTTATACAGAAATAAAGATATTTTTCGAAATAATAAGGGGGGATGCGCACCTCCGCACCCCCCCCTCTGTATCCGCCCATGCATATATATAGCATGGCTTTAGGGTCGAGTTATGACACTGATATGCATTTATTATTATAAACATGATACATGCCATATTTGTTTACATTATTATTATTGTTGTTGTTATTACATGTATAATGTTATGTTTTAGTCTGTTTTCAGTCGTACAATTGGGTATCTCATACCTCTAGTCGCACGTTAAAAGGAAGCCAGAAGCTGGAATGTAAACAATAAACTTGTTTCCGTCCGGTTGCGCACGCACCTCCCGATGACATGCCACAAATCTCTCAGCGCGCCTCTGAGCTGGTCGCTCCCTCGAGAAGGACTTTCGCGATAGACTGCTAGTTTGTATTATACTAGTACTTATCGTGTGTCTACAGTTGTTGTTCTAATAGTGTAATAATAATATGTCTTACCTGTAGATTCCTGGAATGTAATCCTTGGTGATCCATTGTTTGGGTTCAACACGTGTTTCACTTGATTATACACGTGGCAACATGTCGGGCATTTGTGCCTCGTGTCAAGGAAAACTGTCTAAAGTAGATCCTCACAAGTATTGTCCTTCCTGCATAAATAAGGACGGGTTTTCAACGTGTTCGTGGAATAAACGTTGTAAAGAATGTGAGCATTTGTCTTCTATCAACTTTAACTTGTATCTTCGTAGGTTGGCGAAGCGGGCCGCTGACCAGCGCTACAAGCAGAGGAGGTCATCGGGTGGATCCTTGGACTCTTCACCCCCTACATCTGGCCCTGGGGGTGGCGCGTCGGCCACACCCAAGAAATCAGTTGAAAAAGACCCGCCTCAGTCAACTTATGTTTTCGACAAGACACGTGACCGTTCGCCTGCTGATGATACTACCCGCACGACTGATCTTCGTCAATCGGTTGATCGAGAGCGTCACTCAGCCACCCCCGTTACGACGGGACCGGGTGGTGACGAGGACCACGAGGGGACTACAGTCCCAAGTCGGTCCGTCTCTCGTCCTACCTACGACGATAGGAACGTCGTGCGGGTCGACAGTGAACACAGATCCCTCTCTAGAAGTCGTTCCCGTTCACGGGACGACAGGTCGAGTGCCTCGTCGAGAGACAGTAAACGACACGAGGACGTTCATCGCCTTCGAGGTCGTCCGGAGTTCGATTCGGACGATAACTACGATGGGGATCGTAGTACTTCTACAGTTAGAGATCGTAGCCCTCGTCCCCACGGGGACGTGCGACGCCTTCGAAGGGAGTTTTTGGGAGATCAGCGTCGTAGAGGTAATGATCGATCGTCACCCTCGTCTCACTTTCATATCGACCCGGCTTTGATAGGCCAGATGACGGCGGCGGTACTCGCCTTGACGGCGTCGACCGAGAAGGGTTCGACTACGTCGGAGGTCCATGGACCATCGTCCTGTACACCGGTTCCTTCATCTACGCCTACACAATCGACGTCGACGATGGATTGTGACGACAGCGTCGTAGAGATAATGATCGATCGTCACCCTCGTCTCACTTTCATATCGACCCGGCTTTGATAGGCCAGATGACGGCGGCGGTACTCGCCTTGACGGCGTCGACCGAGAAGGGTTCGACTACGTCGGAGGTCCATGGACCATCGTCCTGTACACCGGTTCCTTCATCTACGCCTACACAATCGACGTCGACGATGGATTGTGACGACAGCGTCGTAGAGATAATGACCGATCGGCACCCTTGTCTCACTTTCATATCGACCCGGCTTTGATAGGCCAGATGACGGCGGCGGTACTCGCCTTGACGGCGTCGACCGAGAAGGGTTCGACTACGTCGGAGGTCCATGGACCATCGTCCTGTACACCGGTTCCTTCATCTACGCCTACACAATCGACGTCGACGATGGATTGTGACGACAGCGTCGTAGAGATAATGACCGATCGGCACCCTCGTCTCACTTTCATATCGACCCGGCTTTGATAGCCCAGATCACGACAGCGGTACTCGCCTCGACGGCGTCGACCAAGAAGGATTCGACTACGTCGGAGGTCCATGGACCATCGACCAGTACACCAGTACCTTCATCTACATCCACACAATCGACGTCTCCTCCCGATGTCTTCAGAGCCATGGCTCACGATATGGACCAGAACTTGCCTCTGCTCTGCAGGGGCAGAGTTTCAGCAAACCACCTGTTCGATCGCGTTACCCGATCTCTGGCATGCCGTTTTCGTCACTCATGAGAAGGGACTTGGATTGGGGGCTACTCTTCAATAAACCAGCGCCCTCCAAGATTCTTGTAGTAGACAGGCATTGGGGATCCATGGACACTGCTGTTCGTCTCCAGCTACAACCGCTTGCTATGCTGTCGACAGCGAGCCAGCGGGGGAGGTAGTGAGGTCCCTTTTCCCCGCCGTCACCGTCGTCGGAGCCTACTACCTTTAGACGAGCTACCGGTAGGGGGAAGACTTCATCACACGGATCATGAAGACGGTCGTAGAATGGCTCCATCGGCAGGCGATCAGGGTCACCTTCTACCTAGACGAGCCGTCTCCTACGGGCGACAGGCTCACTAAAATACCGGAATTGCAGAAAATTCTACGTGCCTTCATGGTTGAAGATGAGTCACATTAATTCCGACTGCCGGCCTGGGACCTCGATATCGTTCTGCGCTACCTGTCTAGTTAGACTTACGAGCCTCTCGATCAGGTCGCCTTCGACATTGTCTCAGACAAGAAGTACTGCTCGTATTTTTTAGTTACCTTGTATACTGCGAGTTGCTCTGTAACTAAATTATGCGCCGACCACACTTCGATCGCAATTCATCTGACGTGTGCAGTTGTCATGTCGCATCGATAATTTGTTGTGTGTCGAAGAGCATTAACCATGCTATTTTTCGTTACCTTGGATACGACGAGTCGTTCTGAAACTAAATTATATACCGTCCACACTTCGATCGCAATTCAACTGTCGTGTGCAGTTGTCCTGTCGCATCGATAGTTACTTGTGGGTCGAAGAGCATTAAACATGCTGTTTTAGTTACCTTGTATACTGCGAGTTGCTCTGTAACTAAACTATACGTCGACCACTTCGATCGCAGTTCAACTGACGCGTGCAGTTGTCCTGTCGCATCGATAATTAGTAGTGTGTCGAAGAGCATTAAACTTGCTGTTTTAGTTACCTTGCCTACGACGAGTCGTTCTGTAACTACATTATAAGCCGACCACGTTTCGATCGCACCTCAACTGACGTGTGCAGTTGTCCTGTCGCATCGATACTTACTTGTGGGTCGAAGAGCATTAAACATGCTGTTTTAGTTACCTTGGATACGACGAGTCGTTCTGAAACTAAATTATATGCCGTCTACACTTCGATCGCAATTCAACTGTCGTGTGCAGTTGCCTTGTCGCATCGATACTTACTTGTGGGTCGAAGAGCATTAAACATGCTGTTTTAGTTACCTTGTATACTGCGAGTTGCTCTGTAACTAAACTATACGTCGACCACTTCGATCGCAGTTCAACTGACGCGTGCAGTTGTCCTGTCGCATCGATAATTAGTTGTGTCGATGAGCATTAACCATGCTGTGCGTTCGTGATAAACAATTTGTCTCGTCCGTGCATCTGGTCGAATGTTCTATTGTCACTACAGGGGTGAGGAACTTGGTACATTCGACGTGACAGAGGTCACTTCCGGATTACTTTCCAGACCCTCCTTCCAGTGTTCCGTCGAATTCTACCCAATTGTACGACTGAAAACAGACTAAAACATGGGTTTTTCAGATTAAAAACGATGTTTTATTGGTCTGTTTTCAGTCGTACGTTCCCACCCAGCCATCCCCACTGGGAAGTAATCCAGTCCAGTCCTGCTTGATGGCTTATTCTTCGAGATTTGTGGCATGTCATCGGGAGGTGCGTGCGCAACCGGACGGAAACAAGTTTATTGTTTACATTCCAGCTTCTGGCTTCCTTTTAACGTGCGACTAGAGGTATGAGATACCCAATTGTACGACTGAAAACAGACCAATAAAACATCGTTTTTAATCTGAAAAACCCATTATTTTTATTTACCCTTCATATGGTTGAGAGACCCCTTGTTTGTTTGTTGTCATGTACAGGATACAGATTGAATGATGATGTTTCAGAGTAACTGGCAAACTCTAGTGGACGAGGATGAGAAGTCAGTGCTTGAGTGGGCTGCCTGCGTCAACAAGGACAAGCTCATCCTCTGCTACCTCAAAGACGTCAAGGTGAGATCTATCATGTATGGTATATGCTTTTGTTTGTTGTTTTCCCTGCAATCAGTGTTATTCCAGCTATATCATGGCGGCTCATAACTAATTACATTTAACTAACTCTATTTCTGAGAGATGGACAGCTACTCGAACGTATATAAGCAGAGCAGCCGAGAATATAAATGAAATTATATCAATATACGGAAATAGAAATCATATCAATACAAAAACAGAAATAATGTGAATTCCAAACCCACAATAGATATGTGTACCCTACTGACACACCTGAGTCCCAAAGAGAGACAGGTCAGCCGATATTGCTTAGGCAGAAGGTGACCTCTTAAACGCTTAATGCAACAAACAACAAACTAAATACAGGCAAACCAAAGGTTATAGGAACTTGCCATACCCTGGGTTACAAAGCCACTCAATCAACCAAGGCATGAAGACCACCCGGTTGGATGCGGTCACCTCTAAGCAGTAGAGAGCTGGGGACTTGCCATTTCATCACACCACCTCGTCCTTACCGTATTTGACATAATAAGCGCCCAGGGTGCTTTCAAAATAAGAAATAGGGGGCTCTTATTAGAAGATTATTTTGGTGAAAAGTGAAGAGTTGAAAGATAAATTTTGTGGTTTATGGCTTTATGCTGACAGCCTGAAATGTTTATATACTACAGATATATTTTTCCAGAATTTAATTGCCCATAATTAAGGGTGCATGTAACACTTGAGTGCGTATTATACGCAAATAATTAAGTCTTGTGTACATTGATTAATCGGAAGGGGTGCTAATTGGTATTGTTCACTAGCCAATATATTCGCAAATATCGCTGTGGGCGCTTGTTAGAGCAGGGCGCTTATTACGTCGAATACGGTATTAAAAATAACATGTGCAAAAGTTTGATCACTGGCACACAACTTTCCAGTTCTCTTTCTGATTAAATCCTCCTTGGGGCACTTATTGCATTTTCCTTGCTCAAGAAAATCTATATGACATAGTTGTAACCATTTTCCTTAATAAAAAATGTTACCACACAAAAAACTTCGTTTTTGTATGATATACGACCACCCTTACGGGGCCTCACCCCCAACGGCGCCTCACGCCAGGGGGAGCAACTCTCACCCAAATCACTTTCCTTATGTCATCTGTAAGAGACAGACGTGTTGATTTTTCACACAAGACAAAAATAAGAGAAATCTATCGTTCGACAAGAACCATGGCTGACCAAACTGTATGTATGGTACATTTCTTTCTTTGCAAAGGCGTAATACCTCGCATTGTGAAGTTATAGAGTTGTAATAATACGCCACGTGCACGGTACCTTTGAATTCAAATGGCCGTAATGGCGTCCATATTGTAGTTCCACGGGCTGATACATGTAACACCAAGGCCATTAAGAAACGGCTTGGGGTTTTGTTATATCATACAGCATTGGTCTACAATTTTTTCCTTTACAAAACCCAAGGTGGTGTGTTAATTCATAAACTACACTTACCTTTTTTACGGGTTTTTACACCTTAGCGCGTAACACGCCCCTTTGGTGTTATAATTATACTACACATTGGCTATTAGTATCGCGTTACAAATCGCATTCTACATTACGCCTTTGCTTCTAGTTTCACAATTTATGCACGTTTCTTTCCGATCTTTATATCGCACTGATACACGTTGATACCCTTCCCGCCCACCTCAGAAATTACGGTCTTGTTTACAAGACCTTCAAACTGTGTGCGGGTTGTTCTAAGACAGGCACGAACGCTGCCGAATATGTCTGGCGGAGGACATTGCCTTTACCCCCCGGGGCCCCCAAAAGAGACAAGTTGACTTGTTCCACTTTAAAGAGGTCTATTAAAGGCGGGGGTAGATATCAGATCTACTAAGACATCCCCCCCCTCCCCATCTAAAAAGGGTAAAAAAGCTGCCGAGATTGTCTCCCCCGCTCCCTCTCCGGGGGCCGGGGGAGAAGGCTCGAGGGTCCCCGTAGTAAGCACTGCACCCTCTCCTGCACTGTCTTTGGCAGACTTTTCTGCGTTACTTAAGTCGCAGATGGCGTCGATGATGGAGGAGGTAAAGTCTCAGCTCCGAGAGGAGATGCGGACCGAGCCTTCCCCGTTGTCGGCGCCGGACGCGGCTTCGAGACCTTGTGATATGCCCGGCGTCGGCCGAGGCAGGCAACTTGGTCTCGGGGACGATCTCAGACCGGGCTTCGGCGCCGGCTCGAGGTCGCTCCCCAGCGGAGGGGTGGCGGGCGCCGGCCCGTGCACTACCGACGCACAATTTTCCCTAGCGGAGCCAGACGCCTCTTCCGAGGCCGAGGCGTCCACTAGTGGATACCTAGCCCGGAGCCAGGTTGGTTCCCTTTGTCTCGGGGACGATCCGAGACCGAGCTTCGGCTCCGGTTCGAGGTCGCTCCCCAGCGTAGTGGTGGCGGGCACCGGCCCGTGCACTACCGACGCACAATTTTCCCTAGCGGAGCCAGACGCCTCTTCCGAGGCCGAGGCGTCCACTAGTGGATACCTAGCCCGGAGCCAGGTTGGTTCCCTTTGTCTCGGAGACGATCCGAGACCGAGCTTCGGCTCCGGCTCGAGGTCGCTCCCCAGCGTAGTGGTGGCGGGCACCGGCCCGTGCACTACCGACGCACAATTTACCCTAGCGGAGCCAGACGCCTCTTCCGAGGCCAAGGCTTTCACTAGTGGATACCTAGCCCAGTGCCAGGTGGGTTCCCTTGAACCTCCGGCACCTCGGCACCGGGACTCGGCCTCGGGCCGGGTGCAGAGACACGTGCGGGACAGGATTGTCCATGTACTGCCTCAGGTTGCTGCGCCCATGCCAGAGTCGGAGACACCCAACTTGACTAAGGTCAAGCAGGGCCGGCGGTTGCCCCCCTTTTCCCGTGTGCGGTGCGGAGTTGAAGGCTGCTTACATATGCTTCGAGGAGCAATATCATAATGCATGCCAACAGCTCCGTACGTCCGTACACTCCGCGTATCTGTCGGCTGTACAGAGGGAGTTAGCGGGAGAGGGGCCGGCCGACTCTTCGGAGTTGGCCGCGCAACTAACATTATCTTGCGCGGGACGCTATTCGTAGCTGTGCATCGCAGATGATGTGCGCTGTTATGTGCATGCGCAGGCGGTGGATGTCGGTATCTAAATACTCGACTTACACACGCCAAGACCTACTTGCTTTGCCGTATAAGAGGGTGCCACCCTCTTCCCTGGGGCTCAGCAGGCGGTCCGAGAGGCTGCTCAATTGTATACTTCCATCAAAGACTCATAAGGCCTTGTTGGAGGTACCAAGCGTTAAAACCGCGTAAGCGGGCCTCTCCAATTGTCCCCTCCTACGCTAACGCACGGGTCAGACGTCCACACCTGCTTGGAAGCCGCCGCTTCCTTCAGGTATAAGGGCGCCGTGAGGAGCAAGAGAGGCACGGGCCGGGGCAAGGCAGCTGGTCGAGGCCAACAGCTTTTTCGCGGGGCTGGGAACGATGGGTTCCCATTAGCGCCCGAAGAGCCCCGGGTGAACCCATAGTCGCAAGTTATCGGGAAAACTCATCCGCTCCTCCACTTTTCCGGGATAAAGCACACACCGGTGCCTGCTACCCGAGAGAAGGCGGAATTCCTCCTTGCCGAGGTCGACGCACTTCTTATGAAAGCTGCGATCGAACCGGGTCCCGAGGGACAGGAAAGCGAGGGCTTCTACTCGACTTGTTTCCTAGTCACCAAACAGTGATCTCAACTGTCGAGACAGGAGAATGGCTAACGTCAATAGACTTAAAATACGCCTATCTCCACATACCAATACATCCAGAGTTCAAGAAATACCTGAGGTTTTCTTTCGACGGGAGGTGTTATCAGTTCAGGGTTCTACCATTCGGGATCTCCACGGCCCCGAGGGTGTTCACCAAGCTGATGTTGATTCCCGCCCAAGTGGCCAGGTCAAAAGGTCGGTTCTGCCATCCGTACCTCGACGACTAGGTTACTAAGAGCTCTATTCCAATCCCTGAGTCAGATAGCTACACAACAAGTGATAGATATTCTGATCACTCTAGGGTGGATGGTCAATCTCAAGAAGTCAGATCTGAGCCCCACTCAGAATCTAGTCTTCCTAGTGGCTAATTTCAACACGGTGAGAGGACGTGTATCTCTGTCACAAGATATCAAGTCCCTTAAGCGCAAGTCACACTGCTCGTACATGGCTCCAGTTACTGGACAACATGGCGGCGACAGTGGATTTGGTCTGGCGGGCGCGCTTGAGAATGAGTCCCATTCAACAAGCACTCCGTCGACTTTGGGCGAACTCGGAAGATCTCGAGACTGTGCTCGAGACTCCGTAGTGGCTCATTACACACCTCCAGTGGTGGACCGAGGTCGGGAATCACTCCCGTTCCGTCTCTCACAGTTCAAACAGACGCGTCACTCTCCGGCTGGGGAGGCGTTCTGAATGATCACACTGCCTCGGGACTATGGTCCCAGCAGGAGATCAAACTGCATATCAATGTGCTAGAACTGAGAGCGGTCAGGTTGGTGTTCCAACGCTTCCCGGATCTGCTTCGTGGCCAAGTGGTTCGTCTAGAGATGGACAACCAAACGGCGATGACTTACATCCGGAAGCAGGGGGGAACGGCGTCTCCGTCGCTTCGACGAAAGACGTGGCAGTTCCTACTATAGTGCGACTCTCACGATATCAGGGTGCTACCTGTTTATCTCCCGGGGGTGGACAACGTCCGTGCGGACGCTCTGTCTTGCCGGATCCTCGCTCCTCACGAGTGGAGGCTCGACCCGGGGATATTCGGGATTTTCTCCCTGTTATACAGGTCGTTACAGGTGGATCTGTTTGCGTCTGGGTTAAATAACCAGACACCAACGTTCTGCTCCCGAGTCCACGACCCGAGGTCGGTGGCACCGGACGCCTTTCAGCTAGATTGGACGGACAGTTCTGTGGGCATTCTCCCCAGTACCTCTGATTTCCAAGGTCCTGTCTCAGCTAGGCACTCAGCCTGCGCGACTAATTGTGCTCCTGGCACCTCTTTAGTCGGCGCAGAGTGGGTTTCCAGTAATACTCAGGTTTCTGGCTCAGCCTCCTGTTATATTACCTTTACGACCGGACCTCCTATCCCAGAACGGGGCCCTCCACCCGAATCTCAGGATTCAATGGGTGGCTTGGCCACTGTCAGGAATCGCCTCCAGAAGAGCGGTATTCCTGCACGAGTTGCAGACACAATACTGGCTTCGCGGAGGGATTCGACAAACGTTCAGTACGATAGATAGGCCTGCTATGCGCCCAGGTGTGTCGATAGAGGGATTGCAGATCTTTTTTCTGCAGATCTCGTATCCGTGCTTGAGTTTCTCCAGTCGCGACTAGATGACGGCCTGGCCGCATCAACAGTCCGAGGGTACTCTACAGATATCGCAGCTTTTCACGTCCCTGTCGACGGGGCACTTCTGGGTGCACACCCATTAGTGCAGCGCTTTTTAGCAGGTGTGGACAGGATCCGACCGCCAGTCCGGCGGATCAGTCCCCCTTGGGACTTGTCAATCATTCTAGATTGGCTGTCCGGTCCTTCCTTTCGGGATCTGTCGTCTCTCTCTCTTCAGCTGTTGAGCTGGGAGACGGCGTTCCTTGTGGTGGTAACGTCCGGCAGACGGGTAGGCGACATTCGTGTTATGTCAGCCGATCCCAAAATAACTGTCTTCCATGGGGTCGATAAATATCACCGGGACAGTCAGTTTTCGTCTACCGGACTATTACCGTCCTAGGGTCGCACACGATTCCACGTGAACGGCTCCTATTGAGCTACCCGCTCTTTCACAGCCTTCCTCGTCGGGGACCACTGCAAGACATGCTCATGTCTTGGATGTCCGCACGACTCTCAAGGCCTATATCAGCAGAAATATGGGTGTCCGTAAGGATAACCAACTATTTTGCTGTTACTGCGGTAGGAAGGTTGGCTCACCTGCGAGTAAACAATCTATCTCGAGGTGGATAGTTTCAAACATTTGTACAGCGTATACGCTTACAGGCAGGGACCCCCCTACCAGGTTGAAGGCTCATTAGGTTAGAGCAGTGGCTGCGTCAAAAGCGTACGCCGCGGCTCTGCCCATTGAGCAGATCTGCTCCGCGGCTATTTGGAGCCAGCCAAGCACGATTCATCAAACCTTACCAACTCGACAAACACTCAAGCGAGCGTACTCGGTTTGGTCAGTCAGTTCTCCGAACTGGGCAAAGTTCTAATCTCTAGCTGATTGAGCATTCGAGATTTTAGACAGTCTTCCGGTTATACTGCTCAGTAATGGTCCGGATTTTTATCTTCTGCGGTCGATAAATATCAGTCCTTACTACTCGATAATACTCGTATTTTGCGCACGCACTCCTTCGATCCTCGGGGACCCTCTGGCCTAGCTCAGCGCTGGTTATGGTCTCTCGTGATCTACGCCCTTATATCACTTGTTCAAAAAAGTGTGGGGGGGTGGGAGGTGTTTCGAGTTCTCAACTTATGACAAGCCGCAAAAACAGGCTTTATCATAATATATGGTCGACCACGCCCTGTCTCTAGCCCCCGCCTTTCGACGGTGGTGCCTCACGATAAGGTTGGTTCCATTTATTGAACTCAATATTTTATTCTGTTGAATAATCAAATACGATGTATTTATTTACGCCTGTTGCTGACGGATGCCACTTCCTAGATTATCTTTGGGAGTCTGTCTTGATGCAATAAGTGCCCCAAGGAGGATTTAATCAGAAAGAGAATTTTACAAACCTGTAGAGGTTATGAATTCTCTGATGAAATCCTCCTTGGGGCACGGCCACCCACCTCCCCACATTCCGTCAGCATTTGACATATGGAAAGTGATTTGGGTGAGAGTTGCTCCCCCTGGCGTGAACCGCCGTTGGGGGTGAGGCCCCGTAAGGGTGGTCGTATATCATACAAAAACGAAGTTTTTTGTGTGGTAACATTTTTTATTAAGGAAAATGGTTACAACTATGTCATATAGATTTTCTTGAGCAAGGAAAATGCAATAAGTGCCCCAAGGAGGATTTCATCAGAGAATTCATAACCTCTACAGGTTTGTAAAAATTTACAGTGTGCAGTTTTGTACACATCAACTTTAGCCGGAACACATTTTAGCTTTTAGGCTTTATAGGAATTCAGTTCAGTTTTTAGATCAGCAGATCTGGAGAGTTGATCGTTCATGGTGTGTGTATGTGTTTTTTGGAGATTCACAGTATAGTTTAGACATGGTGTATTCAACTTATCTTGAAAAGGATAAGTAAACAGGCTTAACTGGCTTTTGTAAATACCACTCCCTGTTACATAATAACATTTGTTTAGACACAAAAACTTTAAGGTCAAGAAACAACACAAACTATATAGTAAGAAGACCACTCATGTTATAAAGACCAAAGTTATAATGCATATATAAGCATGCTATACATTATTATTCCTCTCTTGTGAAGAGATCACCCGTTTAATAAACATACATCTGTATTACACATTGTGTAATACCAAAGCATGTGCTTATGTACTGCTGGAACAAACTTCACTACCAAATACTGAAAACTCCCAACATCCCTGGGTTCTTTCAATGACATTGTGTGTAGATATGATAGATCACTGAGAAGAGCTTATGCACACACGATGACCCCAGCAACCCTGTTGCTAGGCAGACGTCACATGGCATTGTTTTGCCAGTGGATCTTGCGACAAAATTTCACAAATTATGTAGTTGGGCGTTGTGATGTGACTGTAAACTTTGTGGTGCAGGGTCCCGTTCCACAAGGCGATCGTAGCGCAACGACAATAGTAAGTCAATGTTAAAGTTTGGGAGTTACGATAACTTTGTGTAACCCCCTGAATAGTAAAGGTGGGCTGTTGTATGGTATAAAATTAATAAGTATCCACTTTTTACTTGTTTGAAGTATTATGCTGTTAAAATCATATGGAGTAAACTGTGGATCTCGTAGATGTCTGCTTATTCACACACGGCAGCTAAAATTGAAAAAAAATCTTGTTAAGTTCATGCTATCTGTTTAGAATGCTTAATATAATCCCGTCACAGATTCTAAGGGGGTAGGAGCAGGAAGAAAGAAACTACTGCCTACTATTTCTTAATGTAATGATTATCTATATCTATTTGACGCGGAATGACATTACAAAGATATTCTAGAGTACCGGTAATGTTGTTGATCATTTGTAATATAAACATAGTTTTTTGATTTCTCTTATTTTCTTGAGGCCATAGACCAGTTTCTTTATATAATTTATTTTAGCTCACACAACGTGTTGGAGGTGGTTGGATAGAATTGTGGTTAAAGCGTTCGGTTGTCACGCTGAAGACCCGGGTTCGATTCCCGACATGGGTACAATGAGTAAAGCCCATTTCTGATGTCCCCCGCCATGATTTTTAAATATGAAGCGTAATTCCTGCTGTTGTGTACACGTATCACATATAGTGGAGCTGTAATCAAGTACAGGCAAAATGAACTATAAATACATTGTTGTTAGCATTTTCCTGGTCAAGCGTTATTCATAACCCATCAAGCCATTTATCATAGGACTAACGTTCTTAACAATATTACTGATATATTCATACAGTGGTTGTGTTGTGAGGAGACTCATGGTGCCTGTGTTGTTTGGAGACTCGTGGTGCCTGTGTTGTGTGGAGACTCATGGTGCCTGTGTTGTGTGGAGACTCATGGTGCCTGTGTTGTTTGGAGACTCGTGGTGCCTGTGTTGTGTGGAGACTCATGGTGCCTGTGTTGTGTGGAGACTCGTAGTGCCTGTGTTGTGTGGAGACTCGTAGTGCCTGTGTTGTGTGGAGACTCGTGGTGCCTGGGTTGTGTGGAGACTCGTAGTGCCTGTGTTGTGTGGAGATTCATGGTGCCTGTGTTGTGTGGAGACTCATGGTGCCTGTGTTGTGTGGAGACTCATAGTGCCTGTGTTGTGTGGAGACTCATGGTGCCAGTGTTGTTTGGAGACTCATGGTGCCAGTGTTGTTTGGAGACTCATGGTGCCTGTGTTGTGTGGAGACTCATGGTGCCTGTGTTGTGTGGAGATTTATGGTGCCTGTGTTGTGTGGAGACTCATGGTGCCTGTGTTGTGTGGAGACTCATGGTGCCTGTGTTGTGTGGAGACTCGTGGTGTCTGTGTTGTGTGGAGACTCGTGGTGCCTGTGTTGTGTGGAGACTCATGGTGCCTGTGTTGTGTGGAGACTCATGGTGCCTGTGTTGTGTGGAGACTCATGGTGCCTGTTTATTCTACTTTCAGAACGAGCTGTATGTGCATGGCCTGAGTTCAGGGTCAAGGATGTCGCAGCTGCCCCTGGAGGTCGGGTCAGTCGTGGGCTACTCAGGGAAGAAGAAGTATGACGAGGTGAAGCACTTGGCAGACAGGCATTTACCCTCTGAGTCAGATCCATTTTTCTAGTTTAGACAGCCTCTGTGGTCAAGTGAAGAGAACATCTGACCAGAGTGTGGAAGGTCGGTGGTTCGATCCCAGACCGTTTCATACCCCAAAATGTTGTAAGATGGAGTTTGTTGTTATCCTGCCTGGTGCTCGGCATTAAGGGCTTAAAACAAGGACTGGTTGGCTGGGAGTCAGTATACTGTGTCCGAGTTGGGTATCCATGTTAAACTGTGACATGGTATCTAAGTGGGAAAGCACTATAAAAACCTGACAGGGCTTCAGACTAATACAAGCAGGCACACACCACATGTCGCTATATAGGCATGCACCTCATTATAATAGTGCAGTAATCTTGGATGCAATGTTGAACCTCATTTCCGCTCACTCTTTCTTGTTTAACTAATGAGACTACCTGAATATTTGCATACCAGGTAAGTGGCAGAATTTAGAATAAAAAATAAATTTGTTTGACATTTTTAGAAAAAAATACCTCAAATGAACACATTTCTATGATGCATCCTGCATCAACACAAGAAACAGAAGTGGTTTGGCCAAAGACGATTTAAAATGCTTTTGGGGAATCAGCTGAAAGTGTATTTTAATACATCAATTAAAACATCACCAGCTGTCTTCCCACTGTACTCTTTCCAAACTGAATTGTGAAGCTATGGACTGAGTTATTACCATGATTACTTGAGTAAATTACAAATGTATTTGGTAGATGTTAGTTGTAATATTACCTTTCAAGGGAGAGTATCTACTGATTCCTTTTATTATTAATGGACATGATGGCCCCATTGTCACTGGTGGAACTGCGTAGAGACGTTACTGAAGACGTATTTATGTGTTTCAGATTTTCTACCAGTTCACATCATTTCTGACTCCTGGCATCATCTACAGGTGTGACATGACAACAGACACGTACGCCCCCAAGGTAAGTCTGTCTGACATCATCTACAGGTGTGACATGACGACAGACACGTACACCCCCAAGGTAAGTCTGTCTGACATCAGCTACAGGTGTGACATGACAACAGACACGTACACCCGCAAGGTAAGTCTGTCTGACATTATCTACAGGTGTGACATGACAACAGACACGTACACCCGCAAGGTAAGTCTGTCTGACATTATCTACAGGTGTGACATGACAACAGACACGTACACCCCCAAGGTAAGTCTGTCTGACATCAGCTACAGGTGTGACATGACAACAGACACGTACACCCCCAAGGTAAGTCTGTCTGACATTATCTACAGGTGTGACATGACAACAGACACGTACACCCCCAAGGTAAGTCTGTCTGACATTATCTACAGGTGTGACATGACAACAGACACGTACACCCCCAAGGTAAGTCTGTCTGACATCATTTGATTACAAAACATAATGCTGTTGTAGGATCTACAATTACATGGCGTCAAGGCTCTGCTACCTACGCACATCATAAGAAATCAACACCGAGAGTGCAGTATGTCATGCAGGAGTGTTCATAATGCCGAGATGTCTCTTTTTCAGACTTTCCGTGAAATTAAAGTCAAGGATTTTGACACCAGCCAGTTTGAGACAGAACAAGTTTTCTTTCCCAGTAAAGATGGAACAAAGATCCCAATGTTCATTGTTCACAGAAAGGTAATGTCCCCTGGCACTGTTTATAGAGTTTATGTCTTCTTCCCACCCTATCAAAGTAGGGGAAATATGAGCTTCAAAAACACAGATGCTTTTTTGTTTTATGCAAGCTAAAAAGTTAATGCAAAAAATATACAATATTTGAAACTGCTAGATAGTTTCCAAAAATCATACTTAACTAACACTGCACACAAGACAGCATATTTTGGTAACTTTTTGAAGAAAAATACAAATATTATATGATATTTTCATTTTAAATTTTACTCCCACCTACTGACCAAACTATTAGCAAGAAATCTGTAAATCATGAAATATACAAAGCTTGCTGAACATTCTTGTGAACGTTTATTGTTTTTGAAGTGGTGTTCTTAAACTAATTACCAATCTTTGAAATTCACATTGTGATGCTAGTCCAAGACAACTAAATTGTGCTGTGGACAAGCAAAAATCCAATGATGGAAGTCCTCATTGACTAGTAGTATTTGAGACCTATAATTTTTAACCAATTTTGCTACAAGTTAGAACTGAATAAAACCGACAAACATGAAAGCCTGAGCACTACTAAAATATTTTCACTCGTTATCTGAACTAATTTTATAAAACAAGTTTTGAAGGCTGAATTACACTGGAGGTACCAAACCACCTCCCTTGTTCTATTGATAACAGTGCAGGTCTGTGTCTAGAGTTGCACCGATGCCATGTGCTTGGACTAGCAGTGCCAGGGTGCTCCCAGTTCCTTTCCCTGGAACTTAAGCAGGATTCAGGGACCCTTGGAATTTAAATGTAGTATTTATATCTGAGGATTCTCTAAATCTTAGGGCCCTTGAATGTCGTCCTTGATTCAAACGATAATTAACCATGCCAGTCTCTGCTGACTGAATCCCAGAGTTTCCCTGATAATGACCCTTGGTCTGGCAGCGCCATGCTCTTCCATTTGTGTCAGTTCCATATCCGTGCTCATGGGTTTTCACCAAAGTGCTAAATGTCTATACCTGTATCATTTCCGGCTTTTCTCCCACATCTATGACATGATGTCATATAGCTAGAATACTGTGCAAAGCGGCGTCAAACCTAACGTATGCACTAAAGTGATTGGTTACTACAGCATCTATTTCTTCCTGTTGCAGGGCTTGGTCCATGACGGAAGCCACCCGGTGATGTTGTATGGCTATGGAGGATTCAACATCTCCATCAGTCCATCCTTCTCTCCGTCCCGACTTGTCTTCTTGCAGCATCTGGGTGGAGTCTACGCCATCGCTAACATCCGCGGCGGAGGGTTAGTAGTCCTGTCCGATGTTCATTGAAATACTGTATTGACATGTGTCAAAGATGCAGAAGGTTGGGGAAACTGTGGCCACTCATTGTACAGGAAATGTACAGGAAATGTACAGGTGGCTGCAAGCCATGTAATCCAGGCAGATGGGGAATCAGGTTCTCGGCAATTGATTGCTTGTGGTATGTGGCAACCAAGTTAAGTTGGGTGGTCAGACTTGGTGACTTGGTTCATTGAGTGTCATAATACCTGATGACGTTGTGGAAGACATCAGTCACAGGTTTGTCTGACCCACACTCAATCAGTTACAGTTCCCTGTGATATGGCTGGACTATTGCCCACTGTGGCTTAAGACAGTAGATTATTTGTTTTTACATTCCCTTGTGGTTACTGACATTGTTGTAATATTCAGTGTGTATTTTCAGTGAATACGGAGAGTCTTGGCACAAGGCAGGCAACTGTGCCAACAAGCAGAATGTGTTTGACGACTTCCAGTCCGCTGCCCAATACCTCACAGAGAATAAATGGACGTCGGCTAAAAGGTGAGACGTGGAATAGGACCTACTCACTTGTAGTTTTATTTTCTCATAGGTATATCAATATTATATGTTAGAATACTGGTGTGTAGTCATACGGAAAACAGTACTTTGAAAATTATCATTGGCCAACAGTTGTACCGTTTACTAAAGAACATGAATTTCAGCCGAGTTCTGCAATATTAGTAACATTAGAACTGTGTCTGAAAGCATATTCACAAAGGTGCTTGGGATTTCAGTAGTGATGCATCTGCATCAAGGTCCCTTGAAATTCATCATTACAATCCCAATGTTACAAACATTTATTTTCAGTGAAGAATGAAATTTAGACCTCGATATGGTATTTCAAATGCGAACAGGCACCATTATTCTGATGTGGAGAGTTAACGACATCCTACCATACTTTGTTATGTTATGATGGTCTCCCATAGGCAGACAACCAGCTTGAATGGGATTGTACACGATGGCAGCTGGCCAGTCAGACATCTCGATGTCAAGGAGTAGTGACATACTTGATACATGTTGTGTTTTCATGTCCCAGGATCACAATCAACGGGGGTTCTAATGGCGGCCTTCTGGTGGGTGCTTGTATCAACCAGAGACCTGATCTCTTCGGCTGTGCGGTGGCTCAAGTGGGGTCAGTAGCACTAAGTTCAAATTATAGGTTCTTTCCCTAAATACTGTATATCTTGGGTCTAAGGGTCTAAGGTTCAAAGGGTAATGTTTTGAAGTAAGAGCTACAGGTAATGATTTTGCCCCATTACATTTGAATACATCAAAGCCTCAGAAAACAAATCCATTCCTCCTTATTGGGCAGGCATCTCTGACAAGAGATAGACAAAAGGGAGTCAAAATATACTGAATACCCAAAGACAACTATCAATACCCAATGTGAATGAAAATTTGTGAGTAAATACTCAATGGTTAAAATAAATTTCTGGAAGTGTGATTCATGCTTATGAGTTTGGTATGACACTTTTAGGTGAGTTTAACTCCCCACCACCTGGACACTAACAATACACCTATCAAATGTTGAGTAGGATATACAAGATAAAGGAATGGAATAAGCTGTCAAGTAATAAAGAAAGTTAATCTGTGAACAAATGAGCTTGGGGAGTACATCGGTGACAGAACATTAAACATTAATTGGAGTGACATAAAATATGAATTTAGGTGGATTATATGCTTGCATTTAGTGATGCATGTTTTACAATTTATCCAATGTTTGATTTTTATAATGTTCCAAACATCGAGTACTTAAAGAATAACATGCTTTACAAACTTAAGAGTGGTGTTCTTTTTAAACTCAACACAATCCAGATTGGTTGTAGTAGGTTGACAATCATTGTCCTTGTCTTTACCTACCCATCTTCGTATTGTTTGCCTCAGAGTGCTAGACATGCTGCGATTCCACAAGTTCACAATCGGCCATGCATGGACTACAGACTATGGCTCGTCAGACAGCACCGACGACTTCAAGGTTCTAATCAAGTGAGTCCAGAATCCTCAGGTTTGCGATCGGAGCTGAATCTGCTTGCTTTATTGACAGTGGACGGTGGGCCCCACATTAAGATCTGCGCACAATGAGGATAGCTCCACTTTGTTAGTAATGTCCCCTCTTCCAATATGAACCACTGATAATACAGTTTCACCATGACCATTGCTTGACCAAATGTAGAATGAAAGGAAGTGACATTAAGTGTGATCTGTACATGTCAGTGATTGTAGGGTACTCCCCGACCACTCACTCACTCACTCCAGGTTTCATTATGTATTTCACATACATCCCACTCACTCACTCACTCACTCACTCACTCACTCACTCCAGGTTTCGTTACAGTGTTGGTGTTGTTTCACATACATCCCACTCACTCACTCACTCACTCACTCCAGGTTTCGTTACAGTGTTGGTGTTGTTTCACATACATCCCACTCACTCACTCACTCACTCCAGGTTTCGTTACAGTGTTGGTGTTGTTTCACATACATCCCACTCACTCACTCACTCCAGGTTTCGTTACAGTGTTGGTGTTGCTTCACATACTTCCCACTCACTCACTCACTCACTCCAGGTTTGGGTACAGTGTGATGTTGTTTCAGGTACTCCCCGCTACACAACATCAGGGAACAGAAGGATCAGTACCCAGCTTTGCTGCTGCTGACTGGCGACCACGACGACAGAGTTGTCCCCCTTCACTCGCTCAAGTTCCTGGCACAAATCCAATACACATTCAAGGACAGTGATTCACAGGTATTTAATAACTGTGCCATGCAAGAACCCCCTGGACCGGGCAGCAACGTTCCACCTACATCACAGCAGCCTGTAAATAATCAAATCAGGGCCAGACAATCCAGTGAATCACCAATCTCATTCAAATCAGATTTAAGTTCTCGATGCCGCTAAACAAAGATCTAAGGACATCCCATTACGGGTCACGTCAGAACGAACTTTCGCGAACTTTGACCGACCACAGAAATGAATAACAAGAAGTCGACATCAGCCAATTAGAAAGCAGCTTTCTCGAGCTTTACAGCACTCGTTTCGACCTGGCGACTTCCATTTCAAACTACGACTTCCATTTCAGACTACGCTTGAAAAATATGTTGACACAGTTCTAGATTAAAATTTTGAAAACTGAACAAACGAACATTCTGGAATGTCTAATATATGATTGAGATTGTATGGCAGTGCTTCCCACGCACTGTGCAACGCCTCCACCTTTCAAATGTTTATACCACGGAAGTGAGACATAGACGATAATAATCAGTCGAACAGGCTGTAACTGTCGTTCGGAATACCCCGTGTTAACATTTTCGAGGTTGCATGATTAGAAAACACATTCCGACTGTCACTTTCATGATCTTGTTAGCGACGCTTTCATTGCTTGGATGAAAGGTCGTTCTCACGTGACCCGTAATGGGATGTCCTCAGATTGTTGTTTAGCGATAGCGAGAACTAAGATTTTATTTGAATGAGATTGGTGAATCATATGAGCAAGGCCCACGCTGTTGACATGCAGTTTACCTTGTCGGTTGTGACAAGCAATAGATCTATTCTGGACCCATTCAGGGCCCCTGATAGGCTTTGTAGATACAGTGCCTGTATAATCGTTATGACTTATCTTTAATTGAACACCAGGTGTATGTAGAATTCTGCTGTATTTCTGTGTACCTCAGTCAATATAGACCCGTGAAGATACGGGTTAGAATAAGTCTTCAGCAACCCATGCTTGTCGTAAGAGGCAACTAACAGGGTCAGGTGATCAGGTTCCCTGACTTGGTTGATGCATGTCATGGTATCCCAATTGCATGGTTTTATACTCATGATAAGAATCACTGGGTGTCTTGTCCAGACTCGGTTATTTCCAGACATCTGTCATATAGCTGAAATATTGTGTGGCGTTGAACAACAAACAAACGAACACAATGAGTATATGTCACTTGTGTTGTAAGGTGAGGTGAAATGGGATTTCTGCACTTATATTGCATGAGTACATGCATGCACCAGTCCGGACTAATGCTGGTTTAATAGTGCTAGCCCACTGAGATATCATGCCGCAGTTTAACATGACTACCCCACTCAGACACCATTTACTGACCAGTCCTAGTTAAAGCTGAGTGCCACACCGGGTACCAACAAGTACCTTCTTTTAACATCTTTAGCTGTGACGTATCTGCAGATTGTAACATTGTGTTGTATCATCAGGTTTATTTGAAACTTTTTGATGTGAGATGCAGTACATGGATTGTTTTAAGTGAGTTGTCTTCCCTTTGTCCCAGGCCAACCCGCTGATGGGCAGGATTGACACCAAGTCAGGACACGGCTTTGGTAAACCAACAGCTAAAGTTGTAAGTAAATGCCCCAATCACACAGCAATATGCAGCATTCCTCAAGTATGTGTGGCCTACTGATTTTGTGCATTGAGAGTAGGGAAATACTTTGTATATTTAGAAGGCTACACGCATGCAAAAGTAATAATTCTCCCTGTATTTCTCCTGCTTTAAACTTTGGTGTAGTGAAGAAGTAATATTCTATGTTTATGATATCAAACCAATGTAAACATTGGCAAGCCATACGAAAACTGAGAGCCTTACTTGATCGTCAGTTCATTCAACCATGTTTACATACTACTCACAGGAAGTAAGGGAACACGTAACATCAGGCTTATATAGTGTTGTCAGTTTGTTTTATTAATGCAATCGTTGACACATGTAAACATGAACAGTACGGTAGTTATCAGTCAGGAGTGCCTGGCACGCATTCTTGTCAAAACTTAATTATTATAATGCAAGTCCATCCGCCATATTCATTGACATGTTATTCAACAGAAACTTTTATTGACTCCTAATCACTAAATTTTAAACTTTTGTCACAGTCTATGTCAAACACTGATGACACTGCTAGCCAGAACATGGCTCTTGGCATCTTTTTCAGTAGATTGTAGTGTTATTTTATGGACTGTTATTACCTGAGCTTACTAGACCTAACAGAATTTTAATAGACTCAGGCTTCGGACTAGTTGCTAAAGTCACAGCATGGAGTCACTAAAAAAATAAAGGGGAATTACCAGGAAGTGGTATTCCCCAAACCTGAGCCAATCAGATGTCTACGTTCAGGTATTTCACTCACTAACGCTGGCGAAATACTGGAATTTAAACATAGTATGACATGAACACTCATATGATATCCTCTATTGATGGACCTGAAAAAAGCACCGGGTCCCTTGGTAATATGTGTCTGTATGTGGGGTTGATGCATTGTGACACTCCTGACCTTTGCCATTTTCAGATTGAGGAGCTAACTGATATCTACAGCTTCATGCACCAGACAGTTGGACTCAAGTGGTCAGACTGACTTCAGGCCAGACTCTGACCTGCACGGATATCATGCGAGACGTCCCACCATTTGTAAATCAGTTTGTGGCCAGTTTGATTAGGGGATAATTTTCAAAGGAAACACTCTCATAATGATTCACTTGTTCTCAAGTCAAAATAACCTATTCCAAGACAGATTAATTCATCCGTGAAGGGTTTGATGCTTGTATATATTGATGATTTAAGTGCTCTTTGTGAAATCAAAAATGGATGGTAAAAATGTTTTAGTTTGTGTTTTGGATATTAATGTATATAATTCATGGCGTAGGATAACAACAACAATTATGATATCTGTGAGTCCGTGGTTTACGAACCCAACAGAAATGTGAATGTTTTCATGATACTGTTGGCCTGAAGAGGAATTGAACTAAATGTTTCTTATGGCGTGGTTTTATCAGGCATTTTTTTGTACTTACTGGCGTGGACATTTTTCCATATCCTGACGTTGAATTGTATAATAATGAGATAACTGATGAGGTAGATTATGTCTAAATCAGAATTCAGTTGGGTTTTTCTCTACCACTTTTAGTAAAGTTCAAGCAATATCACAGCAGGAAGCACCGTAAATAGGCGTCACACATTGTATCCACCTGGGAACTCGAATCTTGGTCTTTGGCGTGACAAGCGAATACTTGGACCACTAGGCTACTCCACTGCCCCCATTTGCCGTGTGGTCGAGGGGCAGTGATTGACATTGCAGAGTTGCATCCTTTAGGATCTGCTGGTGTGGGCTCTTGTCCAACGTTCGCCCATATGTGCCTGTGCCTGTTACAGACATTTCCGAAACTGCGCAGACACAACATGATATATTTGGAATAATGTTAATACTGGCATTGAACCTAACTCACTCGGTCAGTAATTTGTTGAAGCATCTGATACATGAATTTTGGGCTCACTTGTGTTCAGTAAGGAAAGATACAGTTTGATAAGCACTTCATGTTATGCAGAAATCATCTATTATTGAATGCTGAAATTATTTTCTGGATGGAAGAACTGATTAGAAAAAAGGTGAAGTAAGACGAGTTCTATGGATGAACAACTTCTTTATTACAATTAGTGCGACGTTTCGGTGTAGATTCTAACACCTTTATCAAGCAAGTGATGGATAGTGCTGCTAATTGTAATAAAGAAGTTGTTCATCCATAGAACTCATCTTACTTCATCACACCAACTTCTAAATGCCACTGAAAGAAGTTAGATAAAAGGTATAAAAAAGAAAATTGTTTTCACTATTATCTTGATTAAGTAGGATTGGGTATGATAATTATTATCATGATTATGTTCCCTTGTTATTTCCTTGTTTACAATGACATCATGGTGAGACTGATACAACTTTGGCATGAGTGTCAAGATTAGTGAGAGGTGAGCTCCTGACCACTGGTTGGACCAGAGACTGCATGTTCTGTGTGTGACTAACTGATCTGCGACAATAGTGTATATGTAAGTCCACTGTACGATGCTGGTGCCATGTAGAGTGGACACTTGTGATATTGATCTCTGTGGAGGCTGTGTGAGATGCACCGGCCTACCGTCAATAACGGCCATAATTCCGTTGTAATACAGACTCTTTTCACAAACACAACTTGTTTGTTATATTTGGATGAAATGTCAGATTCGAATTCCAAGCTTTTCTGTGGAAAGACTGCAGACATCTAAGGACAACAACTTTGATTGTCCCATGTATATCTCAGTTCTACTGAAAGACTGCAGACATCTAAGGACAACAACTTTGATTGTCCCATGTATATCTCAGTTCTACTGAAAGACTGCAGACATCTAAGGACAACAACTTTGATTGTCCCATGTATATCTCAGTTCTACTGAAAGACTGCAGACATCTAAGGACAACAACTTTGATTGTCCCATGTATATCTCAGTTCTACTGAAAGACTGCAGACATCTAAGGACAACACAGCTTTGATTGTCTCATGTATATCTCAGTTCTACTGAAAGACTGCAGACATATAAGGACAACACAGCTTTGAATGTCTCATGTATATCTCAGTTCTACTGAAAGACTGCAGACATCTAAGGACAACACAGCTTTGATTGTCCCATGTATATCTCAGTTCTACTGAAAGACTGCAGACATCTAAGGACAACACAGCTTTGATTGTCTCATGTATATCTCAGTTCTACTGAAAGACTGCAGACATATAAGGACAACACAGCTTTGAATGTCTCATGTATATCTCAGTTCTACTGAAAGACTGCAGACATCTAAGGACAACACAGCTTTGATTGTCTCATGTATATCTCAGTTCTATTGAAAGACTGCAGACATATAAGGACAACACAGCTTTGAATGTCTCATGTATATCTCAGTTCTACTGAAAGACTGCAGACATCTAAGGACAACACAGCTTTGATTGTCTCATGTATATCTCAGTTCTATTGAAAGACTGCAGACATATAAGGACAACACAGCTTTGAATGTCTCATGTATATCTCAGTTCTACTGAAAGACTGCAGACATATAAGGACAACACAGCTTTGAATGTCTCATGTATATCTCAGTTCTATTGAAAGACTGCAGACATATAAGGACAACACAGCTTTGATTGTCTCATGTATATCTCAGTTCTATTGAAAGACTGCAGACATCTAAGGACAACATAGCTTTGATTGTCTCATGTATATCTCAGTTCTACTGAAAGACTGCAGACATCTAAGGACAACACAGCTTTGATTGTCTCATGTATATCTCAGTTCTATTGAAAGACTGCAGACATATAAGGACAACACAGCTTTGATTGTCTCATGTATATCTCAGTTCTATTGAAAGACTGCAGACATCTAAGGACAACATAGCTTTGATTGTCTCATGTATATCTCAGTTCTACTGAAAGACTGCAGACATATAAGGACAACACAGCTTTGATTGTCTCATGTATATCTCAGTTCTACTGAAAGACTGCAGACATCTAAGGACAACACAGCTTTGAATGTCTCATGTATATCTCAGTTCTACTGAAAGACTGCAGACATCTAAGGACAACACAGCTTTGATTGTCTCATGTATACCTCAGTTCTACTGAAAGACTGCAGACATATAAGGACAACACAGCTTTGATTGTCTCATGTATATCTCAGTTCTACTGAAAGACTGCAGACATCTAAGGACAACATAGCTTTGATTGTCTCATGTATATCTCAGTTCTACTGAAAGACTGCAGACATATAAGGACAACACAGCTTTGAATGTCTCATGTATACCTCAGTTCTATTGAAAGACTGCAGACATCTAAGGACAACACAGCTTTGAATGTCTCATGTATATCTCAGTTCTACTGAAAGACTGCAGACATCTAAGGACAACACAGCTTTGATTGTCTCATGTATACCTCAGTTCTACTGAAAGACTGCAGACATCTAAGGACAACATAGCTTTGATTGTCTCATGTATATCTCAGTTCTATTGAAAGACTGCAGACATCTAAGGACAACACAACTTAAATTGTCTCATGTATACACATGCACAAAAGTTAAGCGGCACCAACCATATTTGTGAGCTGTTACTTTCGGCACTTAATGATGACAATTATAAAGAGATGTACGATTGTTCTAAGCCGTCTAGTAAACCTCATGTGATGCAAAAGTTGTCCCAAAGCAAGTTTATCTTGTGTTCCAAAAGAATATGAGGAGAATGGAATTTTACTGAAGACCAGAAATTGAAGGATTAGAAAACATTGAAAAACTTTTTTTGTCATGTAACTGTCATGATATCAGCAGACCATACCAGGTGTCACATAGACACCCTAGGGAGTGCAGAGTCTATTGCAAGACAGAAACGTCAGTAACGTGTGTATGATCCACGGACATTGACCACAGCTTCAACCCTACGCCTCATACTCATTATAAGTCGTTGAATGCTTCTCTGAGGCAAACGGATCCATTCTTCATGAAGTGCGGCTTCAAGTCCAGCGAGATTTTGAACTGGGGGATCACGATGTCTGATTTTCCGTCCAAGAATGTCCCAGAGATGCTCAATCGGATTAAGATCCGGACTACAGGCCGGCCAAGGAAAAAGCTTCTTGACGCAAATAGGCCAAAACTGCCCGAGATCTGTGTGGTCTAGCATTGTCGTCCATGTAAACAGGTCTTGTCTGAAGAGGATGGTTGTCAAAATGAGGGACTACCACTGGACGAAGAACGGCATCTTGGTATTGTTGGCCATTCAGGTTTCCACGAATTGTCACCAGCGGAAGTTTGCAGCCGAAGGAAACACAACCCCATATCATGACAGACCCCCCTGCCACATGCTTAGGTCTTCTGGATGTTCCTTGGTGCAAAACGAGTGTTACGTTGCATAGCATAGTCGCCTTTTACGGCAAGTATGGGTCCAAGGTATTTATAGAATTGAGATACACACAAGATAATCAAAGCTGTGTTGTCATCGGTGCTGGGTACCGATTCTAACCCGAAATCCCTGTGGGGACACAAGTAAGGGGTAAGCAGGTACAAATGTATCATCTTGCAGTCTGAGGTATGAGAACAAACCGTCAACCTTTGGTAACAAGTGCTACACACTCGCAGAGGTGAGCAGCAGTTAAACAAGAGACACTACAAGCCACAAAATTGATTATCGCACATACATGTACTTGACTACTGTGTTAACGGCAACAATGTTGTAACCTATTATTGTACATACAATTATCCCAAAATGCGTACATACCATGGTTAAGAAGGAAGTACTGTTCTTCAAATATTAGTTCTGTCGTGATGCGCTGGACATATCAGCTGTTACAAACAGGTGGTTATTGTGATTTGAAACCTCTGATTGACCAATCAAAATCCAGTATTTCCAATGCCATTGTAGAACACAGGGTAACTATAGTATGTCTAGGATACAAATATGTTATGGCCAGTCATTTGGTAAGCATGGGGTAGGACCTAAGGTGTGTGAAAATTAAAGACTCAGTATTCAAAAGTATGCTTGTGAAACCTGCAAATGCAGACAACACCGCTCCCAGTGAATACTTCGTGGTTAACATTGCTTCAGAATAATATCCTTTGTGTACATGCACCCGTTCCTAACAGAATCATCCAGAAAGCTACGTTTCACGATAAACACAAGAAGTACAACCTATGAATGATTCTGAAGATGGATGGATGTGACAGTCTGTCGTGCACTTACGTGAGGTGCGTGCGTGCCTTCAGTGCGGACTTGTACTGGTCCGGACTAATGCCGGTTTTATAGTGCTATCCCACATTGGTCACCACTCGCCTCTTTCCCTTTCGGCTTGTCCCGGCAGTAGTACAACTTGGATACCCCACTCAGACACAGTTTACCCACTTCGAGCCGACCAGTCCTTGTGTTATCCCGGACGCCAGGCACGGAAACATCAAGTACCATCATTAACGTCTTTTGTTATGACGGCCGAGGATCGGACCACCGAGTCCACGGATGCGGTCACACTTACAAGATGATGACGAAAGGTTCCAAGTTGACTGTGAAGCTCAGGTAACAGCTTGTCCCAGATGTATAACAGGAGAAATTGAAGTCACCCCATTCTAAAGATTGATAATATGGCAGGGAACACATGTGCGCCCAAGTGAGGACACTAGACTAGTTACAAAGAATCCCAAGAACATCAAGTGGTACACTATTGGGTTTGTTCTGGTAGACGTTAAAAATGAGACTTTCATTCCAATATATGACTCTAAGGCGGTAAAAAAAACTCAGTAAACCCTTGTATCAGACACAAGAGGCAACTGTTGACAGATATTAAGATAGTTTAAGCTGACTGGCTCATCACCACCAAACCTGCTCCCAAAGCCAGGTGTGACATGGGCGTATCCTCTACTTGGTCACAGCTGACAGATTGACAAGGATTTACGCCGCACTCCGCATTATTCCAGCTATATGACGGCCACATGTAAATAATCGTGTCTGGACCAGACAATCCAGTGATAGACATCATGAGTATCGATCTACGCAATTTGGATACGATGACATGCATCAACCAAGTCAGCGAGCCTGACCACCAGATCCCGTTAGTCGCCTCTGACGGCAAGCATAGTCGCCATGATAAGCATAGGTTGCTGAAGACCTATTCTACCCGGATCTTCACGGGTCTCGGTACATTTACATTTTTGACTTATCTCCTGAAATCACAATGCCCTTGAAGATGAAACAAAGTACTGCTCACTGAATTACGATTTCATACACGTCTGCTAGGGATGCCATTTTGAAAGTATCTTTTGACCTACATATCATCCATTCCATCATATACATCACCTTGCCGACCCGTGAAGATCCGGGGTAGAATAGGTCTTCAGCAACCCATGCTTGCCGTAAAAGGGGACTATGCTTGTCGTAAGAGGCGACTAACGGGATCGGGTGGTCAGGCCCGCTGACTTGGTTGATGCATGTCATCGTGTCCCAATTGCGAGGATCGATGCTCATGATATTAATCACTGGACTGTCTGGTCCAGACTCGATTATTTACAGACCACCGTCATATGGCTGGAATATTGCTGAGTGCGGCGTTAAACAAAACAAAAAACATCACCTTGCCATAAGAGGCGACTATGCAAACGAACAAACATTCCACCCTTTTCTTCTCCACTGTCAACTTCCTTCAACGTAGAGTGGACGTAGTGTTATTCATAAACACGCTCTAAGGCTGCACCAGAAGAAGGACACAGAACTTGTACAAATTCTTTATTTATTTTCTCCTTTATAATACCCACGTCGAAGTCAATGCAGCATATATATATCTAGAGTCATACCGCAGCATCATTCACAGAATGAAGAACGTTATTGATTCTGTTAAATGCATGCTCCAGATTAGTAACAATCTTTGGCACATGCTCGAAATAACTTCCTTCTTATAGCGTCAGTTAACCATTCATTAAAAGAACAACGAAGTCTCAACCAGACCCGAATTATGTCAAGGTACTTTTTGCAGGTTTCCATATTTAGGTCACCACAGCAAATCCACCTTCGTTATCACTAGAAATATTGCTTACACATGCTGACATTAGTTTCAGTGGATATTTGACAAGAATTTGAAAAATAAATATTAAAATCTCTTCATCTGATGTTGCACATCCTACACCGAGGTTGGTTGTTCAGTGAGCTTGTCTGAGCGGGCACAGGTAGTCCAGCCGACACGCTCGCACGATTGTCTCTAGTTTCTTGAGCCAATCCCGAATCTGGAGCTGCTGCTCGTGGTTGTAGCACTTGGGGTTGCCGAAGTAGGCTCCTTCAGCCGCCTCGCCCGCCCCAGTAGGAAGTGTCGCATTCTCAGAAGGAACGCTCGTGCATTTCTGATCAGCTGAAACAAGAAAGGAAGAGGTGAGTGATGTTTTGTCTATGATGTACTCAATATGGGAGGTGTGGGGGGATTAAATACATTGGTGTGAGGGACTGGTCATACATTATAGGGAAAGAGGAGGGGACGGTCTATGAAAAACTGACACAGGGAACGAGGGAGGTAGTCAAAATTCATCACAACTGTAAGGGATGTGTGGGCACGACAGTTCTTTTTTTCAATAAAAGAGCGACATAAAATGGGGGTCGACAAAATATCTCTTCCTGTATTCTATTCCTTTACTGGTTGTATTCTAGTGAGTTTGTTTTAGTATATCCAGTTAGTTAGTCCAGCCAAAATTAACTCCATAATACCAGCCTTGTTCGGCAAGGGTGGAAATTGGACTTTTATAGTCAGTTAACTCTCTTGCCTCGGGAAGATGGCATCACGAGAAGAGGGGGATGACTCACCTTGACAAGGGCACAGTGCTGGGTGACATCCTTCTCCGGGTATAGTTGCCGTCTTCTGGTAGCAGTATCCTGAAACATGATCGTTATAATGCTGACAATAGTTCATTTACATGGGGCGACAAAAAATGTTCCATAAAAGGAGCATGTGACAGCAAAATATGATACAGACCTTAGACCAATCCCCCCTCACCCTCCACCCCGATAATAAATGACCAGTCACTACGTTAGGAGGTTTACATGTACATTACCAGCGCATCCTACTTGATACCCATTCATTGCTTATTCAGCAGATGCAACGCTCGATCAAAACCACTTGCAACAGCCTGTGTTAATATTGCTCAGTGGGGTGTTAAACAACAAACAATCAAAACAGTGATATCACGACGTAGGTTTGGAATGACGAAACTGCAAAGTTCCTCATTAACTGTATCGCGAATTCTCAGATTCTTTTTAAATCTTTAGGCATTGCAAAATGGTCAAACGTGCACCATATTTCTTACCATGTTTCCCGTAATTGTTGTGATGGTCCCAGAGGATGGAGCCGTCTTCAGCATAGCAACACCCTAGCTCACATTCACTCTGCATGTAGCATCTCAGCTCCGGGGGGAAGGGCGTGGCCCCAGGCGTGGTGTAGGGTATGGGTGTTGTTGTGACGGGGACAGGACGTACGGGTTGACCTACGTGATTTGGAGGGTGACCGTTGGGTCCGCCCCTTGCCCCTTGGGGTGGTGCCTGTCCTGCATGGGGTGGGGGGTGGGGGCCCCCTTGGTAAGGCCTTGCGTGTTGACCGTGAGGATATGGGGCGTGGCCCATGCCTCCATGGTATGGGGACATCCCGTATGGTGGATGGGGATGGTAGGGTCCTGGGTAAGGGTATCCTCTAGGGGGGTAGCCGTGAGGGACGGAGGTTGGGCCCTTGCCTGGGTAGGGTAAAGAGTGGTACTGAGCAGGAGGGTATTGAGCCACGGGGATGGTTTGTTGGGCGGCTGGGGGAAACGCCGGTGTTCCGGCTCCTGCTTTGACTTGAGCATCAGCTACAGCTGTTGGGAAACCAGGAGCACCCATGAGTGGCTTTCTGTCTGGGTATTTATACTGGGCTGGATTTGTGCCTTGTGCTACGAAGCCACCTGTTGGATTTGGTATAGCGTTGCCGCTAGGGTATTCGGCTTTTTGAGTCGCAACAGACGAGGTCTTGAGTGTAGGAGAGCCATTCGCTCCTTGAGCAGGAGTGTCGGCAACAGCGGTTGCAGCAACACCCGCGTCAGCAACACCTGCAGGGTTGAGGAAGGTGCTAGTAGTACCCTGACCCTGAACCTCAGCAGGCGCTGGTTGAGCTGGTGCAGCAGGTACGCCTTGAGGACTTGCAGGTCCTTGAAAACTCGCTCCCGGCCATGCTTGGTCTGACTGATTCTGAGCTTGAGCATAAGCTGCTGCTGCTGCTGCTGCAGTTGCAGCTGCAGGAGTTTGAGGATAGCCCTGATCCGGGTAACCTTGTTGCCCAGGGTAGCCCGAAGGAGCCATGTAGGCAGGGGGAGTTTGAAATGGAGATCCCTGGGGTGGGTACTGACCCTGACTATACTGAGCCACCGGGCCGGGGTACTGCTGAGACGGGTATTGGTACTGAGGCCCCGGTTGCTGAGCCTGAGGGTAACCAGCTGACGGAGCCCCATGGTATGCAGCCTGTGCACTAGGGTCTGACGCTGGGTATGGCTGACCCCCTTGGGGGTATGCAGTTTGGGCCGGAGCTGCGAAAGGATCTGTGTAAGCAACATCCCCGGGAGACTGCCCGGGGGTCAGCTGTCCTGCAGTGTTGGCGTTAAATCCTGCTGCCTGGGGTTCCGCTCCTTGCTGGGGGTATGCTACAGCGGGGTACGAGCCCTGTGCTGCTGCACCAGGGTACTGTTCGCCTAGCCCAGGGGTGGCATACGGGGGGTGGGCTTCAGGGGGGTAGCCCCCAGGGTAGGGATGTTGAGCCTGGGGGTATTGCCCGCTCGGGGGAGCATAGTGTGGCTGTTGGCCTCCCGGGGTTTGACCTTGAGATGGGACTACGTGAACTTCTTGGACTACAGCGCCTACAGAGACCTGGAACGGAAAGCAACGCTGATAATCAGGAACAATTAGCAGACAACAGAAACACGTTATAGGTTGTTGTATGCTTTCACATTCACACAACTTTTTTTCAGTTATATTAGGGCGTGTCAGCTTTGTCTGGGAGAAAACCCCACTTTTACACTTTGGTGAAACCAACGAGCGCCGATATGGTGCCGACAAACCAAAGATCCTAATCGGACCCGGAAATCGAACCAGTCTGATTTTGAACGACAAAGGGACGCAGCTATCACATTAGCCGACTTGGCCAATCATTTCGTCCAGTATCCCCGAATATCAACAAAATTAATTACTTTCTTTTGCAAATTCGTCTCGATTGGTCAGCATCGTGTCGCAGTAGGAAATTTAAGGATTACCTGATGAAATATTTTGTTGATGTGACAAATCCAATACAAGTCGTTTCAGTTACACTTGATCGGAAAATATGGTATATGTCGCCCTTTTACCAAATGATAGTATTTATCATTTATCCTTTGCACCTGTAATGTAATGAGATACGTGATTTTGAATATTCCCTTTGAAGTAAAGGCCGGGACTTGTGCTGCGTGAAGTATGGAGCTGGAGAACCAACAGTCGGTATATACAGAAACAGTATCCATGTCCTTTGGGTGCATCGCACTCTGCTTAAGCTGATCGCCACTCAATCTCATTAAAATCAGATAGTCTTCTCCGAGATACCTCAATGCTGCATGACGTTCACGTCAGGTGAATCTAAATTATCGGTACGAGTGAGAGAAGCTATATTCAAACATATCTGATTTCTGTAGCTCGCAAACGAATATTATTGTGAGTTCCGAATTCAAACAAATAAAGCCGCGCTATTATATTGTTTATTAAATCGTGTTGTCTCTGAGCGTCTTGGTATCTAAACCCTAAAGATTGTACTTCGAGGACATATTTGTGTTCTGTGACGATGCAATACATCGGGCACGCAAAAACATACACTTCGTAAGCAGTAACATACAAGTCGTCCGCAATAACACATACTTCCATGTCATTCATCAACTGCGTTAATAATATTAACGGAAAGGTGTCACCACCATACAAAGAGGAATGTCGTTTCAAATATCTCAGTGGGGGCACGGGTGGCCCAGTCGTCTAAGGCGCCGCGATTCGCTGTGCAGAGTTGCGTCCCTTGGGCACGCCAGAAACCTATGATCGTGGGTTCGAATCCCGGTTCGCCCCGATTATGTTTCTAGGTTTGTCAGCACCATACCCGTGCTCGTGGATTTCACCAAAGTGGTAAACGTCTGAGACCTGCATCACTTCGGGCTTTCCTTCCACATTAAGCTGACACGCCGCGATATAACTGGAATACTGTTAAAAAGCGGCGTTAAACCCAACTCACTCACTCAAATATCTCAGAAAACATTTTGGGTTATTAAATCTTGGTTCGGAAGACTGTACGTTCAGTACTTGCGCCTTTCAACCGTGCGTGCAATATAGTTCCCCGTACCTTATTTGTGTCGTAAACCGAGGATCGGATGGTTACAGTGTATGTCCCCGGTGCTCCTGCTATCTATCACTGACCTGCCTGGTCCAGACTCATGTTGTTTTAGGCCGCAGCTGGAATATTTGCTGATTACGTCGCAAAACATTTGCTCACTCACTCGATCGCGGCTTAACATTTATATGCACATGCGCATTTAACGCCCCTTTTACATCCCCAGTTTGATGCTATAAATAAAAGTTACCGTGTCAATTGTATCTAAAGAGGGCTTCAGGTCAGGTGGAAGTCTGTAGCGCCATTGGTTCCTTGTTTAGGCGTATGTTGTACGGATGATGGCGGATGTCTTGTTTTAGTATGCGTTAGCGACACGAGAACACATTAAATCATTAATATCTGGGTGACTCCTTAACAATAAAACTGCCAACGCTCTAGGCATGTTGTCGAGGAATTCTCCACATAATATAGTTTTAATTACACTTAAGCAACATTTAGAAACACAGTGTACGTAGTACTTGTTAATGGGTATAGCTCATTTCTATAAAATATATTATTTGTAGATTATACACAAGTTGACAGTTTAATTTAAATTCAGACGTAATTACTTTTGGGTTCTTGACACGCGTGTCCTCAAAGATGTCATGTCAAAGAATCGGACCCTACTTCAAAACATGAATAAATACGACACGTCTTTTAGTTCTTGTGTCCACATATTAAAATAAAACAACATAAAATCAACACGAACGACTTACCATCAAAGAAACAAACTACAAACCTGACAAAGAATTCCAACGGACAAAAACATTCCAAGATATATAGACCCAAACCCCATGTCCGCCATTTTGAGAAAGTTGCTCCTGTCGGAGCTCCCCAAGACTGAAATGTACACGGCGGCCGGCGTTATGACAACTTGGCACGTGGCATGATGTAGGACTCTACCTGCCTGTCTGCCATGAACCCTGGGTTTTATTGCGGCTCCATTGGGCTGGGATTACAGGAAGACTGGGTCCATCGTTTACATTACTGAACATTAGAGTCATTTGAAAGGTAATATTGAATAATGGACATGTCCTGAGGCGTGAGTGATTCTTGTCCACTGTCAGTGGTCATCACAGGGAAACAGTGTGTCCTCACTGATCCGTTGTCCCGTCCGTCATATATTTCAATGAACAGCTTTGTGGTGAAATAAATGAGCTGAGAGGACTTCAAAATGTCAAGTATATACGTATTGAGCAATAGAACCTAACCACGTGTCTAAATGGAAAATGTGGAAAAGAGATTTGGGCTAAACATGCACCAACGTAAATTCTTCATTTGGTTTTTTTCTCCTTGAAGCAGAAACATACCTGATATTTCGAAGATAAGGGACCATTCTCCTGGAGCAGTAACGCTGACATGCCTAATTGGAGATTTATTGACAAAGTGGAATCTCCATGCCAAGTGACGTTACATGTACCACGTTCACGTGACCCACGTACTACTACTACTACTACTACTACTGTGACTGCTACTGTTATTATTATTATTACTACTACTACTGTGACTACTACTACTACTACTATTACTACTACTACTATTACTACTACTATTATTATTACTAATATTATTACTACTAATATTACTACCACTACCACTGTGACTACTACTAATATTACTTCTAATACTACTGCTGTGACTACTACTACTATGACTACTACTACTAGTAATGTGACTACTACTACTACTACTACTAATGTGACTACTACTACTGTTACTACTACTACTATGACTACTACTACGATCTGTATTATTACTACTACTACTACTACTACTACTACTGTTACTACTGCTACTTCTACTACTGTTACTACTACTACTACTACCACTACTACAACAGCAACTGTTGTTACTGCTATTATTTTTGTTACTACAGTTCTTCAATCCCATGGACATTGTCATATCCCTCGTCCTTGTGTAGAGGTCTTCTCTTATAAATCATTAATATGGCCAGTGTTTCGAAGATGTTTCTGTTTATATTAAAAAGTAATTATGAAACTATAAAATTATGGTAATAATTTGTTATTTAATATATTTCAAGTTTCTACATTCATATTTCTACATGACCGACCGAAGACTGATGGATCATCTGCGTTGCGACATTGCTTGTCACGTGATGCAATATGACGTCATTCACGTTTGACAATCAGACATAACATTTATTCTCTGTGACATGGCAGCCACACAATGAATACTAGGAACACACGTTTGTTGCACAAGACAGCTTCCGATTATGTTATGTATAAAGCCATGTCGTGTCGCACTCAGCCTATCTCCGCCATCATGGGAAGAGTCAATAGTGAAACCGGATTTACTAGTTTCGCTAGTTCACGTGACTATCGCATTACTCAACACAGTCTAGGACCCTCGTATCAAATTGCATTCCTAAGTTCATTTCGCCATGAAGCGGAGTGATCGGCAATGGAGTTCTATTTATTTTGAACCCACAAAAACGTTTTATTAATCAGAAGCTATATTCCCCTTCAAACCAGGCAGCTGAGACAGGTGGTTTGAACCGCCCCGCCTGTAGACGCAGAGATTCAAAATGTAAGTGCCGTCGTAAATATGGTTGTGATACATATACACTTCCGGGCAAAAGAAAGTACACCCATGTTTGATGGTGGCTGAAAATGAAACAAACAAGAAATGGCTCTTCCATCAAACGGTGATGTGTTTGATCTGGTTAGTTGTGTTTTGGACCTAGGGTTTGCAGTGTTTCGGCGACTGTATTGAACTAGAAACGTTTTGATAACGTTTGTAAGTTTTTGGTCAATCCTTTTTGAATGATACTTTCATTTGGCCGTTTTTATTAGAACGTGTGTGTATTTCAAAACGTACTTAACGTTAGACACTGGTTGAAAAAAAAAAGGTATCTAACGGGGATTCGTTTAATCGTCGAAACTCTGAAACAAATGAAAATAAATATAGAGCTAAGACATGTCACCCATTGTACCTTTGTCCGACATATCAACTTCTGTGATAACCCTGTCAAGCGAGTTTTCAAATGACTCCACCCCACCTCTATCAGGAGACAATGTTCGATAAAATTGATTAGTTAGAGATATGCCCTTTAATATCATCAGGTGGAGAATAATATCAGTTACCATCACAACATAGAGCTTGAAGTATGAGTCAACACATCACTGTCTACATTAGATGGTGCCCAGAGAAAATTGTTGTACATTGAACATAAAATATAACATTGTATAGGAAATTTAGTAAAACACTATAGTTCTGTAAAGGTACGAGGTAAGATAATTGTAAAAATTCGGCGAGAATCACCAAGACCATGCTAAACCCACACACGTGGTTTCTTAACGTAATTGTTCATGATGATTGCAGACTTCTCACGTGGCAAATGGTTCGAATCGATTGCGTTATGGCGAGAACTGATTTTTCAGAATGACCTCCAGAGGTCCAAGCAAGGTATAGGTTGCACGTGCATTCTGAATCAGTTCACTTTGTTGCTTTTCGCTTGCCGTTGTCCGTTATGCACTCCGCCCAGTCAGGCCAAAACGCGTTCTTCATCCGTTCACAGTAAGCCCGTAGGTTGGCGAACGTCTCTGAAAATGTCAGAGACACCGATTACAGAAGCCACAATTGCATGGTATAAGAGTAGGAGGATTAAAATGACGCCATTACTGCACGTTAGTAGAGTAGAAAGTTTCTATTGACGCCATCATTGCTCGTTACAAGATATAACATGACATCATCACTGTATGTTATAAGAGATGAAGGTTTGCATTGACGCCACCTTGACATGTTACAGGGGTAGAAGGTTTACATTGACGCCATCACTGCATGTTACAAGAGAAGAAGGTTTACATTGACGCCATCACTGCATGTTACAAGTGAAGGTTTGCATTGACACCACCTTGACATGTTACAGAGAAGAAGGTTTACATTGACGCCATCACTGCATGTTACAAGTGAAGGTTTGCATTGACACCACCTTGACATGTTACAGAGAAGAAGGTTTACATTGACGCCATCACTGCATGTTACAAGTGAAGGTTTGCATTGACACCACCTTGACATGTTACAGAGAAGAAGGTTTACATTGACGCCATCACTGCATGTTACAAGAGAAGGTTTGCATTGACACCACCTTGACAGGTTACAGAGAAGAAGGTTTACATTGACGCCATCACTGCATGTTACAAGAGACGAAGGTTTACATTGACGCCATCACTGCATGTTACAAGAGAAGAAGGTTTACATTGACGCCATCACTGCATGTTACAAGTGAAGGTTTGCATTGACACCACCTTGACATGTTACAGAGAAGAAGGTTTACATTGACGCCATCACTGCATGTTACAAGAGAAGGTTTGCATTGACACCACCTTGACATGTTACAGGGAAGAAGGTTTACATTGACGCCATCACTGCATGTTACAAGTGAAGGTTTGCATTGACACCACCTTGACATGTTACAGAGAAGAAGGTTTACATTGACGCCATCACTGCATGTTACAAGAGAAGAAGGTTTACATTGACGCCATCACTGCATGTTACAAGAGAAGAAGGTTTACATTGACGCCATCACTGCATGTTACAAGAGACGAAGGTTTACATTGACGCCATCACTGCATGTTACAAGAGAAGAAGGTTTACATTGACGCCATCACTGCATGTTACAAGAGAAGAAGGTTTACATTGACGCCACCATTGCATGTTACAAGAGAAGAAGGTTTACATTGACGCCACCATTGCAAGTTACAAGTGAAGGTTTACATTGACGCCATCACTGCATGTTACAAGAGAAGAAGGTTTACATTGACGCCACCATTGCATGTTACAGGGGAAGAAGGTTTGCATTGACGCCATCACTGCATGTTACAAGAGAAGGTTTGCATTGACACCACCTTGACAGGTTACAGAGAAGAAGGTTTACATTGACGCCATCACTGCATGTTACAAGAGACGAAGGTTTACATTGACACCATCACTGCATGTTACAAGAGAAGAAGGTTTACATTGACGCCACCATTGCATGTTACAAGTGAAGGTTTGCATTGACGCCACCTTGACATGTTACAGGGGTAGAAGGTTTACATTGACGCCATCACTGCATATTACAAGAGAAGAAGGTTTACATTGACGCCATCACTGCATGTTACAAGTGAAGTTTTGCATTGACACCACCTTGACATGTTACAGAGAAGAAGGTTTACATTGACGCCATCACTGCATGTTACAAGAGAAGAAGGTTTACATTGACGCCATCACTGCATGTTACAAGTGAAGGTTTGCATTGACACCACCTTGACATGTTACAGAGAAGGTTTACATTGACGCCATCACTGCATGTTACAAGAGAAGGTTTGCATTGACACCACCTTGACAGGTTACAGAGAAGGTTTACATTGACGCCATCACTGCATGTTACAAGAGAAGAAGGTTTACATTGACGCCATCACTGCATGTTACAAGTGAAGGTTTGCATTGACACCACCTTGACATGTTACAGAGAAGGTTTACATTGACGCCAACACTGCATGTTACAAGAGAAGAAGGTTTGCATTGACGCCATCACTGCATGTTACAGGGGAAGAAGATTTACACGACGCCACCTTGACAGGTTACAGGGGAAGTAGGTTAACATTGACGCCACCATTGCATGTTACAAGAGAAGAAGGTTTCCATTGACGCAACCATTGCATGTTACAAGAGAAGAGGGTTTACATTGACGCCACCACTGCATGTTACAAGTGAAGGTTTACATTGACGCCATCACTGCATGTTACAAGAGAAGAAGGTTTACATTGACGCCATCACTGCATGTTACAAGAGAAGAGGGTTTACATTGACGCCATCACTGCATGTTACAAGTGAAGGTTTACATTGACGCCATCACTGCATGTTACAAGAGAAGAAGGTTTACATTGACGCCATCACTGCATGTTACAAGTGAAGGTTTACATTGACGCCATCACTGCATGTTACAGGGGAAGAAGATTTACACGACGCCACCTTGACATGTTACAGAGAAGAAGGTTTACATTGACGCCATCACTGCATGTTACAAGAGAAGAGGGTTTACATTGACGCCACCATTGCATGTTACAAGTGAAGGTTTACATTGACGCCATCACTGCATGTTACAGAGAAGAAGGTTTACATTGACGCCATCATTGCATGTTACAAGAGAAGAAGGTTTACATTGACGCCATCACTGCATGTTACAGGGGAAGAAGGTTTACATTGACGCCATCACTGCATGTAACAGGGGAAGAAGGTTTACATTGACGCCATCACTGCATGTTACAAGTGAAGGTTTGCATTGACACCACCTTGACATGTTACAAGAGAAGAAGGTTTACATTGACGCCATCACTGCATGTTACAAGAGAAGAGGGTTTACATTGACGCCACCATTGCATGTTACAAGTGAAGGTTTACATTGACGCCATCACTGCATGTTACAGAGAAGAAGGTTTACATTGACGCCATCATTGCATGTTACAGAGAAGAGGGTTTACATTGACGCCATCACTGCATGTTACAAGAGAAGAAGGTTTACATTGACGCCATCACTGCAAGTTACAAGTGAAGGTTTACATTGACGCCATCACTGCAAGTTACAAGTGAAGGTTTACATTGACGCCATCACTGCAAGTTACAAGTGAAGGTTTACATTGACGCCATCACTGCATGTTAAAATAATATGAGAGGGAGACACATGACGGTTATTCCGGTGCCGGAGTTTCGGACAAATGGAGTTTCAATATATACACCTTTTTTTCAAAAAGATTTGATTTAACTCACTCACTGATACACCTACAATATGGCTGAAATATCGCCGTTGTTACGCATTTTACAACTGGTCCATTCACCGGATGCCGTTTTATTGTGTCCCAGTCAAGGGAAAAGGTTATTTAGGTCTTTGTTAAGGTATTTAATTGAGAAACTTGATCTTCCCGGAAGGCCTAGACCTTACCTGACACGAGTTGTTCCCCCTTTGTCCCTGGCATGTGCCATCTGAACTGTGACAGCTGTCCGAAAATGGCTGCGTCTGTTTCACAAGGTTTGTCGCCGAAAAGGAACTGTTTGTCTCCTTTCAGAAAAGGATAATGTGTATATTTAGAGGGAGCTGGTTAGCTTTGTTTGTTTGTTTGTTGTTTAACGCCGCACTCAGCCATATTCCAGATTCTGGACCAGACAATCCAGTGATTGACATCATGAGCATCGATCAACGTAATTGGGATACGATGACATCAACCAAGTCAACGAGCCTGACCACCCGATCTCGTAATCGCCTCTTACGACAAGCGAGGCGGTCGGGTAGCCTAGTGGTTAAAGCGTTCGCTCGTCACGCCGAAGACCCGGGTTCGATTCCCGACATGGGTACAATGTGTGAAGCCCATTTCTGGTGTGCCCCGCCGTGATATTGCTGGAATATTGCTAAAAGCGGCGTAAAACCATACTCACTCACGCTTACGACAAGCATAGTCCCCTTTTACAGCAAGCATGGGTTGCTGAAGATTTCTTGTAACCCGGATCTGCAAGGGTTGAGCTGGTTTGCAGGAGTATGGCATCATACACACTCACGTTTATTGATTTCATTGTGTAACTTATATAACTAAAGAGACACTAAGTCTCATCTTAACAACCAGTATAACCGGTACAGTAGCTCACCCTAATTCAGTGACATAATGCGAGGGGTGAGGATTCGCTAAACGAGCTGTTTTGTACAAAAGTCTTTCTATCCAGCACTTGGATACAGTGGGGTTGATGGTGTATCTGTGTGTTCTCAAATAAAATGCCTATTAACTCATGTCTATATTCAACTGCCTCCGTGGTCTAGTGGTAAAGCGGCCGCCCGGACAGCGGAAGGTCCGGGGTTCGATCCACGGCCACGTCATACGAAAACACATTATCAGATGGTACTTGTTGTTACACTGTCTGGCGCTCGGTATTAAGGGGGTAAAACAAGGACTGGTCGGCTCGGAGTCAGTATACTGTGTCTGAGTGGGGTATTCATGTTAAACTGCAGCATGGTATCTCAGTGGGCTTGCACTATAAACAGGGTATGAAACTCCCAAAAATTTCAGCCAGACCACAGGACTGGCTAGCTGAAATACTTGCCAGCCCTGACCAAAACCTGCCTGCCCACTATAATCATATGTTTCTCAGGATAATTTAATTAAAAATATGAAAACTGATTGCTTGTAGCATAAGCGCATCGCTAAATGTTAGGTTGTCTAAAAGCTAACGGGGTTTCTTTTTGGTTACATTTTATCATTCATCTTTACATGTGAATTAATGCTTATCATCGGGAAATATTTAGAATATTTTTACATTTGAAATATAAACCGACCGTCGGGCAGGGGGATTTGAAAATCTGACAGCCCGAGTTGAAATCAACCCGTCTCGGACGGTAGGGCAGGCTAGTATTTCGAACACTGCTATAAATCGGCATCGGTCCGGACTAGTGCAAGCAGCCACAAACACATACACGTGCATGCACGTCGCTATATAAATGCAATAATCTTGGACGCGACGTTAAACTCTATTTCACCTCACCTCACCATATCAATATTCCATATCAAACCTATTTAATTGTTGACCTTGAAAATGTGGATTAACGCGAAGTGTGCACGCCGGTGTTATAACTCCATAAACCCAAGACAATATTGAATTTTAATTTTTATCAATAAAAATATTTTTAAAACAATCAAAGGCCGCTCATTTATTCATTAGTTGACAAAAGACCGTAGACAACAATACGAAATCAGTGACATCAGTCAGCACAATCTATCATCAGCCAATCGGTAGTCCGATAGTGGGTGCGAGCTAAAACAATATTCGGTTTAAAGAAACACATGTAAAGTAAACTACGTTAATAACGAACACGCTTATAACGAACTGACGGATTTCAAATACTGGTATTTTGGCCCCGTCAATTTGCTGTATATATGCCTAAATGAACTACGATTATAACGAACTGAAATTAGTGGTCCCTTTGAGTTCGTTATAACCGTAGTTTACTGCAAATGCATGCCAATTGTTTACATGAAAAAACACACGGGAACATTTGGTCAAAATACGGAATTCATTGATTCACAATGTTCCACAAAATAACCTTACTCTGTGTTCAGAAATTAGAAATGAGTTGGTTATAGTTTGGTGACTAAAGTACGTGAAATGTAACGTTAGAGTAGATCCACCCACCTAGGTAGGACGAAATAGCTCTCAGGTCAGCCTCCATGATCTGCAGCATTTCCTCGTAGCCGTGGCGCCCAATGCCGTGACCATTGGTTTGACTTTTCACATTCCGCGCCACAACCCATATAAGAAGTTTGGGAACACCGACGACCCTGTGTAACCAGTCCTTGTTGTCATACACCCACCGACACAGCACCAAGCACCTTAGAATGAAAACCATTGACACTGACGATCTGTGTTGTCATGATAGCACCTTGTAACAACTTATTGTCATAGCACCCCGCACCTCGTAACACCTTATTGTCATAGCACCCCGCACCTTATAACACGTTATTGTCATAGCACCCCGCACCTTATAACACCTTATTGTCATAGCACCCCGCACCTTATAACACTTTATTGTCATAGCACCCCGCACCTTATAACACTTTATTGTCATAGCACCCCGCACCTTATAAGACTTTATTGTCATACCACCCCGCACCGTATAACACCTTATTGTCATAGCACCCCGCACCTTATAACACTTTATTAGCATAGGACCCCGCACCATATAACACGTTATTGTCATACCACCCCGCACCTTATAACACCTTATTGTCATAGCACCCCGCACCTTATAACACTTAATTGTCATAGCACCCCGCACCTTATAAGACCTTATTGTCATAGCACCCCGCACCTTATAACACTTTATTGTCATATCACCCCGCACCTTATAACACCTTATTGTCATAGCGACCCGCACCTTATAACACCTTATTGTCATAGCACCCCGCACCTTATTACACCTTATTGTCATAGCACCCCACATCTTATTACACCTTATTGTCATAGCACCCCGCACTTTTTTTACACTTTATTGTCATAGCACCCCGCACCTTATTACACCTTATTGTCAAAGCACCCCGCACCTTATAACACTTTATTGTCATATCACCCCGCACCTTATAACACTTTATTGTCATAGCACCCCGCACCTTATAACACTTTATTAGCATAGGACCCCGCACCATATAACACTTTATTGTCATATCACCCCGCACCTTATAACACTTTATTGTCATAGCACCCCGCACCTTATAACACTTTATTAGCATAGGACCCCCCACCATGTAACACGTTATTGTCATAGCACCCCGCACCTTATAACACTTTATTGTCATAGCACCCCGCACCTTATAAGACTTTATTGTCATAGCACCCCGCACCTTATAACACTTTATTGTCATAGCACCCCGCACCTTATAACACTTTATTGTCATAGCACCCAGCACCTTATAACACTTAATTGTCATAGCACCCCGCACGTTATAAGACTTTATTGTCATTGCATCCCGCACCTTTTAACACTTTATTGTAATATCACCCCGCACCTTATAACATTTTATTGTCATACCACCCCGCACCTTATAACACTTTATTGTCATAGCGACCCGCACCTTATAACACTTTATTGTCATAGCACCCCACACCTTATTACACCTTATTGTCATAGCACCCAGCACCTTATTACACCTTATTGTCATAGCACCCCGCACCTTATAACACTTTATTGTCATAGCACCCCGCACCTCATAACACTTTATTGTCATAGCAACCCGCACCTTATAACACCTTATTGTCATAGCACCCCGCACCGTATAACAACGATTGTCATAGCACACCGCACCTTATAACACTTTTTTGTCATAGCACCCCGCACCTTATAACACTTTATTGTCATAGCACCCCGCACCTTATAACACTTTATTGTTATAGCACCCCGTACCTCATAACACTTTATTGTCATAGCAACCCGCACCTTATAACACCTTATTGTCATAGCACCCTGCACCTTATAACAACTAATTGTCATAGCACACCGCACCTTATAACACCTTATTGTCATAGCACCCCGCACCTTATAACACTTTATTGTCATAGCACCCCGCACCTTAAAACACCTTACTGTCATAGCACACCCCACCTTATAACACTTTATTGTCATGGCAACCCGCACCTTATAAGACTTTATTGTCATACCACCCCGCACCTTATACCACCTTATTGTTATAGCACCCCGCACCTTATAACACCTTACTGTCATAGCACCCCGCACCTTATAACACTTTATTGTCATACCATCCCGCACCTTATAACACCTTATTGTCATAGCACCCCGCACCTTATAACACTTTATTGTCATATCACCCCGCACCTCATAACACCTTATTGTTATAGCACCACATACCTTAAAATGAAAACCATTTACAATCCTTATTGTCACCATGTACTCTAGAATACAACACAATAACAGTCCGTGTTGCCATAGCTCCAGGCACTCTAACATACAACACACTAACAATCCTTGCCATATCACCACCAGGCACTCTAGAATACAACACACTAACAATCTTTGTCATATCACCAGGCACTCTAGAATACAACACACTAACAATCATTGCCATATCACCACCAGGCACTCTAGAATACAACACACTAACAATCCTTGCCATAGCACCACCAGGCACTCTGGAATACAACACACTAACAATCTTTTCCATACCAACAGGCACTCTGGAATACAACACACTAACAATCTTTTCCATAGCACTATGCACTCTAGAATACAACACATTAACAATCTTTGCCATACCACCAGGCACTCTAGAATACAACACACTAACAATCCTTGCCATATCACCAGACACTCTAGAAAACAACACACTAAGAATCTTTGTCATATCACCAGACACTCTAAAATACAACACACTAACAATCCTTGCCATATCACCAGGCACTCTAGAATACAACACACTACAAATACTTGCCATATCACCAGGCACTCTAGAATACAACACACTAACAATCTTTGCCATATCACCAGGCACACCGGGCACTCTAGAATACAACACACTAATAATCTTTGCCATAGAACTATCCACTCTAGAATACAACACATTAATAATCTTGCCATAGCACTATGCACTCTAGAATACAACACATTAATAATATTTGCCATATCACCAGGCACTCTAGAATACAACACACTAACAATCTTTGCCATATTACCAGGCACTCTAGAATACAACACACTAACAATCTTTTCCATACCAACAGGCACTCTAGAATACAACACACTAACAATCCTTGTCATATCACAAGGCACTCTAGAATACAACACACTAACAATCTTTTCCATACCAACAGGCACTCTAGAATACAACACACTAACAATCTTTGCCATAGCACCAGACACACTAGAATACAACACACTAACAATCTTTGCCATACCACCAGACGCTCTAGAAAACAACACACTAACAATCTTTGCCATAGCTCCAGGCACTCTAGAATACAACACACTAACAATCCTTGCCATACCACCAGACACACCAGGCACTCTAGAATACAACACACTAACAATCTTTGCCATAGCACCAGGCACTCTAGAATACAACACACTAACAATCTTTGCCATAGCTCCAGGCACTCCAGAATACAACACACTAACAATCCTTGCCATATCACCAGACACACCAGGCACTCTAGAATACAACACACTAACAATCCTTGCCATATCACCAGACACACTAAAATACAACACACTAATAATCTTTGCCATACCACCAGTTCCATACAACTCAGGTGCAACCGATAAAGAGAATTTGTGATCAGTTTCACGAACATTCTCCAATGCCGGGATTCTATGTTAACAAATACGAAAATATAATGAACTAACCAATACAAGTTTTCTTCCGCCATTTTTTGGAATGCACGAGCAATGGCCCTCTGCTCCGGGTTCAAATGGCTGTTGAGGTCAATATTTAAGTTCTGATTCAGGAAGTCAATGGAAAACTGTGAATCACTGATTATTTTTCCATTGTAGATCATCCAGGGAAACTTGCCTTTCGGAGATCTTTTACGCCCATGCTGGTTCTGGGAAATAGAAATGGCAATGTCACATTGAGAACCTTGCAATTACATAGTCATTACACAGCTGGCTCGTATCTCACCCAATATGTTGTATCACAATACAAAACTCTCTTTATCTGTCTTCATCTTATTATTATTTCTCTCTGTCCATCTGTCTGTCTGTCTGTCTGTCTGTCTCTCTCTCTCTCTCTCTCTCTCTCTGTCTCTCTCTCTCTGGCTCTCTGTGTGTCTCTCTCTCTCTCTCTCTCTCTCTCTCTCTCTCTCTACATGGAAACCGTTTAAGTACTTACAGTATACGGGATCCTGGCCATCCGTAAGTAGGTCTCCAATTTAACGGCAAACGGCGTAAGGCTGGGAGCCTGGGGGCCACGCCCTATTTGGTACAGCACGATCTTGGGTTGGCTGCTAGCATGTAACAAGGTTGGAATAAGTGAAACATATCGTTCATCTGAAAAAGGGTCTAGAGTTACTTCAGCAACGTTCGCCGCAATCACCACCCCAGCGCACGCTGAAAATCCACAATGGAGCAGGTGTGGTGAGGTTGCCTAGGGGCAACGTTCTCTCGTCACTCCGACGAGTTCGATTACCCAATGGACACAATGTCTGAAGCCCATTTGTGGTGTAACCCGCAGTGATATTACTGGAATGTTGCTAAAAGCGGCGTAAAACCATACTCACTCACTCACTCATTGACAATGGAGTAGTATACACAATACAGTCACGCGACTACACCTGAAACCTCTGTGTGTCACATCCGCAGCCTGTTTCAGTAGAAATGTACTAAAGAACCACAGGTACAGAAAATAGTATTTATTAAATGGTATACGTGTTGAGTGGTGATGATGTGATAAACATCTTATGTGTCCCCCATCCATACAAGCCGACATTTATACATTTTTCATTAATGTTTTATCAAATTCTGTGAACATATTTTTAGATACATATGATAGAGTTTTCGAATGGTTAAACACACAATACAGAGAGGCTAAAGTATACATATAGATATGGTGTCTTACCTTTACTCGTGTTTTCTTTTGCATCAATACAGTACTTGGTATTATTTCAAGAATTAAACATTGAAAAATCTTTTTTTTTTAAACCATTAAAATAAAGCGATTGCACTTTATAAAAATTGCTGCATTCATGTATACATACACATTCACACGATTGCTGATGCGGCGTTTAGCAAAACTCACTCACTATATTTTACTAGAAGTATGTACATCACCATTCAGACAATTGGACGCGGCCATTTTGATTTGTTTCAAGAAGGGTGGTATGAACATGACAAACATTAAAAAGCAACAAATGCAATAGTTATGCACGAGAAAGGTCTCTATTCTCTCTATTCTGATGTGGTGTCGGCCAGGTACGCGTAGAACAGGTTATGGGAATGTATTATTGATATATTACCAGGTGATGAAGAAGGAATTACTGTGCCAGTGGATGGAGTTTTGGTATATTCTTATTACTACCCAACAGTGTTTGATTTTATATTATATTCGTAAATGCTAGGATCAGTCCTTCATTGGATTTGGACATTGTTTCAGATATACCTTTTCATTTGTTTTAGCATGACGTTCCTACCGTATAGCGTCCCGTACACTACTAGTAGGGTGGGGAGGAGACCATACCCTATAAGTGCCTTCCTATAAAGGCCTACACATTGGGGGTACACGGCACATATGCCTACACATACACGTTGTACAGATTTACGTAGTGGCTTAATTTCGATGGTATGTTTGACCTCTTATAGGCATTGTAGTGGTTTAGAAGTAGTGAAATTGGATTTCTTAAAATTCCTTTTACAAATGGCAATGATACAATTCTGAAACACATTTTACTTATTACTATTTACGAGTGATAGTACCATTGGTGTTGAAGTAAATGCAATAAAATATGTATATTTCAGAACTCTTTTCATGAAATGTTGAAGGCGAAATAGACAGCCTTGTTTCCTATCTTATATACTTTAAAACACCGCGCACATACCTCACTGTTTTGTGTGCGTGTTTTCCAGTCGTAAAGTCCGATAAATATATCCAACTGATACTCCTCATACAATGTTTTTATCTTTAAATACCAAGCCACGTGACTACACGTCTAGCCCCGTCTGTTTGTATGGGGGGAGGCATGACTGGTTTGTCGGTTGACGAAGCAGAAAAAGGCTATTTACCAACGTCAGCTTGTTTCACAATGGTTAGAAAAGAAATATACGATGTTTGCATGTGATTCCTGTAGTAGGTTATATGTGTCAGTCGTAGTAGGTTATATGTGTTAGCTGTAGTAGGGCACATATACTTGCTTTAGTAGGTTATATGTGTCAGTCGTAGTAGGTTTTATCATACAATGGGTAGGTTTCTCGGCAGGATAAAGACAACGGATAAAAACGATATCCGTTGGGGTCATATGCGGATAGAGATGCAAATATCAAAGGTCAAGTAGGGACTACTTTCAGTGTTTATAAACAAACATGGCGTCGAACTGCGAGGTAACTAAGGCATTTTATAAGTTTTGGCAACTTTGGAGATATAAATTTCGAAACAATTTTGCGAGGGCACTAGGCCTAGCAAAGCGGGATCAATGGCCATATCTGTGCTTGTAGACCTCTGCGGCTTGAAACCTTTTCCACAAATAAAAACAGTTGGATTTAGGCGAAATATGTATGAATTGTTACCTTCGTTTTGGCGCTGTGTGTACATCTGACTGAACTTCTTAACGTTATGACAGGCAACTGTCAACAACGTCGGAACGTGGCCGTGACGTCTCATAGACTAGGGTTAGAGTAGCTTCCCTTTGACAAAGGGCAGTTACTCTAGCGGACAGACCGATGGATTGCCGCGAAAGGCAAGTAAAAACAATTGTTGTTTTGCGTATATGTTTTATTTTGTGTAGGCCTCGGTAGTTGAGTAGGTGAGATGTCTGACCCTGTGGGCCGGCGATTTGATTCCTAACTCAGAAAGAGTGGGTTCGAATCCAAGATGGGACTCAACCCAAAAAAGTACTAGTATTTGTACTTTACTAAGGACGTGGTATACTAAATAAAACAATTGTTACATGCGACCACTTTTTAAATGACATTGTGTATTCATGGCATTTAGAAGTTGGTATGATGAGCAAGGGAGATAGTTCTATGGATATTTAACTTCTTTATCACAATGAATGCGACGCTTCGATGTAAATACACACATCGTTATCAAGCAAGTGCTGAGATTCTTCTTCTCTACGTTGGTGGGTTTGTTGATGACTGACGGACGGACGGGCGGACGGACGGACGAGTGACGAAAACCCATGACATAAAACACACTTTGACAACGTCACGGTGCGCTAACAAGGGGAAATATTGTATCGATGTGCTTTTTTAATCGCATTTTGTAGAGTTGCTTTTTATCTGTCCACGACATCCGCGTTTGAAGTTTCACACTCCAATAGTGTACATGCCGTTAAGTTCAACTGCCTGGAATACTATTTTTGAAACGTTCTTCATAAAATTGCTGTGTCAGTCAGACTTTCCTCTTCACTGTTATCTTAGTGCTATTAATTTCATCTGCGCGATTCGGATTGTTCCCCTGAGGTTTTCGTGTGACTGTAGAGCTAGGTCTTCCCAGGGTGATGATTGTGGGTTCGAATCCCAGTTCGCCCCGATTATGTTTCTAGGTTTGTCAGCACCATACCCGTGCTCGTGGGTTTCACCTAAGTGGAAAACGTCTGAGACCTGCATCACTTCGGGCTTTCCTCCCACATTAACCTGACACGCCGTGATATAACTGGAATAATGTTACAAGCGGCGTTAAACCCAACTCACTCACTTCCCAGGGGGGGAGGTGCTCCAGTCGACTAAGGAGCGGCAGAAACCTATGACCGTGCTCGTGAGTTTCACCCAATTTGTCAACGTATCAAGATGATAAAGGTGTTAGGATCTACACCGAAACGTCGCACTAATTGTAATAAAGAAGTTGTTCATCCATAGAACTCGTCTTACTTCATCACACCAACTTCTAAATGCCACTCAAAGAAGTTATGGTGAAATATTAGCAGCGTAAAACTGCTTTCTCACCCATTCACTCAAAACAACACGGACGTACCTCATGTTCCAGCTTTCAGTGTCCTATAGCTAGTCCTAAATACCAGGTCACGGGACGACACGCCGAGCGCTTTCTGGTTGTCGGGTGGACGCAGAAAATGCTTTCTAACCAGGTCAACTAGATTTACAACAGATATAAAAGAGATACGTGATGGGTGACACCAATTGTAGTAGGTTATATGTATTAGCTGTAGTAGGTTATATGTACTTGATGTAGTAGGTTATATGTATTAGCTGTAGTAGGTTATATGTACTTGATGTAGTGGGTTATATGTATTAGCTGTAGTAGATTATATGTACTTGATGTAGTAGGTTATATGTACTTGATGTAGTGGGTTATATGTATTAGCTGTAGTAGATTATATGTACTTGATGTAGTGGGTTATATGTATTAGCTGTAGTAGGTTATATGTACTTGATGTAGTGGGTTATATGTATTAGCTGTAGTAGGTTATATGTACTTGATGTAGTGGGTTATATGTATTAGCTGTAGTAGGTTATATGTACTTGATGTAGTGGGTTATATGTATCAGCTGTAGTAGGTTATACGTACTTGATGTAGTGGGTTATATGTATTAGCTGTAGTAGGTTATATGTATTAGCTGTAGGAGGTTACATGTGCTTGCTGCTGTAGGTTACATGTACTTGCTGTAGTAGAGTATATGTGCTTGCTGTTGCAGATTGTATATGGATGCTGTAGTCAGTAATATGCTTGCTTAATTAGGTTATGTGTGCTCCTTTTAGTAGTAATATGTGTTAACTTTTGTACATAATGTGTTCACCTGAGGAGGAAATATAAGTTCCCTTATTTGGCGTTATGTATTGTTCACAGCATTTCGTAAACTGTATAACATATTCATCACTTCATCAACGATGCTTTCCAATGTTTAATGAGGTTGTGCACCATGTCCAAACAAGGGCCATATCGTTCAAGAGTCAACGTCTCGCGTGAGAATTTGTCGTTTTGAAGCTGGCCAAGGGGGGTTATATTGCAAGATTTGTAACCATGGATGCCATTCTGGATGTGCATGCGAGACCGTATGCTGGTGCAATCCGGCCGGAAGTCATCCTCATGGACGATAACGCACCTTATTGTGCTAGGGTCATTGATGCCTACTTAGAGGAGAAACCATTGCCCGCATAGTGGCCTGCCCGGTCACCAGACCTGAACCCCATCCAAAACATGTGGAACGAGCTGCAGATCCGGCAACTCTATGGGAACTTGGCAATGACTTTACAGAAGTGTGGAACAGTTGTGGGGGTTGGGGGGTGGGGGTGTGTGTCCGGACCCTTTGAAACCAAACGTACTATGTTGAAGACAACCCCATCTCCCTCTCCCACTTTTCGTTGGAATGTCCACTGTATATAGAAAGCATATAAGTAATTTCTCTACTTATTAATATGAATGTATATCCTTCCAGATATGATGCATCCAGAATTGGAACTGCAGTAAAAGTTTACTCATATAATTCCATTTATTAAAATTGTGTGACCAAAGAAAACTGGTTACCCATTGTACATGTGTTTGGCTTTCCCTTTCTAACTTTCAGATGGATGGAGACCTAAACTTATTATGGTGCCGAAGGTAACTTACTTGGTATTCTTTTTCTGGCAACAGCGGATGAGATAGAGCCTGCTTATTGTGTCTCCTTGCATCAAGTCATCTCATTGTATCAACATTGTTTCGAGATGTCTCATTGCATCAAGTCGTCTCATTGTATCGAGATGTCTCATTGCATCAAGTCGTCCCCCTGTATTGAGAAGTCTCATTGTATTGAGATGTCTCGTTGCATCAAGTCATCTCATTGTATTGAGATCTCATTGCTTCAAGTCGTCTCCCTGTATTGAGATGTCTCGTTGCATCAAATCGTCTCCCTGTATTGAGATCTCATTGCATCAAGTCGTCTCCCTGTATTGAGATGTCTCATTGCATCAAGTCGTCTCATTGTATTGAGATCTCATTGCATCGAGTCATCTCCTGGTATTGAGATGTCTCATTGCATCAAGTCGTCTCCCTGTATTGAGATCTCATTGTATTGAGATGTCTCATTGCATCAAGTCGTCTCCCTTTATTCAGATGTCTCATTGCATCAAGTCGTCTCCCTGTATTGAGATGTCTCATTGCATCAAGTCGTCTCCCTGTATTGAGATGTCTCATTGCATCAAGTCATCTCATTGTAATGAGATCTCATGGCATCAAGTCGTCTCATTGTATCGAGATCTCTCGTTGCATCAAGTCGTCTCATTGCATCAAGTCGTCTTATGTATCGAGATGTCTCATTGCATCAAGTTGTCTCATTGTAATGAGATCTCATAGCATCAAGTCGTCTCATTGTATCGAGATCTCTCGTTGCATCAAGTCGTCTCGTATTGAGATGTCTCATTGCATCAAGTCGTCTTATGTATCGAGATGTCTCATTGCATCAAGTCGTCTCATTGTAATGAGATCTCATTGCATCAAGTCGTCTCATTGTATCAAGTCGTCTCCCTTTATTCAGATGTCTCATTGCATCATGTTGTCTCCCTGTATTGAGATGTCTCGTTGCATCAAATCGTCTCCCTGTATTGAGATGTCTCATTGCATCAAGTCGTCTCCCTGTATTGAGATGTCTCATTGCATCAAGTCATCTCCCTGTATTGAGATGTCTCATTGCATCAAGTCGTCTCCCTGTATTGAGATGTCTCATTGCATCAAGTCGTCTCCCTTTATTGAGATGTCTCATTGCATCAAGTCGTCTCCCTGTATTGAGATGTCTCATTGCATCAAGTCATCTCATTGTATCGAGATGTCTCATTGCATCAAGTCGTCTCATTGTAATGAGATCTCATTGCATCAAGTCGTCTCATTGTATCGAGATCTCTCGTTGCATCAAGTCGTCTCGTATTGAGATGTCTCATTGCATCAAGTCGTCTCATTGTAATGAGATCTCATTGCATCAAGTCGTCTCATTGTATCGAGATCTCTCGTTGCATCAAGCCGTCTCGTATTGAGATGTCTCTTTGCATCAAGTCGTCTCCCTGTATTGAGATGTCTCTTTGCGTCAAGTCTCATTGTATTGAGATGTCTACTTGCATCAAGTTGTCTCATTGTGTTGAGCAGTCTCAGAGTATTGTGTTGGTGCTGCTGGTCTCAGAATAGTGTAGCTGATAAAAATAACGCAAGTCAAGCTTGACATTGGACATTTCATAGATTATTCAACACGGACATATTACAATGACTGACATGAAATATATACAATTTCATTTGCAATAAATACATCTGTATGCATGGTATGCAGCCTTATGTCATGAGAAAGGAGATCAACAGAACGTCAGATGACAAAGAAAATTCCTACAGCATGCAAAGTGCCTGCTGGACAACATCTGCATATAACAGGCACAACTCATTCACTCAATATGCAGTATGGACTTCTTTGTTTCACCAAGCTAACCCCCCACTTCAACCACAACAGGCTAACCGAATCATTTGCATTCATCAGTATCATTCACATTCAACGCAACAGGCAGCATAAAGTTAACTTCCCTATTATAAACAAATAATCAAGTTATGGTTTTCTTTGTACACACTTACAAAACAACCTTGCACCTTTTGAAAATGTAAATGCTCATGATAGTTCCCAAGTCCAATAATGCCATTGACGACTATTTCATAACTCTACAAGGTAAGGTCACCTGACAGAGCATGTACCATGCTTAGGGACTTAACAGGGACCTTAATGCCCAAAAGGAGAACTAGAACTTCTCAGAAAACATTCACATAGGCCATGAAAAACCCTATTCAGATAATGTTCAGATGTTAGCAGAGATTCTTAAAAAATTATGTATACACATATGTGGCCACACTGTTGAAAATAAGTTTTTCCTCATGCACGTAGTTTCCAGGCCCCTCCCTATGAAAACAAAATTGTCAGTCCCTTAATCCTCTTACTGTTTGTTTGTTTGTTGTTTAATACTGCACTAAGCATTGTTCCAGCTATATGACAGCAGTCTGTTAATAACTGAGGCAGGATCAGGGCAGAGGTTGACAACATGAGCATCGACCTACACAATTGGGATACGATGACATCATCAACCATGTCGGCAAGTATGACCAACCATCATGTCAGTCTCCTCAGATGACAAGCATCCCTTAGTTAATGCATACCATATTGTACTACATATTGCACTTCATTCAGATGCCTGTGTTCTCCATATATTGACTCTGATTAATATAGAAATAACTGAAAGTTGAAACTCATCTTTGACATCCAAACTGTAACCATGGTAACCATCCATGTCTAACCTGCCGTACCATTTCCATGGACTCAATGACATGGGACAAGTTTATGAAACTTTTGGATCAAGCTGTGTTACTTGTATTGTCCCTGTCCTACTGACAAAACGGCTTGGTCACATCTATGGTGGCCACATGAGTCCTGCCATTCAATCATTTAAGCTTGGCTGTGCAATATTTAGCTCCCAACGGATGAGTTGAGAGACTCCAACATTTTCTCTATAGACTCCAGGATCCTCATGTCTCGTAGCTGTTCCTCAGACAGGTATGACTGCAAAAAGAAGTCATCATAATCACTTCACTTAGCAAAGTTTTGTTTGTTTGTTGTTTAACGCCATACTCAGCAATATTCAAGCTATATGACGCCTGTCTGAAAATAATTGAGTCTGGACCAGACAATCCAGTGACTGAAATCATGAGCATTGATCCACGCATTTGGAATACAATGACATGCATGAACCAAGTCAGCGAGTCTGAACACTCGATCCTGTTAGTTGCCTCTAAGGACAAGCACAGATTGCTGAAGACATATTCTACCCCGGATCTTCACGAGTTACTTAGCAAAGTAAAAACACACACTGTTTCTGGTAACCTGGCCCTAAACATCCTAAACAGATACAGGTTGGAAGGTGGTCTGGAAAACGAGTTTATTAACAGATTAGTTTGGATGCATTTGCTTATTGGCTAGTTACACAAATGTGAAAACAATGTCAGGTCTCATTGATCATGCTCATAGCCAATTGTTAAAAATAGACTCTCACTCTGACATAAAATACATCAACACAAGTCAATTAATAAACCATCAGGCTATTCTGAGAAGATTTGGTACAGTTGGTTGGTTGGTTGGTTTGTTGTTTAACGCCGCTCTCAGCAATATTCCAGCTATATGACGGCAGTCTGTAAATAATCGAGTATGGACCAGAAAAACCAGTGATTGATATCATGAGCATCTATCCACCCAATTGGGATCGATGACATGCATCAACCAAGTCAGCGAGCCTGACCACCCGATCCCGTTAGTCGCCACTTACGACAAGCATAGTCACCTTTTACGGCGAGCATGGGTTGCTGAAGACATATTCTACCCCGAATCTTCACGGGTCAGATTTGGTACAGGAACAAACAAGTGTTGATATATTAGACATGAGGGTGAATCTCTTCTTTTTTTTTTAACAAACATACTGAGTCAGTCATAACAAAACAATATAATAATTTGATGACAACACGGATGTTTGAAATATTGTACAAAGGAAAATATCAAAACCCATTTTTGAAGTTTGTGACAATTTTTTCATGCTACATAAAAACACATCTATTAGCTGCAAGGGGTTTCAAAGAGAGGAACTCACCTTGTACTTAAACACAATCTGCTCAGCCGCCCAGGCTGCGTACTTGCTGTTCATCTGTTTCTCCTTGAGGCCTTTCCCTGTACTCATGGCCAGACTGGTAGCAGCCTGCAGTGACAGGTTATACAGGTCAGTAGGAGCCCAAGTTCACCGAGAGACCTAAGTAAGTTTGCTTAATGCCACACTCAGTAATATTACATCTTTATGACGGCCATTTGTAAATAATCGAGTCTAGATCAGATAATCCAGTGACTGACATGATGAGCATCAATCGACGCAAATCGGATACGATGACATGTATCAACCGACCACCCGATCCCATTAGTCGCTTCCAAAAACAAGCATGGGGTGCTGAAGACCAATTCTAACTGAGTGGGTTTGTATGTTTGTTTTGGTGTTTAACGCCCCACTCAGCATGATTACAGCGGTCTGTAAATAAAGTTTGGGCCACACAATCCAGTGACTGACATAATGAACATCGGTCTACGCAATTGGGATACGATGACATGTATCGACCAAGTCAACGAGTCTGACTACCTGATCACGACCACCTCATCCCATTAGCCGCTTCTAAACACAAGCGTGGGTTGCTGACCAGTTCTAACGGAGTGGGGGTGTATGTGGCTATAATTAGAGATAACATACAAGATTACCAATTTGTTACAAGTGTCAAGTTTTGGCAAGGAGACTTTCCACATTATTATATTTCCCAAGAGGGAGAAAAAAGACATGCAAGAGGGTACTGATGAGGTTTCATGATGTTCATCTCTCAGAATAACCCACTGAAACATTTCATGAATGTCTAAAAAGAGGACATGGTGATTTTCACCATGTTGGAGCTGGATTACTATATCCTCACCAGGAACAAGCCATAAAGTGCCCGTGTGTTGTTAGGGTTGAGTTTGACAGCCTGGGAGAAGTATGCTCTCGATTGTTCCATGTTGTCATTTCCACCTTGCGTATATCTGATCTGAAAGCGTGGACACATTTCATCAGCAGCTGCATAGACGCATACACGTTAGACAATGATAGGTCTCTGTTTGGTCATGACTGCTGGAGGCAGTCGCTAGGTAATGTGAACAGCAGGTGAAGATGTAGACTCTCAGCCTGGCAAACACTTGCTGTATATTCATCATAACATGATTGGTTGGGAGTTTCCTGCTTGCAATCACTATAATGTTAGGTATATGACAAGATACACACATACATTATGCCATTTTACATTTCAGAATTTTTCATCAGAAAATGCTATTTCTTCTGTATCATCTAAGGCGACATTTTTATTTATTTATTGGTTTATGGATGCACCACTCTTTCAAAGTTTAGATATTGAAAAAAAATTAATAGATACAAATTACTCCTTTTTTTATTACCGCCGTTCTTCACTTTAAAAAATGCATAAAATGATTTCGTTCCTCGTCGAGCGTAAAGCAAAGGAAAGTCACTGTGATATTTCTCGTTGGGATCCTTCTCTAATACCATCAAAGCTTGACAACGCAAAGCACAGTGTTGACCAGTTTAATCTTCGCCCATGCTGCCAAAATGGGGGTTTTCACCCTGACATGAATATTGTTATATTGCCATTTATGCACAATCTGTGCATCAGGAATATAATAAAATGTTCTTGTAAAATTGAGTTGTTTTACTTTTGTTACTCCAGAATATTTTAATTTGCTTACCTCACTTTTAAAAATGAGTTTGAAATCCGTAAACCAAGAAATAAAAACATGATGCCTTATCTAATTAGTACACTATTACATTTTGGCATGTAAGTACTCAACATAAACTGTACTATACATATATAACTATTCGGAGACTTATCTAGCTTATGTCACCTGTAACCATGGTGACTTGTACGGCCTTAGTTGATCAAGTTACATTTGTTGTGGTTAAAACATTACATGCAAAATAGTGAGTGAGTATGGTTTTACGCCGCTTTTAGCAATATTCCAGCAATATCATGGCGGGGGACACCAGAAAGTGGCTTCTCACATTATACCCATGTCGGGAATCGAACCCGGGACATGCAAAATAACATGCTGCTTCAAGTGTCTTTTCGAATGACAAGACTGCAAGAGTTACATCCCATAGTGATATATTTTGGAGGGTGTTGTTATTACCGAGTTTGTTGAGTAACTTCCTATTGACAGGAAGAGAATTTGAAATTGTTTTAACTTACATAAAATACGGGATTGTTTGATCTGTAAACCTGGTAATAAAACCACCACCAGCACCACCAAATATCAGTTACCACAAATCTTAGTAAAAACTAAATATTTTTTAGATTTGTAAACTCATCCTGCATTGATCCTTAATGCATGTACTGCTGAACACATTGCAGACGTAATGTTAGTGGCAGCAGAGTGCTAACCACACAAATTAAGCCAAAAGTTGAGGCCCGAACCTGGGCACAACATGTCAGTTTGATGCCAAGCAGAAATGTGACCAGATGTGACATCACAACGGACGGTCACATGACAGCAGCGATGGGTTCTTGCTAAAGTAGACTGGAAGTGAAGAGTGAGTGAGTGAGTGAGTGAGGTTTTATGCCGCTTTTAGCAATATTCCAGCAATATCACGGCGGGGGACACCAGAAATGGGCTTCACACATTGTACCCATGTCGGGAATCGAACCCGGGTCTTCGGCGTGACGAGCTAACGCTTTAACCACTAGGCTACCCGACCGCCCCTGGAAGTGAAGACAACCCTTTTACTTCATCAAAGACCATCACTAGGTGCTGTTTTCTTCTTCATAAGGTAAGCAGTACATGCATTAAGGAGTAATGCAGGATAACTAATAAATAAATAAAAATGATCAGTATGTCCTAACAGTAAAATACCTGTCAATCTTTTTACACCACTCCCTAAAATGTGCAATTTTCCTCCCGACTCTCCCAAGCCTGTCAGGACATAGACGACCTTCCCTTCCTCCTCTCTGGCCCCACCCACCTCCTTCATGACAACTAACCAGTCCACTAAGCTTCCTGTCACATTACCTCGGCATATTTTTGATGGAAGAGATGATTGTGAGGGTTGGACATGATGAGTTCTTCCACACAGAACGCTGCATTGTTGTAGTCGTGTTCCTCCAGGTACAGATCACACAGCTCCATCCACGCCTCATAGTCGGTCATAAACCTACATCATGTACATACACAATCATGTTAGTTCATACTGGAGTCGGAAACTAAACCTGTGTGTTTCTAAAACAAGACTGTCTACACGTTCAGTCCATGTTAGTATGAGTTTCAATGACAAGAAACAAGTGTACATTGACTAGTGGTTGTAAACCAGATAACTGGCCATTCATACTGACAAGACATCATCAACACTGCAATAATGTCTACAGGTATTTCGCCAGACTTATGCAATTGAACCAAGGACACTCAGCATTAGAAATTGGCTCCAGTCCTATAGTCCTTGCCAATTTGCCCAATAGTTAAGGTATCATAAGGACAAGTAGAAACTTGCCCTTTTTAAGAGTTTTGCAGTATGTTATCATTATTAGGACTGGTGGATGAAAACTTTGTGACTACCGCTGTATCTACACCTGCTCATTGGCCGATATTCAGCCCCAAGTCTGCAGCAAATGACAGTAAAAAATCCAAACTTGAATTAAAAATGTCCCAATTCCTCAAAATTAAAAAAAAACAACTACAGTTAAAAGAGCCAATTTTTAACAACATCACAACTTTTCGCCCTAATCTGCCTGCTGTGGGAATCCTTGAATAATCGCTGCTAATACTTAGTTCAGCTGGGACTAGTACTCACTTCTTGAGGTATTCATTGAGCTTCTCTATAGCTTCTGTAGTTTTCTGTTGAGCTTTAAGTATGGCTACTTGTCTCTTCCTGGCAAACTGAAACAACAACGCAGAGTGAGTAACCAGGGTGTGCAAATCTAAAACACACTTGCTTGTCCTAGGCATGAAAACCTTAACATCTACCAACAATACAGCCATTACCAATCGTCATAGAGAAACAATAACTGGAGAACAAAAGAAAATCTCACAAATGGTGTCATAATAAGATGTAGCTTGCAACTACAAAAAATCAAGGTAATGTGTTTTTTCTGAATCCAAAATAACCAACAATTCCAATTCTTTCAAGACTTACCATATTTGTGCTGTCCTGTTCAATTATCTTCTGGTACATTGCATCGGCCTTTTCATACCTGGAGGTGAAGGCAGACTGTGAGAGATTGTTTTTTTTCACATGGCACTCCGTAACATTATTATAAATAATAATGATAATAGTCTGGACCAGACAATCCAGTGATCGATATTGTGTGCAATGATCCATGCTGTCTGGGTATGATGGTATCAACCAATGTTGTTTGTATGTTTGTTAAAATAAAAGAAGAGATTCACCCTCATGTCTAATATATCAACACTTGTTTGTTACTGTACCAAATCTGACCCATGAAGATCCGGGGAAGAATATGTCTTCAGCAACCCATGCTTGCCGTAAAAGGTGACTATGCTTGTCGTAAGAGGCGACTAACGGGATCGGGTGGTCAGGCTCGCTGACTTGGTTGATGCATGTCATCGATCCCAATTGGGTGGATTGATGTTCATGATATCAATCACTGGAGTGTCTGGTCCAGACTCGATTATTTACAGACTGTCGTCATATAGCTGGAATATTGCTGAGTGCGGCGTTAAACAACAAACCAACCAACCAAATTAAGACCTCCCAATTAAGACGCCTGTTATGAGCAGCATACATGTCCTTGGCCCTATTCTAACAAGGAATCCCCACGGCGTACAGGGGCAGTGGGACATGTAGATCTGTACTATAACCAACACAGTACAGCATGTACAGAATAACAGCGGCCAACAGTGAGCCCATGGATCCATGTTTGTTTGTTGTTTAACTCAGCAATATTCAAGATATATGACGGAGGTCTATAATTAATCAAGTCTGGACCAGATCTGCATCAATCCATGAAATAGGGATCTGAAGACATGCAATCAACCATGTGACTGAGTCTGACCACCAGATTCATTTAGCTGTCTCTTATGATGAGCATAGGTTGCTGGAGACCTATATTCTTACCCAGAATCCTCACTGGAGGACAAGCATAGGTTGCTTGGAATCTATAGTCTTACCCTGAACCCCTATGGGGAGACAAGCATAGGTTGCTGGGAATCTATAGTCTTACCCTGAATCACTGAGGGGAGACAAGCAAAGGTTGCTGGGAATCTATGGTCTACCCTGAATCCTTATGGGGAGACAAGCATAGGTTGCTGGGAATCTATAGTCTTACTCTGAATCCCTATGGGGAGACAAGCATAGGTTGCTGGGAATCTATAACCTTACCGTGAATCTCTACAGGGAGACAAGCATTGGTATTTTTGCGGTGGAAATCTCTGCATTTTGTTACACTTTCATAATCATGATTAAGCAGCCAAGATTATTACTAATAATTTATTTAGGTCTTTTTGGCCTTCTCAAAGAAAGTATACTGAACAAACAGCCCTTGATCATTGTTGAATTTGCTCGTCAAGCCATAATTTTTATCTGTCAGTATCTGGTAAATGTAATAAATAGATTGACTATTACCTTTCTTCTGCTTCGTAGTACATCCCCCACAACCTCTGAACACGGATACTGTGGGGAAACTTGGACTCCAGGGTCTCAATACAAGCCTAAAACAAACAAACACTGATTTCAACATACACTTAATGTACATGTAATGTAGCTAATTGATAATTATTATACCGGTAAATTAGACATTGACCCAATATTTCAACCCAAAAAAATGTGAAAATTGTTTGAAAAGATTTTTTTAATACTTTATTAGATCATTTTCGTGATATACTTAAAATATGTTTAACAAACAACCAAAGACTATGACTCACATCTGCAAGATCTAATCTTCGACAGTCTAAGGCAGCTACACACACTTGTTCATGTACCATCCACGCTGAAATGATACAACAATATGCATTCAATAACTATGACAACATCATGATCACTCTTAACATAACACTAACAAATACTGCCTTCAACTGTCACTCAGAAACTAGGTTACAACACATCAGATAGTTGTTCTTCCCTGGTAACCAAGGCAATCAGTTCAAGATAGCGACCTGACAGAATAATTAACATTTAGTCAAGACAGTGAGATCATTAAAAATACAAACAAAAATTCATTACATGATAATAACTGGTTTAGAAATAATGGAAGTAAAATGCCCATGACAACCTACATTCATCACCAAGCTTGTCACTCTGCTCCATGAGGACTCTCTCCCATAGTTGAACCACGGTGTCTCCATCTCTCACCTGCTCCTCACGCAACTTGCGTAAAATACTGCGTGCATCTATAAACCAAGGAACACATGTATAACTATAAGCCTGCTGCACCAACCCATCACCGTGACCTCACAATCCCCATCTCACTGCAAAGCTATTTGCCATATATCATGTAGTTGGCAATCTTCACTTGCAAATAAATATAGTAAAATTTAATGCCACTGTTAATGCCCCCCTCATCAATATCTCAGGTTGGAGACACTGGGAGTGGTGTTATCATGCATTGGGTTCATGTTCTTTCTTCCAGGTTAAAAAAACCATTACAAATTAACAAGATGTGGGATTTGTTTTCACAAAACACTAAGTCAAACTGAGGGCATCACTACCGGTAATTACTTTAATATATGAAACTTTCTATCAATAAAAAAGTTCTTCATCTTTTGTCTCATTTGTCCTACGGTGCTACTTGTTGTCCCTTTATCAGGTAAAAAAGCTGTTGGTATCATGTTGGGCCAACTTCCCAAGGATGGAAATCAGGACTAGTCTGGACCAAGTTTTGTTAATGCTTGAGGTATCCTTAGGGCTAATACAAATTTGGGTTGTACTGTTATAATATTATGGTATCACTTAATTTCTGTCCCTGCTTACAAATGTCAATCGAAGACTTAGTGTGTGCTACCGGTAACTAAAAATAACTACTCATAAATCATATACAATCATAATACATATGGAACTATGTATGCAAGTAGTTGTTTATATCCAAACTTTTGGTATTTTAATTCATCAGCAACATTGACATTCACACCAGAAAATAAGGGGAGGTGAAATTGGGTTCAGCGTCCATGATGTTTTCACTTACATAACGATATGCATGTGTGTCTGCTTGTACTTGACCATCTTCCCGAGGCAAGAGAGTTAACTGACTATAAAAGTCCAGTTTCCACCCTTGTCGAACAAGGTTGGTATTATGGAGTTACATGTTGGCTTGACTAACGAGTCTATGCATAGTCCAATCAAAATCACACAACAAAATCGAAATCCAGTTCGTCAACTGTTGTGCAGATTTCAGTCGATTGCAGGATTTACAAAGCATGTGCACTGCCGACTCGGTGTCAACAAATATTTTCCAACTCTTTTCATGCTTATAAGTCAAGGTGCTGTTGTGATTTGATGCACCTTGCGATGTAAGACCCATTTTATCACAATATAGATCTTGATTATTGATCAGATCGCCTTGACTTGGTGCCGCCATTTTGTTTGAAGCAAATGCAAGTGATACAAGAGGTGGAATCTGATTGGTCCATAGGAGAGGCATAGAAGGGACATAACTCGCAATAGCCACTGGTGGCGTTACGATCGAGCCCAGGAATTCTAGCCTAGTTCGGCAAGGGTGGAAACTGGAAGTCTATAGTCAGTTAACTCCCTTTGCCTCGGGAAGATGGTACTAGTCCGGACTAATGCCGACTTTATAGTGCTAGCCCACTGAGATACCATGCTGCAGTTTATCATGAATACCACACACAGACTCAGAATACAGACTCTGAGCCGACCAATCCTTGCTTAGCCCTTTAATGCCGAGTAAGTCAAGGTAAAACCCTGGTAGGGTGGCAACCAATTATAATGTAACAACGTCTGATAGGATGCATTATTCTCACAGATTAAGCCTTTGTAAAATATGTCATGTGATGTATCTTTCACTGTTTGCATCATTGTTTGATCACCACACAAAAAGGCATTTTCAAGGCTTGAATGGAGAGTTCTATAATCTAGTACGTTTGTGTAAAAGTGCTAAGGAATTTCTTCCCTATACAAATGTCTGGTGTTTAGACATTAAAATGAGGTCGTTTTCAGGTATGATAGTTATCATTGAGTGTCAATAGCCGAGTGGTGGAATGTGCTACGGATCAGGCCATGTTTATTAACCCCTGGAAATTTGGTTTTTCTTGCCCATATTTCTTACATACCCATTTTAACATATGTGGATAATCCTTTTCATTGTTAGTATTTGTATTAGAATCTCAGTCACTTGTGTATACTCCCAATTGACATACGCAGTAAACTGTAGTGATGTACTGTTTTACAGCAGCGGAGAAACAATATTGAAACTGCATGTCGAAAACACGAAAGACCGCTCTCGATTCACGAAATGCACGCTGTTTCGTAATAAAGAATTACCGTCGCTTCTTTTACACAGACGCTTCAAACAACACAAAACGTGTGGGATGTAGGTCAACTTAAATGCATTCTGGCCTCTGCAAAAGAATATTAATTTGGAAATGGTGGCAGTGACTATTCTAAATCTTTCCTTCGAACACACCTTCCCAATTTATGTGCCGCGCCATCTTGGAAAAGCTAAATCACGTTGTTGTCACGTGATTATCGCAAAATCTCGCACATGCGCATTACATCGTTGCTATAGCTACAACTCAAGCGTCTTTACCAAACCTCCACACTGGTTGCAGAGTTCCACAGTTGTCACACAGTCGTCAAAATGATTCCACCAAACGCTTCTCTCGTAAAATATGACAACCCTGTGCTTGTCAGCAGAAATACCGACAAGAAAACTCCACGGGTAAGTGAAGATGAAATAGACGCCCATGTTTGGATTTCCAAAACAGTTATTTTTGTTTACAAAAATCCAAAATATCATGAAGAATTTGGTAACCATGATGTTTATTTAATAGTCGATAAACTTAGGACCAGTGGCAAAATATATTCTGCTATTTTAGAAACCTGGGGCACCAAACTTGGCAATACGAGCATATTGTGTGTTTACATCGTTTTGATTTTGTGGGTATCCATGATGAATTTTAATACAGGTGCCCAAAATATCAACCCAGTTTAGGATTGCGATAACAACAATAGTGAAATGTTTCTCCCATTAACCATGTTATTCTAGACTAAATCGCAGTGTCTGGGTCTCCCATGCTCTTTTGAACTAAGTTCAACTAATATCTTGTCACAGTCCCAATTAGGATAATGTCAAGGAAATAGAAGATATGACCCCATTTTATTTGGTTACCAATCTGTTATCAATTTCCAATAGACATGGTGAGATCGCTGGCATGATTGTGTTGTGTATTAGGGCAAATTGTGTTATACTTATCATGGCATCCACTAAATTATTCATGATCTTGCACAAGCACAGAATTGAAATATAAATAAATGACTAGCTATTGACACATTAAGCCAACACTCTACAAGGAATGAAACCTGTGTAAGTTACTCATTGCACAACAGACCCTCTTACTCTTTTCTTTGTAGTTTGCAAACTTTGTTTTATAATTGTCGATTGAGCCCACATGTTGAACTTATCAATGTTTATATTTATTGCTATTTTAATGATAATTACAAAATACACATAAGATTTGTGTAATCATACTCCGATTAAGCATTCATGGTTATGCCATCATCAACCGGTTTGCTTAGTTCAGATTCTTGTTTACAGGCCACCATGGATGACTAGTGTAAAATATATTCACTCACTCATTCAGTTAGTTGGGGCCCAAGTGATCAGTTGCCTCTGAGGTTAAATGTAACCTCATATTATACATTCAACTCTTTCATATCATTGATGATAGGTTGTTTTGAATATTGACATGTATTTTTGTTTTGAATATTGACATGTATTTTTATCACCTAGGCACGAGCACTGAAGGTGAGTCCTACCCCTCCTACAGGCACAGGGCCTGTGCCAAACCCTCCTGCCAAACAGAAACTTGCACCAGTTGATGCCAAGGCTGCACAGCAGACAGATGAAATTCTCAATAGTATTCTTCCACCTAGGTACGCAATATACACATCTGAATCTTTAATCTTTTGATTTGCCTTCATTCATCTTAGACATGATTGGTAGCCAAGGTATGTTAGGCACCACATATGCTGCAAAGGATATTTTGATTCTTGGTTTGTCAACACCATATCCTTTGGCAAACATCCAAGACCTGGTTCACTTCAGGGTTTTTCTCCCACATGAAGTGAATATGTCGTGATGTACCTGTAACTGAAATACTGTTCAGGGTGGCATCAAACCTTATTCATCTTACCTCATAAGCAGTGCCATGGTGTTTGATTTGATTTTCAATCAATATTTTATATATATTTTTTCTTAATTTTTTAAGTCAATCACTGGCAAAATCAGTGAAAAAAATAATTCTGCAAATTCTCGAATCTTTTTTAAAACATTTTTTCTATCATTTGTCATACTGTTAGATATGACATTTTTTAACTTTGGATAGTGTAACTTGCATGTTTCTCACAGGTAATCTCATTCAGAATATGTTAAAATGTATCATGTTTTCAATTAGGGAATGGACAGAGAGTGGTCAGCTGTGGGTTCAACAAGTGTCCAGCACTCCAGCCACTCGCCTGGATGTGGTCAACTTGCAGGAAGAACTGGACAGACGGCTTCAGCAAAGACAAGCCCGGGAGACTGGCATCTGTCCGGTCCGGAGGGAGCTCTACTCACAGTGTTTTGGTAGGCCTAGTTAAACAATTATATCTCTCAAGAGTTCAAAACTACCATTGCCTAAGTACAGTGATATTTACAGAGGTGATGATATATTCATTGTTACATGGCCCTGGTCCAGCTATCTGCATTTTTAGATATATTACACTGATATAGTGTCAAAGCAAAAGGAGAGAATTAATAACATGGGGCATCCATTTTTCTGTGTTTGGTTTGTAAGACTGCACTGAAACCAGAATTATACAATATTGCCTAAGAGATTTTAGAATGATGGAATTCAGGCAACTAAATTTTAATCAAGTTTCACTTGCCCAGTAAGCCTTTCTGATGTTTTTCCTGTTTCTCAAACTGCTAGAGTCACTAAACAGTTATCCAATGTCTCATTGAACTTAATGGTTTACCAGGAAATGTGAAAGTTGCTGTGATATTAGCTTGTTATTCTTTCCCAGATGAATTGATACGTCAAGTAACCATCAACTGTGCTGAGCGTGGCCTACTGTTACTGCGTGTGAGAGATGAGATCCGCATGACCATTGCAGCATATCAGACACTGTATGAGAGTAGTGTAGCCTTCGGCATGCGCAAGGCACTGCAGGCTGAACAGGGCAAAGCTGACATGGAGAAAAAGGTAAGGAATTATCGAGAAACATTAAATGAACTGGTAGTGATCATTCTCCAATTTGATATATGCAACTAAACATCATACCATAAAGCTATTAAAACATAGGCTAATATTTTAAAATAAGTCATTAGAATATTGGCTAATTTGTAAATTGAGTCTTGCATAAAATGTATTATGAGAGATTACCTATATCAAATATACAACATAGTTTCCATTCATCTAAAAAAAGGGGTAGCTGACCTTTAATGAAACACTTTTATATTTGGGGGTAGAAAATTAGAAATAATATTTTAACGATTTTGTACTAATATTACCATATAACAAGTTTAACAACATCTATGATGTAATGAAAACATTAACATTATTACCATTAAATTGTGAACTATACAAGCCTTTGTGATGGCTAATTGCTTATCATTGACCCCTGATGTCCAGCGCCTTCATCTCCTCGCATATTTCATATACCTTTTAAAATCTAAAATTGAGTGAACACTTTATATATGAAGCACTTAAGCAATTTTGAGCAGTACACCATATTTGGAATCACAGTCCAGCATGTTTCTTAAACACATCATAAATCTAGCTGTATTTTCAAACAGAGATACACAGTCTTGTTTGAGAGATTGTAACAGTTCTAAGACCACGGTTAATTTCACTGTTTGGAAATACGCAGTGTGTTTAGAACATGCATGGTTTTACAATTGAAGATTTGAAGTAAAGTCACAATTGTTGTGCATTTTTGTGCTGCTTACCGTCTTGGGCACATTGGTGTATATAATGTGTTTGATCAATTTTTATGTAGGTTTGTTTTGTAGGTCCTATGCTATTTCCGTAAATATTTTATAGCAGTCGGTATCCATTATGTTCAAGTTACCCGTAGTCAAGTGGGGATAGAGTAAACAAATTCCAACATTGGTTTAAATAATCACATTGTTCGTAAGTTTTAAATGTTGTTGCTTTTGTTGTGTGTTATATATTGTATATACTGTCAAGTGAAATACGGCTAAAATGTCCCATGCATGCAAATGGTGATACATGATGTAAATATCTTCTTGAAACATATTTTGTAAAATTGTAATATATTTTTAATATGGACTTCCAATATTTGCAGTCCCATGTGGTAATGGTAGCATGATGTTCTTTAAAGGTTCAAGGCCTTCTTTTAATAATGACACTTTACACATACATCTTCATATTGTACAAGTTTGAATGCATCCTTGTTATATGCATGCTTTACTAACTCATGTACAAACCACAACCTCAAACTGTGAATTAACATTCACATCAATCGTTCACATATTTCTCCTTCTGACACACCTGTATATCTACTGCTTTTTGTTAGAGACCATATCTTGTAAATTCTTTTCAGGATTTTGGCTATCAAAATTAATATTGATTTATTGACTAAAATTATTTCATAAATTTTGGTTGAAAATTTTCATAATTGTTTTTTTCAATAATTCCTATTAAAATCATAACCGGAATTTATTGTTGAAATGAAAACATGCATGTTTGCACAGATCTTTAAATTAAATTGAATATTATATATCAAATAGGCTGACTCTGAGGATGAGGTAAGCTCTCATTATCACTGATAATGAACTACAGTATGGAATGGTGAATGACAGACCTTCAAGAAATGCATGTGCCATTTGAAGTCTTGGGAAATGAATGCAAATTTGTTTTTTAGACATTTTGGACACACAGGTTTTACTGCCAATATAAACCAATCAGTAACTAGCTCACATTGGCTGTCTTTGATATGGGTGTGTGGTAGGCAAATCAAGTATCGAGGCTTCATCATGTTTGTGACACGTTCCAGTGTTTTTATAATGAATGCATTAGTTACATAAAGCCGCAAGTTGCAAAAAGGAGTATCTGCTTCTGACTGTCACAAACCTTCGTTTGTTGTGACTTAAGTACTAGGATTTGTTTCATTTATCAATAGATTTGTTAAAGTGCATGGAAATATATTTTAAGTTTAAGTAAGTTTTGATAGTGAAATGGAACTTAAGATGGTGCTTCACAATGCAAGTGGTATTGAAGACTTCACCTAGCATCGTTTCACGGCATGTTTGCAAGTGGGAATGTAAATGTATACCCCTTCACTCCATTTTGTATGTAGATTTAGATTGTGCTTGCATGGTTATTTTTTGAGTTTTTCACCAAATATTACAGATGAAATATTGATAAGAATATCACGTGGTTAACTGATATGTTTCATAAAAATCATTTCATCAGCATCTACACATCAATCAAATTAATAATCAGTTTGTAGTTCATAAAATTATCTCTCCACCATGTTTTGTAAATAATAAATGTGTAATGTGCTATGACTGAAAAACAGTATGTGATACTACACAAAAGCAGATTAGGAAATTACACATACGGTCATCACTTGTCCATTTGTCTGTTGTTTAATGCCATCCTCAGCAATATTCAAGCTATATGATGGCAGTCCGGTCATATCATTTGTAGGACTGAGATGTTTTTTTCTGAAAACATATTTTATATCCTTCATCTAAAAATCATCATGGAGTACATTCAAAATATAATTATTTCAATTTAGACAACACTGAACACTATATTTTCAGAATGTCATTTCATCATACATGTGTACCAAACTAAAAATACAAACACTGGTGCATATCTAATGAATAGGTTACCAAGTCTTCTCTGTGGACAAAGGCACCCTTCAATCGTACATATATGACTACCATTTATCGTTTTCAAGACAGATATGCTTTGCAGATGTACTGAGTAATTTAGCAGCTCTGGTTACTGGTATGTGTAAGGTGAGTATGACGCTGACCATACTGTGCCTTGATGTGGTAATCAGAAGGTGCCTCTATGTTCAGATCACAGATCTAGAGCAGGAGAAACGTGACCTTGAGCGCAACGTTAATGAGCTGAAGGCCAAGTGTGAGCAGATTGAGAAGCGAGCAGCTGAGCAGAGGCAGGTGGAGGAGAAGAAGCACACCGAGGAGATCCAGTTCCTCAAGAGGACAAACCAGCAGCTGAAGGTGTGTATACCATAGGCACCTTGTTCAGCACAGACAGGCAGCATTAGAAATTGGCACTAGTCTTGTGGTCCTTGCCAAACTGCCCAATAGTTAACGTATCATAAGGACTAGAAAATATTTGCCCTTTGTAAGGGGTTTGCGATATGGATTAGTGGACTAAAAATGTTAGTTTCTATCACTGACAGGCCATGTTAAGCACATGTCTGAAAATATTCTCCACCCTCCCCTAAGAATATTAAAATTGTTGATCCCTTACCAGCTAATAATTCAAATGTCAAATCACAGTTGATTAGTCAAAAGGATGACGAAACATACCGATTTGGTATTTATCAGATACTACCTTTCTGATAACATCTTTGAGGAAAATATGGACATATAATCCTAAGAAATACCACCCTATAATGTATTGATAACTAACCCCCCTTTTATTTTATGTGTGCACAAGTCTCTTCCTAAACACAATCTCTCATTCTAAGTTGATTTCCTTCCCTGCAAAGAGAGAGCTTTCGTGATGTGTCATCAATTATTTCTTCTGTAAGGCTAATCAGTAGGGTGTTGGAAGATGAGATCAAATATTAATGGCAGTGTTGTCTGGTGCTGTTGTATCTTGTCAGTACAGGAGAAACCAGTCTGAAGATAGCTTGTTCAACAATTTGTGTTCCAAAATCTTATTGAATTTTTATATAGGTAATTGATGTATTATTTATATTTTCAGTATATGTTCAGTATATGAATTGAAAGAATATCTGTATAATTTCAATTATTGCTGTAAATTCCTATATTTCTATGACTCTGAAGACATTGGTTATTCCTTCAGATCTACAGCATGTACAGTGAACAGCAACATGCTTTCAGAAACCTGTTGAAAATATCATTATTAAACTTAAAAATTAAAGAAGCTGGTCACTAGCTCAGTTTTGGTGATAGACATCAAAAGAGGAGGTCACTTACTCAACTTACTGATTATGTACAGTGGGTATTGCATCTTTCTGATGAGGAACATTTTGTTTACAACTATCACAACCATGACATAGTCATGTTTGAAGTTCACATGTAAAAGAAATTATTTTCAATTTTCAATTATTGAGAAGTTTTTGTTTTTTTGTAAGATATGTAAATAGTTCTATTTTGACTGTGCAGATTAATCAATGACTAATGATTGTTTCAACTGCATCAGCAAAGAGCATTATTATTTGTGATTGGAAACTTCTTATTTAAAATGCATAATTGGTCATGTTCATTAAATTTAACAATGATATGTACATTCAATGTTGTAAGGCAGCACATCAGTCATTTTCAACAGTAATTGATCGGGAAATTCTCAGAAAATAAACATAACATTATCAAACAGTTATTTCCTGACCATTAATTAGGCTTGACAAATTGATTCAAACAATTAATCAATGATGAAATCAATCCTAGTTTCTGGTTAGTTTGTCTCTATTTACTGCCATGTCATGAGTGAGTTATTCAACTCGGTGCATGATCACTTGATGAACAATTTCAGATAATGAACTCATTTCCCAATTGGATTAATAGCGTATCTATTCTGATTACTGTGTCAACACATTTACCAAATATCCATTTATTTTTCAGACTCAACTGGAAGGAATCATCGCCCCAAAGAAATAAAATCCCAAACAAACCATTTTATCTGCATCCAAGTGTACATATATAAGTCTGAGAATCTATATGGTATATATAGCAATAAGTGTATGGTGTCTCCAGTGTATGTGAAGGGAGGATTCAACACCAAGTACCAACATTTGTAAATATGAACATATTTATTGCTTGTCGGTACTGTTGATACAGCTGTGATAGTGTGTTGAACGTGATGGGAAATGTCCCGAGAACTAAGAATATGTCATTGTAAATAAATATATTCTTCTGACTTTCATCTTGCATTTCCAGAAAGGTATTTGGTTTTATTAGAGATGATTAACCTTTTTGATTTCGTGTACAAAATGACCTATACAGAACATGATGACCTTAGTATTTGTGGACCAAGTTGTTAATGTTTTCTGTCACTTTTGAAACTTTTTTGTTCAGATGGCAGCTTCCATGTTCCATCCTGCATTATTTTCAGCATTACAATTCTTGGTATCAAGACCGATATCTCCTGATTATGTAAATGAGTTTGTGCTTGTTTTTCAGCCATGGAATATTTGTCAGTCAAATGTTTTGCCTTCACTCCGAGTGCATGTTACTGACATGTCACTATCACAGTTTTTTTTTCATTTTTCAGAGTGAAATCAATTCTTAACTCAATAATTGAATTGTGTTACATCTGTGTGTAAAATTGTCACTTGGTCATTTCAAATTTTTTTTATGGACAGTTTGTCATATCATTGGTTAAATCAAAACATCACTGAATAAAGTTTATTAATACCATTATCATCTGTTGTGTTACAATTGTCAGGCTTCCACATATTGGACTTTATTATTTTACTGATTTAGACTGTTATTTTTAACCACTAGTCCAGAGTCTGAGTCGAGCAAAATGATGTTTGGTCTATTAAGCTCAGCTAATAATAGACCATATATCTGAATCAAAATCTACTAAACATGAGTGTCCGAGCCAGTAGATTCAAAAGTTTTTGATTGACACAGACTGCTGATTAGCTCTTGATGACTCAACACTTGATCTGAGAATAAGTTTTATTCCTTTCACAATGACACATTTTCATTCTTGGTGACGATGAAATAACAAATATTTGCATATGATAAACACAGGGAGATAATTCAATCTCTGTATCCAGTACAATGTATGTACTCTCTAACTGATAGCAAAAACCACAGATAATAACCACTGACGTAAAACACGTTGATCACACAAACATGAATGGCCAAAAACAAATAGACTTGTACTTGAACAGTGTGGGCAAAGCACTACTCTAGGGGTAACTAATTAAAAAAAACCAGTCAAGTTCAAGTAAGCTATAGATTAGGGTAAAAAAATAATCTGGGTTCTCAGGCACCGCCCGCATTATCAAAAAGTCAGCCACATATTTTGTTTTATTTCCATTTTCAAAAAAGTATAAAATCTTATACTTAAAATTTTTTTAGATCCATTTTATAGCGCAATGCTTTATTACACATCTTGTGTCATGGTCATGGCGGCAATAGGAGTTTGTATGATTGTATATGTCCGGAGGCCCTTTCCAAGGTTTAAGGTACAAAACTGTTTATTTGGTTACATACTAGTTTGAACAAGCCCCCCCAAAAAAACAACCACCACCTGCCTAGACTTTATTTTAAAAAGTTGCCTGAGAATCAATTCTTTTATTTTTTTAAGCCTTAATCTTAACACTGTAAAGATTACAGACAGAAATAGCAAGAATAGCTTGCTGCAGTGCTTATGCCATTTAGTATCATGAATATATGTTCATTAACAATTTGAAAATAAATATTAACTCTTTGTGAGGCCAGTCTGCATCTAAATTAGCTGGCGTGGCAAGCAATTAGAGACATTGCCTACACAATTTATAGGTACTGAAAACTGCCTTCCTGGCAAACATTTACTACCCTGACTTGTGTTTCCGGACACCTTAAGGTTCGTGATTTATCTCATGTAATACCTTAACATACAACAGACCATTTCAAAATACACCCTGTGGAGATTCCTGGTAAGAATAGGTCCACAATATGTGGTTAAGAAGCAATTTAATGGATCAAAGCTCAAGCAAAGTGACTTGGCTAATAGAATGTCATCATACAATGTTAACAGTAGTTGGAATATTCCTGAGTGTGGCGTTAAACAACAAACAAACAGTCCTACCCTAGAGACCAGAGGATGACAATATACTACCAACAAAAATAAGGCAACAAATGACTTGAATGTAGCTAATAATGAGGTGTACATTTACAATAGCATTGCATCTGAATGCAACATCCAATCATAATGAAATTCATCTTGCATGAACACAATGCACATGCACACAAATGTCAAAGTGTGTGCACCTATGAGGGCACTCACAATCACTAATGTAACTGAGCTAAGCACATGCTTAAAAATGCCCCCGAGACAGTATTTCTACAAACAAAGACAAAATGGCGAATCGTGGGTACGATAGATGTAGGGGGTTGGGGTTGGAGAGGGACTTCAATATCCAAAGTTGCCCAAAAATGTTTGACAAATTGAAAAGTGTAATTTCTTGACAGTGGGACAAGCACCATCAAACCGGTGGCTTGCAATGAGACCTGGGCGTGGCAGGCCTAAAAAAATGACACCAAGACAAGATCGTCTCATCACATTATTTGAACTACGCAATAGATTCTAGTGAGTGAGTGAGCTGGGTTTAACGCCGCTTTTTACAGTATTCCAGTTATATCACGGCGTGTCAGCTTAATGTGGGAGGAAAGCGCGAAGTGATGCAGGTCTCAGACGTTTACAACTTCGGTGAAACCCACGAGCACGGGTATGGTGCTGACAAACCTAGCAAAATAATTAGGGCGAACCGGGATTCGAACCAACAATCATAGGTTTCTGGCGTGCCCAAGGGACGCAACTCTGCGCAGCGAATCGCGACGCCTTAGACGACTGGGCCACCTGTGCCCCCCGCAATAGATTCTAATATGCTCTTGTTATCAACATGATCAACATGATCAATAGAGAATTCCGTATGAATGACATGAAGGCAAATTTCAACATGTACCATAAAAAAAACCTCTATGCAGTCCGCCTTGCAATATGTATCACAATACAGCTGTCCGTGTTATACGTTTAGTGTGACAATTCGCCAACCCTACTGCAATACATTCAATTGTTAAGCCATAATGAAATTCCACTGTAGCAATAACTGAAACAAGATATGTATGTCCAGGTGTTTCTGAGAGGTTGCTGTGTATGCCACTATTTCCTCTCACTGAAATGAGCTGTTGCTACGGTCATTTTGAATTTTGCAAAATGAAAAGATTACTTTGTTGCAGCTAGGAGTATGTTGTGTGAAAGTTGTGTGCAAAGGACATTTGTTCAAAAGATTTGGAGAAGAAGAGATTTCCAGTTTGATGGAATGACGATGGACGAAACTAAAAAGAGTACATAATGAAGAATCTGCTTGTTGTTGCAAACCCTAACATGAAGTGGCATGTAAACAAAAGGTCCACACAGAAATTCAAACACTAATTCTAAGGTCTTCTATTGGCCCAGGTTGCATCCAAATAAATATAAAGATTTCATAAAATTAACAATTTTAAAGAAAATTCTTTCAAACCTAGTCTTCTATTTATCAGCCCCTCTCATCAAGGCATCACAACAGTGAAGCTCTTTTCAAGATGGGACATCCAAACTGAAGTTGCTGTCAAGTTTGTATTCACTGTGTCGGACCTGGGCATCAAATTGGAAGAAAAAAACCATAGAACCACAGCATTGCATAACGGCTAAAGACCTGACCATCAAATGGTCGGAACAGCTGAAGCAAGTGAGATCTCTTGTGCAGCTGTAAAGCTGTGTCTAGCTGGAGCACTGGGGTGCTAGCACACACACACTAATCCCTGTCCCTGTATCAGCTTGGTACACTTGTATACTGAGTGTTCATATAAACATGACAAGGGAGAGAATCCAATGTTTTTTCAGTGTCTGATGATGTTTCATCTGATTTCTGAATTCTGTGTCCATAACGAAAGTTTTTCTTATATTCTTTGTCCCTCTCACGTTCTCTCTCTCTGACGGGCAGGTTTCTCCGTCTGGCCAACTGTCGCCTTTCTCTATCCCTCTGACGTTCCTGTTCACGGTATATTGGATCTTGTCTACGGTTCTGCATTCGTTCCTTGGCTTTCACTTTTTCTTTCTCCCTGAATAGCAGAAACAATCTTTATCAAATTTCCTGACATTTTATTGTCTGAATACAAGACTGAAATGATTCATTAATGCACCACAATACACAATACACTTTAGTTAAGAGTGATACATCATGTTTCACACATGATACATGATTTAGGAACATGACTTAGAAACAGGAATTGTTCCATGTTAATCTTCAATGCAGGACATGTATTACTTAACTTGATCATGTAATGGTGTATGTATATACATTCCATCACCCGTGAATACAGCTGGCTGCTATGCGATGTAATGGTGATGTGTTTATTATTTTTTAGCTAATAAAATGTACACATTAGATTATACTTCTGACCTACTTTTTCTCATACATTTTACTTCAAAATTCATATCTTGATTGGTTCTTTTTAGAACATATTGAAAATTTGCATTGAGTTTTGATGAAATGTTTTTGTTTTCATGTCAAAATGAACTTCATGCTGTGGCCATATTGGATTCCAGATTTTCAGAGAGCATTCTAATTTTTGGGGGATACATGTCTTCAACTCCTCTAAACCTACAAGTAGAAATGGTTTAAAACTTTTTAAGAATTGTTCCCATACTTAATACTTCGAACTATATCAGTCATTTCCGGGTATCTCCTTTGGTTGCATCCATATGGGATTTTACTTCTGATCATTTTTTCTCATCCAATTTACTTAATAATTTGTTTCTTAAAAGATTCAGCATAAAGAACAAGCAAACAGCGTTATCACAACCCCCACCATGGGGCACATTAGAATTTAGTTTGTTCATATAGAAGTGAAAATACAAACTATAAAAAGGAGTCTGATAAAGCCTTAAGAAGAGATAGTGATTTGGGCTGCTTTGTGTCATCAGAAAAAATGATTGAATGTGAAATTAATACACACAAAAGGTCCTTTCTCTGGAAAAAATAACGCAGTCTTGATCAGTAGTTTCTGAGAAAAGTTGTCCCAATTGCACACACTATGCACTTAAAATAACATGGATCAAAGGCCTTAACTTTGTCAAAAATTGAATTTATGACACCAATTTTTTAACTCATTTGAGATCATGACCAGTGACATCAGTGTGTAAAACTTCATTTCTCTGACTTAAATACTTATTGAGAAAATTTGGTCAGATGGACAAACTCTGTTCCTATATCCCCCGCCCCACATCATGGCAGGGGATAATAATGAAAGAAGTGTTAGTATAATATGAGAATGATCCCCCATCCACGGCCCTTCCATCGATGCTAGAGCCAGGCGCAATGTTGTCTTGAGAGTCTTAGATAGTCAGTGATAGTGGGTACACATTTTATTAAAACTTTAAATCACTGATCATGCACCTGTCACAAAGTGGGAGAGGGATATAGCAATGGGTGTTACCTGTCCGTCACGTCTTGCTTCCAGAGCATAATTCCAAGACCGTTCATATTTCTGTGCCAAATTTTGCACAGATATCAGTCTGGTCATGAACTGGTGTCTTCTTCTATTTTGGAATTTGAAGTATCACTTGGAGCAATATATCGCGGCTATCAGCTTTATTCAAAATTTTATTCTATCAGTATTCCATTGTGCATAAAAACAGGCCAGAGGTCTATACAGAAAGGTTGCTCCTTGAATGAAGTACCAAAATGGGTCAATACTATTGTGGATTGTTACCCTGATTACAGCCGTGCCCTTGCACAGAGAACATGCAGGTTACCTGAACACAGGATTAGCCCGGAGTTCCCTCTTCTTGATCCGATCTTTCTCCCTCTTGGTGATGTCCCTGATGGACAGACACATGCTGTCCGACTTTGTGGTCACCTCCACTTGTCGAGCCACGTCAGACACTCCATCTGACACAGTTAGTGGGGACACCTCGCTCTCGCTCACAAACATCTCCTCATCTCTACAAACATTATCACAGGTGTGATCATGCAATATATTGCAATACACTGTTTATGGCCAATACTCAGCCCTACAGATGGACATGACAGACATGTGATCATCACTCAGCAATATTCCAGTTATATGACGCAATATTCCAGCTATATGACAGCGGTCTGTAAATAATCGAGTCTGGACCAGACAATCCTGCGATTGATATCATGAGCATCGAACCAAGCAATTAGAATACGATGACATGCTTCAACCAAGTCAGCGAGCCTGACGACCCGATCCCGCCTCTTACAACAAGCATAGTTGCCTTTTACAGCAAGCATGGGTTGCTGAAGACATATTCTACCCCGGATCTTCATGGGTGAAATTGATGAGAAATGTCTTGAGTGTTCAAATGGTCATACTTTAACAAAACATTGATAATAAGCAATAGTTTATGATGGTCATGTTACAAAACTAACTGTACAAATTCATACCCAGATTTGGTGAAATCAAACTGCGACCATAGAGTTCCATCATATAGCATCTCAACCGGGATGACCTTGACCTCAACAACCTTGCCCTCTACTGCATCAGCACCACCAGACAATGCATCCGAGGATGGCAAGGCAGCTGTCGACACATACTTGTCAACAGCCCCAGTTGATACAGCTGCAGGGCTCACAGAGGTCACAACACCAGGATCTGGTGAAACCATTGGTTCATTGGACTCTGTTGCTATGGCAACAGAAGGGTCTTCAGTGGATACAATCGTGTCATGAACTACTGGAATAACTGTTGAGTCGTCAGATGTTACTACTGTCTCTGTGAAGTAGTCAACTGGGAAAACAGCTTCCCTGTCAGTTCTATCTGTAAGATGACATCAGATCATAAGCAACAAATATAACAAGTCTGCTGAATAACTGGATACTCAAGTATGTGTTTAATCTCAGTTAAAGAAAAGTGTGCATACTTTGGAACAGAATGCCATTACCATTATTACAAATGTTACGCTGTTCTTCCACACACTAAATAGTCATGACCAGTGCTTGCAATAATAGAGATGATATAGGATTTGTTTTTCGTTTTTTTCTTTTACACCACCATGTCCACAGTCTGCAATATTCCAGGGATACATATTCCAACTGTATCTCAGCAGCCTGTAAGTAATCCAATCTAGGCCAGACAAACAATCTGGGTATGATGATGCAGGTTGTCTAGCCTCACTACCTGATCCAAATTAGCCTTTTGCAAAGGAAATGCTTGAATCAAAAAGAACAAAACTCCACTGGCCCCAAGACACCTGTATCCAGTGATAGCACTGGTTATACTGGGCCAGCTGTGTGTCGTGCATGGGACCATATGTGCTGAAATGGACTTACCTAGGATCTTAAACAGAGTGCCTGTGGTAGGAACAATGGAAAAATGCATCATCTGCCCAAAATTTGTGTGGTTTGAAAATTTGAGGTATCATAACACTGCATTCAATCCAATGACACAAAAGTAAGCATCGATGCCTTTTCACAATATTGGAATGTGAGCAATGAAAGAATATCAGTCGATCATCTTTCCAAAGGTTAAACATTAGGAGAAGATGAATTGGGAAATTTTGAATTCATAACTGGATAATTTTACAGAAAATCTATCTGGAACAACACTTAGATAAATCTCTGACTGATAAACCACCTTAAGATTCTCACCTGGAGCTACTTCCAACTGCACACTGAGATGTTGCTGCTCCCTTACTCCTGTTGTCTGCATCCTGATCCCTGCATCCTAGAATCACAGTCCTCCCTCCTGTCTGCAGGATAATCACTGTAGCTTAGTGCACAATTGCATATTAAAATCAGAGTACCACAGGGACAGAAGCTCACCATAAAAAATCATTTCCTTTCCTACATATGTCCTTTGCTCCCTCCACAAATTTCAATGCAATGCAAATCAAACATTTTATTTAACTCTAAAAGACGACAGAAGCAGCTGATCATTGGCAGAGATACAACTCTAAGGTTACTGATCCTCAATTGTTGGATTGTTTATATATATTGATTTCTTAGAAATTCATAACACATTTCAAAATTTTGGGACTACTGTACTTTACCTGGCATACTTTTGGGGATTTCATTAGGTTGGTTGGTTGGTTGTTTAATGCCGCACTCTGCAATATTCCAGCCATATGACGGCGGTCTGTAAATAATCGAGTCTGGACCAGACAATTCAGTGATTGATATCATGAGCATCAATCCATGCAATTCGAGACGATGACATGCATCAACCATGCATAGTCACCTTTTATGGAAAGCATGGGTTGCTGAAGACCTATTCTACCCCGGATCTTCACGGGTCAGGATTTCATTTATCCGCACAGAAACAGAAACTTTCATACTATATGTTTTTGTTTGCGGCTAGCGTAAACCAATGATTGTTTATTTCTTTCCCCCTTTTTGATGAATTGTTTGTCTGTGTCTTTGTTTCAATGGTGCGAGGGGAAGTAAAGTTTCAAAACATGTCAATTCAGCCTTGTAGAAGACAACAACTTTCTTATGTAGGTCAAACATGGGAAATATCTCATGTGAGCAAAGTATATAAAGACTGAGTAAATCTATACTGCTTTGTTTATGAGTGACACCAACACCTGGCTTGAAGTTAGGGAAATGAGTTGATGTTATTACCTAACACTTTACCGGTGTCACTGTCAGAAATAAGTATGTTTACCAACATTCATCTGTGGGTGCTTGATCTGAAAGGGGATCCAACGGCTTAAGATAGATACAGTTAGGGGTAACCTACCCAACCCTAACAGAACTAACCCTAAGGATCGAAAAGGCACAGTGAAGCAAGAGCCATAGCCATCAGCAGTCACAGCAACAGCGTAAACTGCAGTCTTTCAAACACTTTTGTCAAACTTTGAAAATATATATCTATTATGTATTTATTGAAAATATTATACATCGACACTTCTTAATTTCATTGGAGTAAAAATACAGGCTGTCATCCTACTATTACAAATTTACACGCAACACAAGAAGATCCACACTGTAAAATTATTATTCCATCCCTAAAGTATGTGTGCATTTTGCAGGGTTATTGTTTCAGCGTCAATTAACGGTCCACACACGATGATTGACGTCCTTTGGCGAATTTTGTTTCATGATCAGCTGGATCTGGGATTCTGTCACATTTGTTTGCGAGACGTGCACATGTCAATGTTTGTCTGTCTGTGTGTCCCTTCACCACAGAAAGTACTGCGAAAACTACTGTTTACACAAGAAACACATTTTGCCTATACGGCCATGGCCATCCCTCAAACACCAACATCTGTTCAGTAAAAAGTACTTACAAATTGATATCATTTCAAGATATTCGCTGATTTTCGTCTGGTGATACCGGAAGTGATTGGGGGCAAAAGTATTTCGCAGTTTCATTGGTTGAAATGACGCATATGGTTTTTCTTAAACTGGTTACGGTGTTTCTATGCGCCTCGTCAACATGCGATACTAAGAGACGGAACTCAGCATGAGGGTATTTTTCCGTACACTCTGCAGGAGACCGATCTACTGTACATTGACTTTTAGGGGATATTAATAAACATTGCAGTAGAACATCTATCATAAATTTCAAAGTAAGATTTCAACCCCAAACGAAGAGTCTCCATTAGTAGGTTAATCACAGCTGAGTGACCAGCATACATTGCAGTCAGTAACTTTATTAGAGCGACTTATAAATGATCGGGTCTGAACCCGACACATCAGTAACTGAAAGCACGACCAACACGCATGTAAACATCCTTCGACCTTCCCCACATAAATCCACAAGCACTGGTATAATGCTGGCAAACCAAGAATCATAATGAGGGCAAATAATAAGATTCTGGCGACGCAACTCTGCACTATGAATATTGTGGCGACTGTAGTGAGTGAGTGTGTATAGTTTTACGCCACTTTTAGCAATATTCCAGCAATATCACGGCGGGGGACACCAGAAATGGGCTTCACCCATTGTACCCATGTCGGGAATCGAACCCGGGTCTTCGGCGTGACCAGCGAACGCTTTAACCCACAGGGCCACGGATAGCAATACTATACTGACTGTACTGATTACATTTTTTTAATGTAATCAGTACAGTCAGTATAGTATGGCTATCCGTGGCCCTGTTCTTTAACCACTAGGCTACCCGACCGCCCCGCGGCGACTATAGAAGAGAGATCAGTTCAGTACCATGTACGCTCATATTAAAGAGTCAATGATCGCACTTCCACAAACATTTACGAAACCTACAACACCCAACACCTTCAAAGTTCTTAATGCTTTTATTTTGATACAAATTGGAAATAAAAAAAACATTTTTGTCTTGATCGAGAGCACTAGCTACAAACTCCAATGACAAGTGAAATAATGTCGAAATAACTATCGTCTTCTGGACTAGTCTTACAAAATGTGAATTAAGGTATGTGCAAGCATAAAAATAGGCACTGCTCCATAAAACATTTTCACTAATATCTTTGTTAATGGTGTAGGTTGTCATTCCTTATTACAGGGATAGAAATTAGCACAAGCCCGCAAGCCCTGACCAGTTTTGTTATGTAAAAGGTATCGTAAGGTCTAATAGAATTTCAAACAAAATGGGGGGCATTGCTATATGTTGTTACTATTCAGGCTAGTGGACTTTTTGGTTAATTTCTTTCTATCCCTGCAATAAGAGGAAAAGTAATAACTGTCAAGTAATTTGTTTCTTATTAATTAAAATCATCAGTGCCGGGTGTCATCGTTGTACATTGCTCTGAACATCGTGACAGTGTAGCCCCCCAGGAGGGATACCCCAACAACTCTATTCAATCCTGGCGCTTTGAGCTCATCCTTGATAACCCAATATAGAATTTCTTTTTTGATATAACACTGGACCCATTTTCCACCATGGCTTGCGTCGATTCTGATACAAAGTGTGTGATGCTAAAATTACCATCCAATCTGCAGCCCAAGGTGGTGCATGTTGTAGATGTTTGCCAGTGTGGTGTAACCCACGAGCATGGAACTGAGCTGTTCAACATGAAGCACGCATGTACATGGTTAGTTTTGCTTACAGAGTCGGAAATCGCTTGGAAACAGACATTCATGTCTATTGTTCTATTGACAATAATCACCTGAGAACTGTTTCAGTTCTACCTCTTTTTCACTGAATAAATCATTGATCCAATGTCAGGAAATAATGACGAACAGCATTGACAGGATTTGCATGTTTTATTCATTTACACCATACATGTAGAAATATGTATCTCACCATCGCTTCAACATCAATAATTTTGCTTATATAGAAATCCAAAGTTATATTGGTTCAAAAACAACACACAAAACTGAATTAGAATCGCACCCTCACCAAACCTAAAGAGGATTTTGATATTTTGGACCCCTATCTCTTCAGAATATAATCATCATATATAAATCTCTTCATCATTAAATGTCATTCTAAAAATAGCCAATGTTTATGACATACAATGATTAAGAGAACCAGCCCATTGTATTATTTAGTGCTATGGTTTTCTACAGAAAGGACCACACATGATGAGGAAACCCCTTCCTAAACTTAGAGGGAACACTGGTCAATAATTTATTGATGAAGCAGACATTGTAGCGATGTATGAGGTTTGACGGAGGTCCTGCAGTTACCTCATTTGCATACTTATCGGAGAGTGATACGTGCAATTTCATATTTCTGTCTTTTCCTCATGTTGAACTAGTTGCAGGAGGGCATGGTGAAATTAACTACACAGCACCATTTCAAAGCGAGCCCTTTCATGGATTGCTGGTAACAGTATCTGAGGGTAGGTGATCATGGTGATCAGTTGGACTTTACAGAACACAGGGTTTTTATTGGACACAGTTGCAAACCAGCATCACATCATCCTACTTCAAATATCCAACCGGATCCTCTATGTGAGCAGCATCATAGAACTGTTTCCTTCATTTCTAAAACATGACAGCCAATAACCAGTTTTTAAGTCAGAGACACTGTAAAACCTTTGTCGAGTACATCTTTACTACATGATCTAATGTTTCATCTCTGATTCCACATGGAAGCTGTAATCCAAGGAATGTGTAGTTACTTATAAACCTGTTGATGAAGGATGACACTAATGATGATGTTTGTTGACGTATTTACACTATGTACATCCTTTTCATAAAAAACACTCATTTCTTTTCTGGTGTGCTCAGTCCGTATCGGGCCTTCATGTCCTGAATATCCTGCTTCTTCTTGTCTGTGTCAGTTTTCTTGAATGCCTGAAATCACAGAAGAACGTTTTGTTAAAACAGTAAGTATTTCATGATGGGTAGACACCACAGTTTGTATCCAACTACTTCGCAGCTCCAACTAGTGGTTTATGTAAGATATGGGGAGAAAACTAGTCCCTCAATATATAGCAAACATGTGACTATGTCTTTCCCTGCATGTTAAAGGGGAAGTGTACACGCAAAAGTTACTTTCTTTCTTTTTCTAAACAAAACGCAATTTTAGAATTAGTTAGTATCTGTGTTTGAAAATATACACTCATTTTTTCACAGTGAAATTAGGAAGCTCACAATAGTGTGAAAATGATATGCCGTTATGAGGCCTTCGTTTTTCGAGCTAAACAGGCCTGAGTTACCCCCCTTAGATTATGACGTAATTGGTGCCAATTCAACTGGGTCCCTGTCTATTCTCAACGCAAAAGATATCAAGTACCAGTTTGCGGTAAAACAACATGGCCTACGACACACTCCGGCGCAGTAGTGACTCAGCATAACACTATGCTAGCTGGCATCTGAGACGCAAGAATCACACAACTGTACCTACACCACGTGAAGCGGCTCTAACAAAGCATGATGACGTCATAATGTTTATCAATTGGCACCAATGACGTCATATTGCAAGGGGCATAAGCCATGGTGTTTTTGTTATGGAAATAGAACACTTGGTAAATGTGAAAAATATAAATAGCTTTAATGCGAATATTATGTTGATTAATTGTGATATTTTTATATTTTTGTCTATGACACTTCTAGGTTAACACTTTTAATGTGGAAAAAGTACAAGAAATATAGGTTCATTTCCGTGTGAACTTGCCCTTTAAGTAGAATGTTATACATTAAGCATATCTACTGAACTCTCCACAAATAATTCTAGTCCCAGCTAGGAATAGGTCTCCAGTCTCTATTCCTTGTCATAAGAAGCAACAAAGCTGGATCAGGTGGTCAGACACAGTACGTGAGTGAGTATGGTTTTACGCCACTTTTAACAATATTGCAACAATATCACAGCAGGGGACACTGGAAAATGGGCTTCACACATTGTACCCATGCAGGGAATCGAACCCAGGTCTTCAGCGTGACGAGCCAATGCTTTAACCACTAGGCTACCCCACTGCCCCAGTCAGACACAGTTACTTGGTTGCTAACATGTGTCGTCAAGCACACATGGCGTGAGACTTCATTGTGGTCACTGGTTTAGGACATCGTTCATACTGTCAACCACTAATTGGTCTGGGCTAGACTAAGTGTAAAAACCACCATGATTTGACTAGAATACTGCTCACTGCAGCGTAAAACAACAATCAAAGAAATATATAATTCTGGACACAAAGGTGTTTTTAAAACCAAATCTTCACTGGTGCACTGGTAAGAACCTGTTCCACAATCTTACAAACAAGCAGCAATCCAAGAAGAAAGATGATGTATGTGTGTAGATTAACTGCCAAAGGAGGTAAAACAATAGTAAGAAAGTGATGATGGACACCAGATCAGTGTTTAACAGACTTACTGTATCTGAAATCACACACAACTGTCTTTCAGATATATTCCAACTGTACGAGCTACAATTTATGACATCACTACATTCTCAAACACTGGTAGAATAGGTCATCAGCAACCTGTGCTTGCCGTAAAAGGCAACTAACAGGATCGGGTGGTCAGGCTTGCTGACTTGGTTGATGCATGTCATTGTATCCCAATTGCATGGATCGATGATGTCAATCACTGGATTGTCTGGCCCAGACTCGATTATTTACAGACCGCCGTCATATAGCTGGAATATTGCTGAGTGTGGCGTTAAACAACAAACAAATCAAACACTGTTCACATCATATCGGTTCATCATCATTAGTTTTACTCTTCTATCCAAGACAGTAAATGTTGTACTCAAATGTCAACAATAGAACAAATGATCATCATGATGGGATAAGTACAACTGTGCTATTGTGATCAAGTGAGCTGCGTCAAAACAAACTTAAACAGTACTTCAGCTGGAAGTGCTCTAGTCTAAGACCTTCACCACTTTGGTGAAACTCAAGGTCACTGGGAATCAGAATCAGGGTGAGTATGAGATTGATAATAGTCTTTGGCATGTCTATGCATGCGAAGGAATGCAACTCTACATTGTGAATTATGGTGCCCCTCTAGTTGTTGTTCAACATGTACATTACACAGCGGCTTACCTTGGTAGACTGGTAGTAGAGGACAACGAGGTATCTGTTACAGACGTTGAACCCAGAGAGGTGATCACAAGCATTTTTGGCATCAAAGATATCTTCATACACTACGAAGGCTGTTCCCTTCGTCTCTGGTGTATTACCCCTGTAGACGAATCAATGCATCTAATTAACATGGTAAGTCCTCAAGCATGAAGGAACATGACAAAACAATGAGTTACTACTACATATGAGTCATCAAACAAATATCAATATGACAACTATTACAAATATATCTTGAAAATATTTTTAAGATGTGAGCCAAATTATGGAAAAAGATTCAAGTAGATTATCAACAATTCTACAAATTAGGGTTTCTAACATGTCTAAAGCACTTGGTCATGGTAGGAAAGTAATATGATTAAACATGATTGATCTTCTAATTATGGCATAAACTGGTAACATACTATTTGTTTACAAAGGACTCAAACACGTCACTATAGATCATATAGCTGTGAATGGAATGTATTTTCTATACTCACACTCTGATTTGTCGGATTGCTCCATACTTTCCAAATATATCATACATTTCTTCTGCAGTGATCTTGTAAGGAAGGTTCTTGATGTACAGAATGCGGTTCACCTCAGGCGGGAGCCGCACCTACAACATATATAAAAACATGTAAAGATGCTAATCATGCTAATGGTACTATTGATCGCAATAGAAATGATATTCCTACAGGTCTCTCGGCTGTTCTTTTTAGAGCGGTTTGTAGTCAAAACGGCCAAAAAAATTCAAAATGGTCTCAACCCATAGTCAAAACAGCCAGCAAAAAAGTCATAATGGCCACAACAAAAAAGCAATAACGACCACAGGCAAAACGTTAAAATGTCCATAATAATTAATGAATATCCAAAGTGAGCAGGATGTGTACAGAGTATACATGTTAGATGTTGTTATTACAATGCAATATCTTCCAGGAGAGTTCTCGTGCTGTTTTAACCAATCTCATCAATTTAGTTGGATCTCTGTACTGTGATATGGCACTGGATAGAACTTTGTAACCACTTGTGTAGTGCTGAATTAACAACTGTGTGCATATGGTACGTGCTACTACATGGTACGTGTTTTGAACTGTTACCCAATGTATATAACACAAATAATGTGACACAGTACTTGAGTTTGTCTTCTTTATTTTCTGTGTGGCTGTTGTGACGTTTTTTGTGGCCATTTTGACTTTGAGTTGTGGCTATTTTAACTTTTTTTCTGTGGCCGTTCTGACATGAGGCTGTTTTGACCTCCTACCTTACAGACTATCAGGTTAGGGATAATGTGGCTTGTGATGAAATTTGAGTTGTACTACCAATAACATCATTAACCACTGTGAAAATATACACACTAACACAGAAAAGGGAAGGAATATTAAAATAACGTACAGATTCTATAAAATTTATATACAGGAAACAATGTTTATATAACATCACGCTTGTAACGATCAGACAGACGGATATAACGAACTGCTCTTTAGTCCCTGCCATATTTATGCTGTATATATATAATATGCTGTATATGTGCCTAAAACGAATTATGTTTATTACAAACTAAAATTAGTGGTCCCTTAAGTTCGTTGTAACCGTAGTTTACTGTATTATAGTGTATACCTATAAAAATTGAAGATAAATATATTTCATTAATGTTCAAGAACATTGAAACCACACGATAATGTTTTCCTCTGACATTCACGTGACTTGAAAGAAATCATTACAAAGTGGTATGTCTTTATGTTTTTAACCTAAATCGGCTTTTAGACCCAATTCAGTCGACTCAAACGTATTTCGCACGTTTTCTTCGTTCGATATATTGAGTGATTCTCTTATTTGTAGAATATTTCAAGCTTTCTGCCATTTGAAAATAAGAACAAGGGACACATTGATGTCATTAATTTTGAAAGACGTGAATGTAAAATATATGGGTCTTGGTGATTTGTTTGATATTTCTTCTCTTGTTGACACTCAATGTTTTGTCTCTTCGAAGACGCACATGAGCACGAAAACTGAGGGACTTCCTTCTTGAAGCTATTATTCACTTTGCTGAACTAAATGGGCAACTGATGTTTCTAAAATTAAAACTATACGAATTAAACATATCTTATATAGTACCTTTACTTAATATCAAATTCAGAAATCAGAAATTATTCACAAAACTTACGTTTCCTCTCTTGCTCATCGCCATCTTGAATGTTTTATTGTCGTCTACCGGATAACTGGTACCGCATATGAGAAGCGCTGCGGTATTTGACTAGGCTTCTGTCTTCTATTTATCGATGGCGCATTAAAGACCCGATACCAGTTACTCGACAGACAGCCTCCAGTTTCATCTGCTTGAACGTTTTTCACATAATGTAATATTTTCTGAAAAAAAATTATTATCAAGAAAATAGTAACAGTCACCTTTGGGACTACACGTACTGTAAGGTGGACCATCAGTTGACAGTGGAGATAAAGTGTAGGGGTTGAAATTACATAAAGAGTAATTGCAACCTTAATTAATTACTTATTGTTTAAAGTGTACGCGTAAAGCACAAACGTTTCATATGTATTCGAATCTACGGAAGGTTTGAGAGCTTCTAGAAACCAAACACGCTCGTGTTTTAACCAGTTTTCACAATGGGAGTCGCCTCCGTGGTACGCGCCTGCCCGGAGTGCGGAATATCGGGGTTCGATCCCAGGCCGCGTTATACCAAAAAGACGTTAAGAGATGGTACTTGTTGTTACCCCGCCTAGCGCTCGACATTAAAACAAGGCCTGGTCGGCTCGGAGTCAATATACTATATCTGAGGGGGGTATTCATGTTCAACTGCGGCTTGGTATCTCAGTGGCATAAAATCGGCATTTGTCGGGACTAGTACGCATGCACGTCGCTATGTAAGCGTAATAACCTTCAACGCGACGTTAACTCCATTTCACCCCAAGTCTCACAATGTCAAGGTAAAAAATAATTTAGTCTTTAAATGGCATTTAGAAGTGATACACATAAGACAGATAATTTATGGATATCAACTTCTATGTTATGAGGGGCACAACGTTTCGGAGTATATGCTTGCTCCTTCGTCCGGTGAATGACTGCTACTTAAGATGCAAAGAGCATATGAATGTATATGTCAAAACAAGAAATGAAATGGAAATAAACTTCGTAGACTATTTAAGAAATTATTGGTATCTGGTACTGAAATCATACCGAGATCATACCATAGTGCACTTATAGTAGGTTACGATGTGGTTTTTGCCTTTGGAAATAGAAACTGGTAGATATACAAAACACCTACAGAGAATATAGAATTTGTAAGTTTTGTGACGAAATTCGTTTTTTGATCAGATGTTCATTATAATTATCATGCGTAATGATATAATTCAAGGGCCTGATGCTATATTCATTATCTGTAATGTTTTATTGTGTTCGCATGTAGAAACAAAAATACAATTATATTATATTCTTCATATCATTATTTCATCTATATTGTTTCCTAGCCGACCAGTCCTTGTTTTAATAATTCTATCCATTTGAGCTATAAGAATGGTTAATATCAGCTAGTACCAAAATACGTGTAGAAGGTTATATGAAATGTTTTACTCATTTATGGATGTCATTTAAAAATAAACATAATGTTTGAAATATGTTATCAATATAAACATCAATGCAGACGCATATTTCAATTTTAATTAATGTATAAAAAAATAATAAAGATCATACAACGAGTTGGTATGTATGTATGTATGTATGTATGTATGTATGTATGTATGTATGTATGTATGCATGCATGTATATTTGCTATTGACAATACCTCCATATATTTAATATTCATAGACTGTCACACCACCACCTCGAATTTGCCTATCATTTCTTATTGATAAATGAAAATGAAAACCGGATATCGAAACATCACTGTTGTAGATACTATTATACAAGCAGGTCTCTGTGATTCTTATATAACCGTGGGACTTCACACATTTAGATGTATTATCTCCAGATAAATGTTCATGATTAGGTCTTAGAGTTGGATAAACCTCGCCATTACTAAAAAGAAAAAACAAGAGAGACAAATTTAGTAACATGGACACATTGTATGATCATAAGGCCTTTCAAATATCTATAAATATTTTAAATTTCTTAACACATTTAACATGACGAACAATTACAGCTATTTATCAACCGTCATCGAAAGTTGTTATTTTCACAACGAAGCGGGTGGGTGAAGTAAATGTTTCTGAAGGTACCGACACGCACTATCTGCAGCCAAACACAAAGAAATTTGAGTTACAAGCTATGGGAACAATAACAAACAATGAAAGACACGCATGACTGGAAAAGAAAAAGATAAATGTTCCGGAACGAAGAGTCACTATTTTTTTTATCAACTGTTACATTACGTAAGGTTTAGCTATTTGGATGAACAACTTATTTATGACAATTACATCTACTTAATATAAATTGGACGAGTTTGTCGCGCTATTGGTGAATGGATGGATTGCACGCAGCTTCACCTCGCATGATTTGTGCACGAAAATAAAATCCAAATTTCTCTTTATTTCAGACTTCTATTATTTTTTTCAATTTTGAGTTTTGTTTCTCGCTACTTTCATTATATATTCGTAAGTTCAACTATTTTCAAATTAAGTTCAAATTCTTTCTTGTTAACTCAATTATTTTCTCGTTATTTCAATTATTTACTTGTTACTTCCAGTTTTTTTCTCGTTACTTTGAGTATATTTTTAGTCATTCCAATAATTTTCTTTTAATTTCAATTTATTTATCGAAAATAATCGAAATTACGAGAAAAATTCGAAGTAACGAGAAATAATTCGAAGTTTTGAGTTTTTGCAAGAAACTTAAAATAATGAGAAAATTAATTGAAGGGAAGGGAGGGAATTCCCGGAAGGGAACCGGCATTTGAACATTGTTGAGCAATATCAGATCGTCGATAAACTCAGAGCTAAGTGAAACATCTTTGCCAAATTCCCTTGTTTTGTTTTGCCAATGTAAAACAGTAATCTCGATTCATGTATTTGAGAAACAGATCAGCATGGAGGGTAGCGCAAATGGTGTACACGTGTAGTACTGCCCGCTACTGCATTTGTCAAATATAGACAAACTTCAGGCAAGCTGTAAAGACCTCATGAACTCATTCCTCCATCAAGACTTTCCTCCACCACCCGCCTGTGATGCAGAAATGACATGGAAATGAGGTTTGACGAAACTGTTTGTTTGGTTGTAGTTTAACGCCGCACAAATTCCTGCTATATGACGGCGGTATGTAAATATTCCAGTCTGGACCAGAAAATCCAGTGATCGACAACATGAGCATAGATCCACGCGATTGGGATCGACTGACATGCATCAACCAAGTCAGCGAGCCTGAGCTCCCGTTAGTCGCCTCGTACGACAAGCATAGTCGCCTTTTACGGCAAGCATGGGTTGCTGAAGACCTATTCTACCCCGGATCTTCACGTGTCTAGGCGAAACTGAGAAAACGTGTTTTCAATATTGATATCTGAATGTCTTTTACAAAAGGTACTAGCATTGTGTTTGTTGTCACTGTCAGGGGTCTACTGTTTATGATAACTGCTGATGCTGTGATGATCCTCAAGGGTAAGTGACACAGATCAATTTCCAGTTCACCACACGCGAAACCACAGTCCACAGGCACTTGCATTGATAAATTGATAAATTGTCTTAGTTCAGTGTCAGTGGCTTTAAATCGTAGAACTCATGTTTCCTGGAGGAGACGCGAACAGGTATGGAGTGGTGAACTGGTCGTGACATGTTTGGACATATCTAGGGTACAATACATTGTTATGTTACTATAGAAACTGTTGTAGATATATTTGTAGTAATTGTCAGTTGCAGCAAATGATTGAAGTGCAAGTAAAATGTCGAGTGCTATCGGCGGCAGCGAGTGCAATTTAGTGTTATCTTTTTATATACATGAACATGGCAGCTTTCACCATTCGAGAAGTCTTCTAGAAGACCGGCTGTACCTATTTAAGAGTGACAAGAAGGCGATTTGCCAACTGCGGATGAGATACCACCAGGAAGACCCGTGAAGATCCGGGAAAGAATAGGTCTTCAGAAACCCTTGCTTGCCGTAACAGGCGACTATGCTTGTCGTCAGTGGCGACAAACGGGATCGGGTGATCGGCTTGCTGACTTGGTTGATGCATGTCATCGTATCCCAATTTCGTGGATCGATGCTCATGATGTCAATCGCTGCATTGTTTGGTCCAGACTCGATTATTTGGGAGGAAAGTGATGCAGATCTCAGACGTTTACCACTTCGGGGAAACCCACGAGCACGGGACAAACCTAGAAACATAATCGGGGCTAACCGGGATTCGAACCCACAATCATAGGTTTCTGGCGTGCCCAAGGGACGCAATTCTGCACAGCGAATCGCGGCGCCTTAGACGACTGGGCCACCCGTGCCCCCAGGTATATTTATGAAACCCAAATCAATCTAAATAAGAGAAAAGCAAGTCCAGCATGCTGAAAGATTATTATTTTATTTCACAAAAATGTTATATAGACTTTTAATTTGACAACAATGTATATGGCCAATGTATTTTGAACTTAAAAGGATGAAAATATGAAAACGAAAGAGTTGTTGAAACCACTTGGTTGTAGACCCGTGACGATCCGGGGTAGAATAGGTCTTCAGAAACCCATGCTTGCCCTAATAGACTATAAAAGGGGACAATGACAGGATTGTTTTTGGGTGAGGAAACATTTATTTACAAAGCTGAGTGTAGTTTTTATAAAATTGTTGTTAACATCTATGCAATAGTACCCTTCCATCCCCAATGCTTGTCGTAAGAGGCGACTAACGGAATCGGGTGGTCAGGCTCGCTGATTTGGTTGATGCATGTTATCGATCCAAGTTGCGTTGATCGATGCTCATGATGTCAATCACTGGATTGTCTGGTCCAGACTCGATTATTTACAGACCGCCGTCATATAGCCGGAATATTGCTAAGTGCGGCGTTAAACAACAAACAAACAAACAAAACTTGGTTGTATTATGAGCTTCTTGCATAATCAGTGCACACTTACATCTACAAACGAACATACAGATGTACACAACAATATATCAAACGCATTTAATGATTAAACTACCTTTTGATTGAATATAAATTTACATTAGCAACGCAACATTCCAATGTAGATTTTTGTAAAAATATTAATTTTGTCATGCCGAAATATTCCCTTCACAGTGACTGTATAAAAAAACACTCTATACCCATAATAAGTGAACATCAACTTGAAGAAGGACTTCTTTTCTCAAAGACGTGTATTAATTGTTTCATTGTTACCCGATAATTCACTCTGTTTCATTTCGAACCGGGCAATCAAAAACGCAATTACGAAAACACAGCATGCGGTTGTGCGGAGACCGACGTTCATGCCAATCATCTTCATGCGCAGATCAACAATATCATACACGGCGCACGAGCCGCGCGCGCCGCGCGTGAAGTTCCAGAGTTTGCAGGTCGTGTCGATCACCTTGCCATACACAATTGGCGCCGGAAAGAAACCTTAAGTGATAAAAAGGTTGTTATTTATTTCTATCCTTATCAACAATAAGTTAAGATTATATTTCTCAAGCTAAATCATTCGCCAAAATAGTTACGGAGGAAAAGTCTACAGATTGGTACATATTCATAATTTCTGTTTTTATTTACAGATTTAAGAATGTCATAGTACCATAGCCAGTTTCAGGGAATTTATGTATTTTCTATCTGTACTTAATTTTCTTACATATGACAAATAAGAAGCATAAAGTCGTTCAGATAAAAATAGATCCAATGGGAAATGTGTATATATAAACTCATTTTGGAATTCATCGCATCGAACGCTTTTTAGAAAATAAAATAACAGTTGATAATTGATATTGTAAATATTTATAAGTCGTCAATAATATGTATCTTTGTCAAAGAGAGCCATGTCAAAAAGCCAGAATGGTGCTATGTGATGTTCATAGTTCAAGTCCCCATTATTGTGTCCCCCCGCCGTCATATTGCAGGAATATTGCTAAAAGCGGCTTAAACCCATAATCACTTAAGCTCAACTGGTAAACTGGCGAATGGAAACATAAAAAGTATCACCGTTTTCTATTTTTATTCCACCGACGTTATCGATGAAGACACGTGCGATGATTTCGAGTGGTCGTCGATAAACATTGATACATACACTCTACTTACCCAACAAAGATATTGTAAAACTGAGAATCCCAATAGCCATAGCTTTATCGTCGTCTCTAACAGTCCTGTAAGTAGAAGCGATAAAACGTTAACGCCAGAGAACAACTGATGATTCGCCGAAACAGAATGCATTGGGCGTAAAGTGAGTGAGTGAGTTTGGTTTAACGCCGCTTTTAACAGTATTCCAGTCATATCACGGCGTGTCAGCTTAATGTGGGAGGAAAGCCCGAAGTGATGCAGGTCTCAGACCTTAACCACTTCGGTGAAACCCACGAGCACGGGCACGAGCACGAGCACGGGTATGTGGCAAACCTAGAATCGGGATTCGAACCCACAATCATAGGTTTCTGGCGTGCCTAAGGGACGCAACTCTGCACAGCGAATGGCGGCGCCTTAGACGACTGGGCCACCCGTGCCCCCTCCATTGGGCGTAAAAGGCAAACTACAGGTGAAAAGTATCTGAAATCCCTGCTAAAAGCAGGGTACGTCCATTCTACCTTTCCGACTACAAGCTTATTATAAGCATGCATTTATGAATCACTACCAATCAATTGGATTTTATCGACCAAAAAGATTGTACCCGAAAAAAATATATTTATGCTTAAAACTGTTAAAAAAAAATAAAGAAATTGTCGGCCACAAAAAACAGCCTTTTTAAAAAATATATTTAGACTTGTATTTTTTTTAAATTAAAACAAATATCTGTTTTTTTTATCTGTAGCTGAAATACTTTCTGGTCTCAGAGTACGGTATTTTTGTATCGCCCTACTGTACCTCAGCATGATGATATAAGCCGGGATGATTGTCAACGTCCCCACCAGCCCGTAGACTACCGTCGTGATGATGTATGGGTAGAGGAAGGGGCAGCCGGAGTCACACTGGCCTGGTGTCACACCACCCTCCGACTCCATGGAACAGTCGACATAAGCCTGAAGATGTAACAGTGTGACTACAGTTGACTCGAACGCTGGAATGCTGGTTAACTCGATATAAATCCTGATACATCCAATCAAGTCTCAGAAGCCCAATTTGTTTCATAAATATTCAAATGGTTGATTACGAAAGCACCGAGTAAGAGTTATACTACCTTGTAAATGTTTTGCACGTCTCAAGCTGCGACCATGCGTATTCCAGGTGGGTCAAGCATACAAATGACTGACATCGTGACAGCTATCAGTTTCATCGATCGGGTATCATGACACGCAATTGCCAGGATGCCACCACCCGATCCCCATTAAGAGAAACAAGGAATATACTCTGCCCACGGCACTGGGACGATGTTATACTAAAATATGAACTGGTAAATGTGCTATTAGGGCATGCCCATTTTAAGGCTAATTAAAAAATATATTTGCTTAAAAAGCCAAAACTTACTTTAATTACCATACGATTTTATACCGGAATTTGTCTTTTCTCTCAGAAAGAATGTTATCTCATCTAGAGACCGCCCAAAGTTGTTACGTAGCAAAAATCACGAAATACACATGTTAGACAAGAATGGACAAATGTTCTATTTAATTGTGTTTCTGCTCTTAATTGTCTAACTCTGAAGGCAACAGTGTAAATGAATCAGACTAAAACTAGATCCAGGATACAATACTATTTAAGTTGAGAGACATACACATTTTATACATCAGACAGATATAGTATTTCATCATCTAATGTATCTTTATTTGGGGTTTAGCTGGAGAGCTGTAAAGGAATAATACCGGTGATGTATGTCTTGCATACTTTAATCAGTCAAATTATTGCCTCCCTCGTGGGCATTCCGGGTTTGATCCTACGCAGGATATGCTGGTCGTAAGATGCTGCTTAATGGATCGAGTGGTCATGCTTGGTGACATGGGTGCCGTTGTACAAAACAACCTTAGCCCTAAGTCTGTCGTAAGGTATTGGGAGTTACGATCACCTTAGCTCAAATATCGTTTTGTACAACGACACCTTGGTTAATTGCGTGTAATTGTACCCCGTTAATCATGATAGCAATCAGCCTTCATAAAGCTGGAATATTGCAGAATACGGCGTTAGCATAAACAAACAAACAAAGATCCAGAAGGAGAATATACACAGAGAGAGAGAGAGAGAGAGAGAGGGGGGGATGTTTTATAATGCTGGATGCGCCCTTGACTGTGTCTGAAAGCAACAGAAAGTGAGAACCCACTGTCTCGTTTTGGACGCGACATCCCGCGTGACACGGTGAGAAGTACGTTTCTCCGGAGACGGCACCGCACACAGGCAGGAACCTGACCCCCTCACAGTCACAGTCAGCCGTTGCGTTGCCTGACATCATGGATCTAAACAGTAAAACATCAGTGAATAGCTATGTAAGAATATAATACCTAGATCAAACGCGATTTTTTTACCTCCCCAAAACATTACATTACACACAAAACCTTACATACATATAGACAAAAAACAACACTTAACTATTAATGTCGCTCAAATTAAGTCCAGCTTATATTGGCCTCATTCAACGTTGGCATCGTGGTATATGTGAACATAAGGAAAAGACGATTAAAAAGATTTGTGTCTTCGTGAAGTGAGGTGAATTGGCGTTTACCATCACGTTCAAGATTATTGCACTTATCTAGCGGAGTGTGTGTACGTGTTTGTGTGACTGCTTGTAATAGCCCGGACTAATGCCGGCCGGCCCTCTAGTGCTAGCCCACTGCTAGCCCACTGTTTAGCACATTGTGGAAGCAGTGTTGTTACGTTGTGCACCTTGTGGAAGCAGTGTTGTTACGTTGTGCACCTTGTGAAAGCAGTGTTGTTAAGTTTAGCACCTTGTGAAAGCAGTGTTTTTACGTTTAGCACATTGTGGAAGCAGTGTTGTTACGTTGTGCACCTTGTGGAAGCAGTGTTGTTACGTTGTGCACCTTGTGGAAGCAGTGTCCTTGCGTTGTAAATATTGCAGAAGCAGTGTTCTTACGTTGTAAACATTGCAGAAGCAGTGTTGTTACATTTAGCACATTGTGGAAGCAGTGTTGTTACGGTGTGCACCTTGTGGAAGCAGTGTTGTTGCGTTGTGCACCTTGTGGAAGCAGTGTTGTTACGTTTAGCACATTGTGGAAGCAGTGTTGTTACGTTGTGCACCTTGTGAAAGCAGTGTTGTTACGTTGTGCACCTTGTGGAAGCAGTGTCCTTGCGTTGTAAACATTGCAGAAGCAGTGTTCTTACGTTGTAAACATTGCAGAAGCAGTGTTGTTACGTTGTCCACATTGTGGAAGCAGTGTTGTTACGTTGTGCACCTTACGGAAGCAGTGTTGTTACGTTGTGCACCTTGTTGAAGCAGTGTTGTTACGTTGTGCACATTTTGGAAGCAGTGTTGTTACGCCATGCATATTGTGGAAGCAGTGTTCTTACGTTGTAAACATTGCAGAAGCAGTGTTGTTACGTTGTCCACATTGTGGAAGCAGTGTTGTTACGTTGTGCACCTTGTGGAAGCAGTGTTGTTGCGTTGTGCACCTTGTGGAAGCAGTGTTGTTACGTTGTGCACCTTTTGGAAGCAGTGTTGTTACGCCATGCATATTGTGGAAGCAGTGTTGTTTCGTTGTGCATATTGTTGAAGCAGTGTTGTTTCTTTGTGCACATTGTGGAAGCAGTGTTGTTGCGTTGTCCACATTGTGGAAGCAGTGTTGTTACGCTGTGCATGTTGGGGAAACAGTGTTTTTTGTTCTGCATGTTATTGAAACAAAATTGTTTGTTTGAAAATATGAAGTAAGATCGCACTAACAGTCCATTGATTTTCGTGTTTTCACAACCGAAGATGAAGTTGAGTGCTTCCAAAGTGACAGCCACGGTACACGCCCCCACGACAAACTTGAGGCATCCCTGGGGATTCAAGCGGAACCTTGACGTCAAGAATCCACCTAGGAATGTTCCCAGGCCAAGGGAGACAGCGGCCTGCACGCCTGTGAATGTGGGACGGAACGTTTCCTTTAATGCTTGAATAAATAGTCGTGTCTATTTACCTCGCCACGTCCCATAAAGCAGATTGTCAGGGCCGGGTACTAGCATTACACAGGACAATTTGAACCAGTGACTCTATCAAGTATGAAATCAGTGTTCACTTATTAGTTTTAGTTTAGTTGCTTGACGAATGTTCTACACTCTGCACTGTATTAAAAGAGGAAAAATATAAAATAAGAAAAAGTCACGTTAAACTGTCACTGAACCCAGTCCTACCTAGCATAACGTTAGCTTGCCAAGATGGAATCGTGAACACTGTCTCCATGTACTTTGGGCCGAACGCGACGTATCCGCCCACGGTGAAGTTGATGCAAGTGATGCCGCACAAGGAGCAGGTGTAGATGGGGTTCCGCAGTACCCGCAGCACCGACGCCGGCATGTCTGCAACAAGGAGGACATGCAGGACACTGAAGTTGTTTTACTCCACGCAATATTCAGGCTTTCACGGTGGCCTGTAAAGAACATATTGATATTTGATATTCTGTGTGTGTGGATGTGGATGTGGATGTGGATGTGGGTGTTGGTGTTGGTGTTGGCGTGGGAGTGGGAGTGGGAGTGGGAGTGGGAGAGGGAGTGGGAGTGGGTGCGGGTGCGGGTGTGGGTAGTGGCATGAATTTTATCGCCTGTTAAAAAAAGTTGCCTGCCACAAAAATTACATTGTTGCAAGGTGTTTTTCTTTAAAAGATCCAGGTTCATAGCTGAATTTAAAAACAAAAATTTGTCTGGTCTGTAGCTATTGCTGAAAAATATCTTATCTCAATACAAAATGCACGTCACTCATTTTAACAAAGTCAGACAGCTCTCACATTGTAACACAGTCAAATCGTTTACACATGGTAAAACTGTCAGTTACGTCACTCGTTGCAACACTGTGACCTCAAGCATTGTAACATAGTCCGTAATGTCACACATTGTAACACAGCTAGTAACGTTACACGTTGTAACACAGTCAGTAACGTCACAAGTTGTAACAGTCAATAATGTCACACGTTGTAACACAGTCCGTAATGTCACACATTGTAACACAGCTAGTAACGTTACACGTTGTAACACAGTCAGTAATGTCACACGTTGTAACACAGTCCGTAATGTCACACATTGTAACACAGTCCCTAATGTCACACATTGTAACACAGTCAGGAATGTCACACGTTGTAACACAGTCAGTCATGTCACACGTTGTAACACAGTCAGTAATGTCACACGTTGTAACACAGTCAGTCATGTCACACGTTGTAACACAGTCAGTCATGTCACACTTTGTAACAGTCAGTCATGTCACACGTTGTAACACAGTCAGTCATGTCACACGTTGTAACACAGTCCGTTATGTCACACGTTGTAACACAGTCAGTAATGTCACACGTTGTAACACAGTCAGTCATGTCACACGTTGTAACACAGTCAGTAATGTCACACGTTGTAACACAGTCAGTCATGTCACACGTTGTAACACAGTTAGAAACGTCACAAGTTGTAACAGTCAATAATGTCACACGTTGTAACAGTCAGTCATGTCACACTTTGTAACACAGCTAGTAACGTCACACGTTGAAACACAGTCCCTAATATCACACGTTGTAACACAGTCCGTAATGTCACACGTTGTAACACAGCTAGTAAAGTCACCCGTTGTAACACAGTCCCTAATTTCACACGTTGTAACACAGTCAGTAATGTCACTTTTTGTAACACAGCTAGTAACGTCACACGTTGTAACACAGTCCCTAATGTCACACGTTGTAACACAGTCAGTAATGTCACATGTTGTAACACAGCTAGTAACGTCACAAGTTGTAACAGTCAATAATATCACACATTGTAACACAGTCAGTAATGTCACACGTTGTAACACAGTCCCTAATGTCACACGTTGTAACACAGTCAGTAATGTCACACGTTGTAACACAGTCAGTAATGTCGCACGTTGTAACACAGTCCCTAATGTCACACATTGTAACACAGTCAGTCATGTACACGTTTTAACACAGCTAGTAATGTCACAAGTTGTAACAGTCAGTCATGTCACACGTTGTAACACAGTCAGTAATGTCACACGTTGTAACACAGTCAGTAATGTCACACGTTGTAACACAGCTAGTAACGTCACGCGTTGTAACACAGTCAGTAATGTCACACGTTGTAACACAGCTAGTAACGTCACGCGTTGTAACACAGTCAGTAATGTCACACGTTGTAACACAGTCAGTAACGTCACACGTTGTAACACAGCTAGTAATGTCACGCGTTGTAACACAGCTAGTAACGTCACACATTGTAACACAGTCAGTAACGTCACGCGTTGTAACACAGTCCCTATTGTCACACATTGTAACACAGCTAGTAACGTCACGCGTTGTAACACAGTCCCTAATGTCACACGTTGTAACACAGTCAGTAATGTCACACGTTGTAACACAGTCAGTAATGTCACACGTTGTAACACAGTCAGTAATGTCACTTTTTGTAACACAGCTAGTAACGTCACGCGTTGTAACACAGTTAGTAATGTCACACGTTGTAACACAGTCAGTAATGTCACACGTTGTAACACAGCTAGTAATGTCACACGTTGTAACACAGCTAGTAACGTCACAAGTTGTAACACAGTCCCTAATGTCATACATTGTAACACAGTCAGTAATGTCACACGTTGTAACACAGTCAGTAATGTCACACGTTGTAACACAGCTAGTAAAGTCACAAGTTGTAACACAGCTAGTAACGTCACACGTTGTAACACAGTCAGTAACGTCACACGTTGTAACACAGTCAGTAATGTCACACGTTGTAACACAGACAGTAATGTCACACGTTGTAACACAGCTAGTAACGTCACACGTTGTAACACAGTCCCTTATGTCACACGTTGTAACACAGTCAGTAACGCCACACATTGTAACACAGTCAGTAATGTCACACATTGTAACACAGTCAGTAATGTCACACGTTGTAACACAGCTAGTAACGTCACACGTTGTAACACAGTCAGTCATGTCACACGTTGTAACACAGCTAGTAACGTCACACATTGTAACACAGTCAGTAACGTCAAGCGTTGTAACACAGTCCCTAATGTCACACATTGTAACACAGCTAGTAACGTCACGCGTTGTAACACAGTCCCTAATGTCACACGTTGTAACACAGCTAGTAATGTCACACGTTGTAACACAGCTAGTAACGTCACCCGTTGTAACACAGTCAGTAATGTCACACATTGTAACACAGTCAGTAATGTCACACGTTGTAACACAGCTAGTAACGTCACACGTTGTAACACAGTCCCTAATGTAACACGTTGTAACACAGTCCGTAATGTCACACGTTGTAACACGACTGGTAACATCAAACGTTGTAACACAGTTACCTTCAGGAACATGACTTTAACCACGACGACTTCTTAAGATCCAGCAATCAATCACGGATTTACAAGTAAACGTGCAACGGTAACTGGCGACGAGTGATGCAACCACGTTTCACAAAATCAAAAATGACCTTGAACTTTGACATAGATATGCCACGAACGTTACACGTGGTAGTTACATTACATTGTTGCAAGGTGGTTTTTTTATAAGTTCAGGCTCATAGTTTTAAATAGAAAAATATATCTGATCTCGATACAACAGCCCAGCCCCCGCCCCTAGGATGTCACCTGTTCGGTCCCTTAGACCTCTAATAATTCCCGAGGTCTATCTTTGTTATACAGTTCCAATGTCAATAATCATTGAAACATATTCAGTGAAACAGATACTTTTCACAATAACCTCAAAGATGACCTTGACCTTTGACATATATGAAATGGACACGTGATATAGTAGGATTAGATACACAACATATATAGTTATATAGTGAGAATATAGTTCCATGTCTGTAGAGGTAAATACAAGCGACAAAATCCTTTCCATTTTTATAGAAAAATTCGTCGATTATGACATGACCGAGGGAGTGAGAGAGTATGGTTTTTACGCCGCCTTTAGCAATATTCCAGCAATATCACGGCGGGGTACACCTGAAATGGGCTTCACACATATTGTACCCATGTGAGGAATCAAACCCGGGTCTTTGGCATGACGAGCGAACGCTTTAACCACTAGGCTACCCTACCGGCCCTTGAGCCAAGAGACACATGCATATATTTATTGTATGTCCGTGCTTGAGAATTAATGCTGACACGACATTCTCACATGCATGACGTATCTTAATAAATCCTGGCCCATTTCAAACATGCTTGACCTGGGTTAGAGTGACGTTTGGAGTGATTATATTGAAAAGTCGGTCATGTTGAGATGTATGCTCGCTTTGTTTGCTTAGCGATACCAGTGTACTCGTACATGTCTTTGTTGATAACCGTGTTTTCAAACGGTGAACCTTGTTTGTAATATTTTTTTTACGAATTAGTTTGGAATGAAAGGACGTTGTAGGATATGGGCACTTTTTGGCTTTCTTGAAAAGTCAAATTTTACCCAAACCAATAACACAAACAAACCCTCTATTCTCTTACCAATAACACAAACCCTCAATACCTAATTCAATAACACACACTCTCTATACCCAAACTAATAACACCAAATCATACATTTAAATGTACATACACATACACATACACACAGATGTTGAAGTAATAAAAACCATTCTAAGTTCAATACATGAAAAACATCATATTTTTTCAGAAAATACACATCTAAAACTCAAACATCGTACTGCACCCCTCGTTTGGGTATATAAAGTTTTCACAAAGTCTGAAAAGAATCTATACAGTAGTTCAAGTTCACAAGGTCAAGGTCACACATAAAATCTACTTTTAGGTCGGGATTATAACAAACCCTACAAACCCCAACCAAAAACCTAAATGTAGCTCCAATCCCAAACCGAAAAACCTTGTCAACATCGGTTGTCGACACTTAACATCGACATCAACATCACCCCCCCCCCCCCACCCCCCCCCCCCCCCCCCCCCCACCCCCCCCCACCCCACACACACACATACACAAGACGATACACCATATACCCACTCACCGACACCCAACACCTCTTATTGAGAACCAAATTTACCTCGATTACCTCCATCGGACCATTTGTACCTTTAATCTTTTCACATAAACTTTCTTCCTTGTGTTCATGATCGTCAGCCTCAGTTTCTGTCTCTTTCCAGGACGTCTTCATTCTCCGGGGGTAGAAGAACAGGGGGAGAGCCAGCACCACGGCAATGGAACCGAACACCAAGAAACCCAGCCACCACGCCCCAATCCAGCGAGGGTCTGTCTGCGTCAGTAACGTGTCTGGGGACGATATTAACCCAAATCACCTTCTTACACCATTTCCATATCCAACAGATATCTCTGCATGTCGATTGTACGATTCCGACTATATCATGAGAATGTGTTATAAATCACTATCAACCGGTGGCATCCGTCAGAAACACATGCAAAGGCATGTCAATTGTTCACCTGAATAAACACGGGAATATATGGTACAAGTCAAAAAGGGGAATCGCATTGGACATCATGTTTGTCACTGATGGCGTCAAATTTGGAAATGTCCTATACATGTCTACCATAAAACTTTTTGAAAGCTTTACCAAGGCCTTGAATGTTGTAACCAAAATCAAACAACTTCTAAACACTTTTCATTTCATGTTAGCAGTCACTATCATGTTGTAACGGCGTTAAAGGGGACTTAGGGTCAGGTAAATTGGCAGCACTCGCAAGTTTGACTCAAAATCATCTTGTCTCCTGTTACATCATATTCATCGATAATGATTACATGCAGAGAATGCGTCTCAGTTCGAAATGAGCATTGATTACGCGCTTAGGCCTAGACTGTAGATGGTTGCCAGACTGTGAACCATAGCATATCTATAAGGCCACTTGCTCACTTAATCACAGTCATCCTATAAGGAAATCTGGCTCTGAAAAACACCCTGTGTTTGTCGAGGATGACAAACGAGGATCGGATGGTTGCAATGTTTGAACTGGCTAATAGTGACATCGTGACCCGACAATGTGAATCGTTGGTCCTTCTATCAAGTATGGTCCTTCATCAAGTATAGTCCACTCACTCACTCACTCACTCACTCACTCACTCACTCACTCACTCACTCACTCACTATTGGGCGGGACTACAACCGTACCCTTCAGGTCTACAGGTATCCTGCTGAATACGCCTCCAACTGCAAACGACAAGGCAGGGCCGAATAGGGTCAGTGTCGTTATCACACCTGTGAACACATGAAGATTACAACCTGCATTAGAGGAACAGCGTCAGTGTCGTCATCACACCTGTGAACACATAAAGATTACGACCTGCATTAGAGGAACAGCGTCAGTGTCGTCATCACACCTGTGAACACATAAAGATTACGACCTGCATTAGAGGAACAGCGTCAGTGTCGTCATCACACCTGTGAACACATAAAGATTACGACCTGCATTAGAGGAACAGCGTCAGTGTCGTCATCACACCTGTGAACACATGAAGATTACGACCTGCATTAGAGGAACAGGGTCAGTGACGTCATCACACCTGTGAACACATTAAGATTACGACCTGCATTAGCGGAACAGCGTCAGTGACGTCATCACACCTGTGAACACATAAAGATTACGACCTGCATTAGAGGAACAGCGTCAGTGACGTCATCACACCTGTGAACACATCAAGATTACCACCTGCATTAGATGAACAGGGTCAAATGGCACTTTAATCCAGGCTTTTAATATAGATATCTATATTTCATTACTACCTACACTGGCAACAATAATTAAGCAACACCAGGGTGTTTTGTAAGGGTAAATTCAATCTTGATGACGTACGAAGAAACCATAGCAACCGCTCTTCGATATCTTCACATTAAAATTCACTTATTACTGCATCTTATGAATTATTGAATTATATACTGTTAAAAAGTACTATATTGTTCCTCCAAACACAATAAAGTAAGAAAGATAGTGTTGCCGTCATGATATAAGTTTCTGATAACACCTATCGCTTTAATATCACTGTTTCATCGTGAATATTACATGTCGGATAAAAGTTGAAACGTCATCTACCTGTAAAAAAACAACATGAAAAAATCAAATATGATTGTGAATATGATCAATGTTTTAGCGAGATCAGTTTGTTCGCGGAAGTGAACGGCAAGATACGCCTTGGCTAAAGTAATGCATGCATCGCATCGGACCAAGGGCAGTACAACCGCACAAGATACTAGTAACTATTTGTGAAAAAGATGCAAAGTGAAGTTTTTGTGGATAGGTCCAGGGTGTAGCTGTCGGTAGATTCGAAGATGGGTTTGTCTGTACCAGTGTCAGGAACTGAACCAAGGCCTATAACTCGGTACTTGGCTTAGAAGTCTGATGTGTCAGGTCTTCAAACTGGTTGGTCTCACATGGTCTTCGCTGTGTAAGTTTTTTGTTTGTTTGTTTGTTTGTTTAACGCCGCACTCAGCAATATTCCAGCCATGCGGCGGTCTGTAAGTTATCGAGTCTCAACCAGACAAGCCAGTGATTAACATTATAATCATCGATCCACGCAATTGGGATACGATGACATGCATCAACCGAGTTAGCGAACCTGACCACCCGATCCCGTTAGTCGCCTCTTACACAAGCATTGGGGGTTGAAGGGTACTATTGCATAGATATTAACAACGATTATATAAAAACTACACTCACTTCTTCCATTTAATAATATTTAATGCTTTGTAAATAAATGTTTCCTCACCCAAAAACAATCCTGTTTTTTTCTGGTCGCTTACGTTGTTATCAATATACAACGCTGACAACGGCGTTTTGGGCGATTTGCACATCCCCTGAACTATGAGGCTAGTAGCGATGATATATATCACCCATTGACTGGACCCGGAAGAATGTGTGTCGGCGACTGAGTATGTCTCGTTCTGTCTCGTGGTACTTCCCTTCTGTGTGCACAGATATTCCTCGCCATCGTCTGACGAAGAATTACTGCCGCTGATGCCGCTAGGTAGAGACATGGGTTCAATTAACTGTGAAAGACTGCAAGCAATTCCTGCAATTCCATAGATTATCGCGGCTACTGCCAAGATTCGAGGTATATGCCCTTTCCTCCCGAAATGGCTGGTAAATAGAACTGTGGAGAGAAACCCGATGTCATTGCAACTTACGAGAAACCCACTGTCGGTACTGCTTAAACCAAACTGTTTTTCAAGGGTTGTGATTTGGGTGGAGATATATGTTGACAAAGTTTGAAGAAAAAGGGAGACCATTCCTGCTGTTGCTGTGAAGGACGCAATGTTTGCACAGCGCTGGAGGCTGTGAGGAGTACATGCCCCTATACCACACTTCGTGTCCACGTCACATGACTTCGGCGGTTTCCTTGGTAAGGTCTCGTCCGGTTTTAAGTCAAGTTCGTATTTCACTTTCGGAACAGGCAGTCCACTTTGGGTTTTCCTTTCTGTCGCCATTCTGAAATGACATAATAGTTTGCTTAATTTAAATTTCAATTCGTGTTTATTTCATATATATTGAAATATACACAAGAACACTACAACTTTACAGAAGGAAGATAAGAGCGTCGTTGTATGTTGTTTTACACAAGAAAGATAAGAGCGTCATTGCATGTTGTCTTGGAAGATGAGAGCGTCGTTGTATGTTGTCTTGGAAGATAAGAACGTCATTGCATTTCATCTTACACAAGAAGGACAAAGCGTCATTGTCTTCTATCTTCCACTTGGAGGTAAGAACGTCATTGCATTTATCTTACACAAGAAGGACAGAGCGTCATTGTATGTTGTTTTACACAAGAAAGATAAGAGCGTGATTGCATGTTGTCTTGGAAGATAAGAACGTCATTGCATTTAATCTTACACAAGAAGGACAAAGCGTCATTTTCTCCATTCCACTTGGCAGATAAGAACGTCATTGCATTTTATCTTACAGAAGAAGGACAGAGCGTCATTGTATGTTGTTTTCCACAAGGAAGACAGGGGCGTATATTTTATAATTTTACACGGACGACATGAGAGTTACATAGGTCAATAGCGGTGTGTAAGGGATTTGACGGGCTGAATGATCTTGTACAGTACGAGGCCGAGGAACACAAATGGTCCCCTTGTAAACCCATACACCGCGCTATTGACACCTGCACCGAATTTATCGTTATAAGTTCACAAGTTATCCAAAATTATTTTCGGTGAAGTATTTGTGTGACTGCAAACTATGACAATCAGTGTGGTAACTGGAAGTACAAACTGTGTCAATTGTGAATTGACAAGCAAGTGAGGTCACACTGATCTTTATGACGCGATGACATATGTACATAAAAGGCTGACCAGGATCGACCCGTCTGTAATACACAATGTTGACAAATAGCAGCACAGAGCTTCTGTTACCGCAGCTAATCGTATATTCAGAGAGATAGGGACATCTCTGTGTGCCAAGTGACCCTGGGGACACAGGACTATGGTGGGTTTGAATATCAGATTCGACCTGATCATATTTATTTTCAGCACAATAACAGTGCTGTTGATTTCGCCAAAGTGTTAAACCACGGTATAGAATCGCTGTACGGCAGATTTGAATTACACCCTCCATTTTGAACGGATAAAATTTAGAATAGCGGCAATTTACATGACATACATCTAGGTTAAATGAACACAAATCTTGTCCACAGTTTTGTAATGTTTACTATTTCTCTACATGACTTAAAATATATACTTTACCGGATACTGTTACAATATTTATCATTTCTGTATTATTTAAGGGTTTAGTAAAATTGTGCAAAATATACACTGAAATCCGACATCATCATCTTTACAACAGAAGATAAAAATGATATTGCTCATAAAAACCTATTTCCTAAATAAAAACAAACCTTATTCAAAACTGAAAGACATGTTGAAGTAAGAAAACTCAATTTGTTCTCAGGAAGTAGCTTTGAGAACAGAAATGGGTATACCTTAAAAAACGTGTTGGACGAATTCATTTACATTTTAAGCGAATGAACGAATTTTACATTGAACGAGGGTTGCATTACATCTTCACGAATAATTTACAAAATACGATTATTATTTTTTCATTTTAGAGTAATATGGAACCATGAAAGCCCGATTTCGAATGCAACTACTGTTATCTTATCATCGACCCAATTCAAGAGGTAATAGACGCCCCTAGTCGTGAAGCACTCAAGTTGGGTAGACTTTCTTTTTATTCTGATACTGGACAGCAACTGTACCGAGTTTGGATTATATCTAAATTCCATATGCAATATGCAACTCCAGACAAATTGTTTGTTAAGTTGAAGAAAAAATGGTTTTGCAAAATTGTCAATTAGGCAGCATTGGCGATGTTACCAATGAGGATCAATCCAGGTGTCAAGGTCAAAGTAAATATACTGAACCGCAAAAGAAACGTCACCATGGATAGATATATGAAAAACCTTATTTGTCCAAACACTGTAAACATACTTTGAGACATCTTAAAAAGATGAAACTTGGCAAAACTGATCATCAAGGTTGAAATTAAAGTGTCAAATGTTCTTAAAGTGAAACACAACACAAGTCTTTGAGAAAATGGCTTTCATAAGTTAGTATCTCGTGTGTCCGCCATTTTCATTGATGACTGCCGTGCAACGTCGAAACATTGAATGGATTAGGCGGTTGATGAAGGCCATAGGCACTTGAGCCCACACTCTGAGGAACGCCTGACGCAGTTCAGCTGCAGTTGTCGGCCTTGGTTGGATGTCATTCAGTCGTCTTTGAGGCTCGTCCCGTCGGGACTGAGGGCAGGCCACTGCATGGTTCTGATGCCAATCTGCTGGAGGAAGTCTCTTGTTGCTCTCGCAGTGTGGGCACGGGAGTTATCATACTGGAACTGGTGGTTGCGGCGACGTGCCAAATGAGGTATGGCGTGTGGTCTCAAGACTTGATCAATTTACCGAGCTGCTGTGACACCATTGCCTCTCCCTGGACCGATGTTCTGGAAGACCACAGGGCCGACCCTCTGTGCAAGACCAATTCGACCCCACACCATGATGCTCGGAGCAACCCTAGAGTCTCTCTCAACAACACAAGCGTCCGAATTACGTTCCCCACGGCGTCGCCAGACTCTCTCTCTCTGCCATCTGCTGTTGAGATACAGTAACGGCTCTCGTCTAAGAAGAGGACTCTTCTCCACTGCTGGTGGCGCCAATGCTGGTGCTGTGTTGCCCACCGAAGACCCGGCGATGACGTGGTGTCAGAATGGGTCCTCGGTGTGGCCTGTGACAGTGGAGGTGTCTGATCGTCAATCGTCGACGCACGATGTCCGCACTAATGTGTCGCTGGTGTGTCCCCATGGTCTGTCGAGCAGTTTCCGCAGTAGTAAACTTAAAGATGCTGTCGCACACTCTTACGATCCTGACGTCGGGTGGTGACCCTTGGTCTTCCATAACGTGGTCGGTAATTTGTAGTATTGGTGATCTGGTACCGTTAGTGGAGCCTGTATATGGTCCTTACGTGGACTTGAAATGCATTGGCTACTTGCCGGGCGGTTTGTCCAGCTTGCAATCGTCCAAAGGCTTGATGTCGCTGATTTCTTGTCAAACTTGGCATGTGGTGGCAATTCAATAACGAATGAATGTTATCCGATCTGGGTGGATTTTATAGGGCAAGAAATGGGGGAACGCATGTGCATTTCAATTTGCACGGAACTGACGTGCATCGGGTTACTATGGCCGTTGCCGTGATGCGTTTGGGCGATCGGTTTTTTGTCATCTGCTTTGTTTTTTATCATCAAATTTCATTTTTCCGGACAAGGTATTGTTAATTTTTACAAAATGTTACAAAAATTACCCAGATATTTATATGACAACTTTTCATGCAATGTTACTTGGGGTGACGTTTCTTTTGCGGTTCAGTATATAACTCTGTTGCATCAAATTGAAATAACAGTAAGAGATTATAACAGATACGTATATCTCCTTGCCTTCTGTAGCCTGGGGTCCAAAGAAATATCAGTAACTTTGAAAGGATAGATAAATGGTTCAAACACTGATGACAGTACAAGGACAAATCCATCTTTTCCTCACAACAACATATATATTTAGATGGTAATTAACAACACCACTGTTGATCATACCAAAAGAATAAAGCGAATATAACAAAAAATAAGTATCACAGTTGCAAAAGACTGTAAGGAAATAAACATGCGTCTAAGGTAAACTTCGGTTTCAAAGCTCATGTCTAAGACACTGTTGCCGGTGAAGCCACTGATTTTCATCTCTATGAGTAAAAAAGATGTGAACAAATGATAATACATCTGTGTAAGGACAGCAGGTAAAATGTTATAAACTCTCAAAAAATGAGGATATGCGATTAAACCGACTTCTCTCACAGCACTATGACCTAATATCTGCACAGTCATAAAAGTGTCAGTCTGATTTCACAATAGGTGAGTCGGGACTGTGGTCGCTGTTAGTTTTTGGACCCAATCGTTATTGAACTACTTTTCAACACAACACGTGGCATTTCACAACGCGTCTCCGTCCACTGACACCGAACCCTACACCCAAGTTATGTCGTCCACACACAAGAGGCCACACGTGAGGGGCAATAGTGAACGGAGGTTATTTATCCAATGTCAACGTGAGATTTTGGCCGTACAAATATCCCTGACCTTATGCCCAAACTGTACACAATATATAAATGTATGACAGTAAGAATTTTTTTAGAACCATTGAATGTTCGTTGCATAACGTTTGATATTCATGGACAAACGAGTGACATTGCTGACTGCGCACCACAAGGTGGAAATTAGGGCTGGGACGAGTCCAAATTTACTACCCGGGTACCCACCATGCTATTACCGACCCTACCCGGATACCCGCTATATGTCTCAAGACTTGGGTGTAAAAAGTCCGATTGGGAATATTTTGACCGTAGCCCTGGTAAAATGTATTTAGATACACGTATAAAACGATCTGGTCATGCATAAACTGAAGTTGACTGAGGTTTTATCTTTATTCAAACCTATAAAGGTAAGAAGGAATGGGTGCATAGTCAGACAGAAATGCGAACAATAGTGACTTGTAGAGTAACCATAAAGTTTAAGATATTTTTTGTCATTAAACAAAACATCACGTGACTAACCACGGGTCCGGGTAGTCCTGTGGGTACACGGTTCCTACTCAGTACCCATCCGACCCGAGTACCCGAGTTACCCGTCCCAGCCCTAGTGGAAATGACCCAAGTTATGTCCTTACCTCTAACAACGGGTTCTCATCCCAAGAAGACCCGCTTATATATGGCCTTCGTCTGTCAGTGCTATATTCGTGCTCCTGGATTTCAAACTGATTAACGCTGTGGACCTGCTGGGTAACACAACGCCTCAAAAAATCATGCAAACTCAGCAATTGTTTTCGCAAAAGAAGTGCAATGATCTTGTACATGACGTTAAACCCATTTCCTCTCACCCGTTTCCTCTCACCCATTTCACCTTACCCATTCCACCTCACCCGTTTCATCTCACCCGTTTCATCTCACCCATTTCTCCTCAATCATTTCATCTCACCCATTTCACCTCACCTGTTTCATCTCACCCATTCCTCCTCATCCATATCACCTCAACCATTTCATCTCACCCATTTCACCTCACCCGTTTCACATCACCCATTTCACCGCATCCATTTCATCTCACCCATTAACGTCAATCATTTCACCTCATCCATTTCGCCTCAACCATTTCACTTAACCCTTTTCATCTCACCCACCTCACCTTAAACATTTCATCTCACCCATTTCACTTCACCTATTTCACCGTTATCATTTCACCTCACCCATTATATCTCACACATTTCACTTCACCCATTTTATCTCACCTATTTCACATCACCATTTTCATCTCACCTGAAACATTTCACCTCACCCATTATATCTCACATATTTCACTTCAACCATTTTATCTCACCTATTTCACATCACCATTTTCATCTCACCATCTCATCTTAAAATTTCATATTTCATCTCACACGTTTCACCTAATCCATTTAATCTCACACATTTCACCTCATCCATTTTATCTCACCTATTTCACATCACCATTTTATCTCACCTATTTCACATCACCATTTTCATCTCACCATCTCACCTTAAAATTTCATATTTCATCTCACACGTTTCACCTCATCCATTTAATCTCACCAATCTCACCTTACCCATTTCATCTCACCCATTTCACGACGTATTCCCGTCATTGTACATCCGACTAAGTAAAGTTTCTCTCATGAGCATTCATTAGCCAGGTCATAAGTTCAGATGCGTGACATACATCAATTCGTAATCCAAGTTTGTTCGGAGTTAAAAACTAGGAGATTGTCAATTTTGAGCTTGTTTTATACTGCCATGTGAAACAGCATGATGCGGGATGTAGGGTCGTGTAATGGCTTGTTGAATTACAGGGTGGTGACTGATTGCCTAACCCAGTGTTTTGACATGTCAGTTGACATTCGTCAGATGATAGAACGCTACAAGGTCCAATTTTTAAATAACTATAACGTTCTCTCAAAGAGCCCTAAATTTGATAAACAACTACAATACGGTTCGTTATATTGTTCGTGACAAGTACTGTACGGGGTAATGGAGGCTAATTAATGATTGCCAGATTGTTGCAAGTTTTGTCAGGTAGTAACTTGTTTTGTTTTCACACTGAAACAATCCACGTTTCCCCAACACGACTGAAATTAGGGCTGGGACGGGTAACTCGGGTACCCGGGTCGGGTGGGTACTGAGTAGGACCCGGGTACCGACAGGACTACCCGGACCCGTCGTTAGTCACGTGATATATTGTTTAATGACAAAAATCATCTAGAACTCTATGGTTACACTACAAGTCACTATAGTTCGCATTTCTTTCTGACTATGCACCCATACCTTCTGAATTTTCATATGGTTGAATAAAGATACAACTTAATTCAGCCTCAGTGTATGAATGACCAGATTGTTTAATACATGTATCTAAATACGTTTTGCCAGGGCTATGTTCAAAATATTCTCAATCGGACATTTTGAGACATCTCCTGAGACCTACAGCGGGTACCCGGGTAGGGTCGGGTAATAGGGGAGTGGGTACCCGGGTAGTAAATTTGGACTCGTTCCAGCCCTAACTGAAATACGTTTTTATTTAAGGAAGTTGGTGAACATGGGAATTACAAAAGTCTAAGTTTACTTAATGTCTCATGTTATACCGCGTTCACATGCACAACATTTACTCACGTAAGTAATTTTGCACATGTGTATACTTAAAACTACTATGCGTTCACATGAAACTTAGCTTTTTAATAGTGAAAGACAACACATATTCATCAGTCTGTTGAAAAGATTGTTTTCAAATCAAAGTCGAAGAGTAACCTTACAGAAAACTTCACATGAAGCAACATGTGTTTGACTTAATCTGTAGCCAAATATTTGACACCTTGAAACCCAAAGAAAACATCGTCCGCCCAGCTCTGAATGTCCGCATAAAAGTTAGTATTGCTGTATACTGACTTCAACTTCAGATCACAGACCTGTTGTGAGGTTGTTTGTAGTTCGCAAATCAACAGGTATATTTTAATTATTTTCTGACGTGGGCATAAACGTTCCCATTGCAACACATACATCCAGCGCAAATCTACATTTACATTTGCACCTACTCCAGACATGATGCAAATTTGATCCTGGTGTAAATAATATGCACACGTGATAAACATGATTGTGAGTAATGTGCATCTCAAAACAACATAAAACGTCAGGATCAGTAAGAAAACTCTCCTCACCTTATGCTAAATGCATACACACCTCGTTCATCCGTCACGTTTCAAGTCACGTTGAATGTCTTCAGGTGTTTGTGTTGATTGTTTATACACAAGTCTACCAAGTTCATGCCTGCTTTAGTTAGTAAACGATTTCAATATAGGCCAATCCTAGTCCATGTCAAGCCCCAAACGTGGATTAAGGTTTTACCACAATGATCAACTGCTAGTGGCAAAGCATTTACCAACGCTACTTCTATGCCATATCCATGTTTCATTTTATGACAGACAAATACAGCCCTGATCGCGCCTAAGTAATACGGTGACAGCGAGTTTACACAACGTACGCTCAGAGGACCACGATGTATAATATCACGTGGCCGTCTTGCTGTGGGCCCGGTGCTGTGATTTACTAGTATTTCAAACCAAATAGGTAACGTCCCGATCTCCCGGCAGTCTAGACAGTAATACTGTATATACAATGGTTGAAGAACAAAAAAAACATTGACCCAGTTAAGTCCCATGTGTTTATCCTGAAGCAATATTCAGTGGTAAACATACGTGTATGGTACAGACTCGGGACACACCTGGCACGCATTCTGTCATCACGTTCCAGTGTGACGGTCAACTGTATGATTTATAATGGGTATCTCATCCTTCCAACAAGAACTAGGCATGTCGGTTTTGCTTGCTTGCTTGCTGGATTTCATATGGTTTTTTTGTGTTTTTGTTTACCACTAGACTGCCTTATGGAAACACTTGATGCATTTGTTGTCTCTATTTTACTTATTGGTTCTGAAATATGGGGCTTTCGTAACACCAATAATCGAAAAGGTACATCGAAAATTCTTAGAATTAGCTGCAGGTATAAGACGGTCCACGCCATACTTTATGGTATATGGCGAACGCGGGCGAGAATTGCTCAGTATAAAAAAATGCTTAAAGAATTTACGTAAAGGTGTAATCTGAGTCAGCATTCACAAAAAAACAATAACATCTCATCTTCTATGTTAATATTTAAGATAATTCACAATAAAATAAAGGACACCACTTTCTATATCTTAGTCATATAAAAAGCATCTTTGATATATGTGGTCTTACGTATATGTTTGATTCCCTTGATGATTATGACAAAGCGTACATTTTATTCAACTTGAGAATACCTTTCAGTAAATACAGTCATGAAGAAGTTGTGTCGTCAATTCTTCAAAAGGGAATTACTACGATATATCAAAGACTACCCATCATTTGAAAATTACTTACTTCTGCCTCGAACCTGTCTGTCTCAACCTTTACTATCCTTCCGTATATGTAACCATAAATTGCCAATAGAGACGGGTAGATGGACAGGTATACCTCGTGAAGATCACTTATAAACACTAATGCACTTGGTGACGAATTCCACAATCTTTTCCGTTGCCAATATTCTTCACTATGTTACCGTTTATCAAAAAAGAATTAACTCAATCATTGTGTTTATGGACTTGTCATTTTGCTGTGACATGGGTACAATGTGTGAAGCCCATTTCTGGTGTCCCCCGCTGTGATCAATTTTGGAATATTGTTAAAAGCGGCGTAAAACCATACTCACTCACTCACTCTACTGTCTGTCATCCCGTTCCAGTGTGAAGGGTCAATTGTATGATCTATAATGGTAGTCTCATCTCTCCGACAAGAACTAGGCATATCGTTTCTGATTGCTTGCTGAATGGTTTGGATTTCATATGGTTTGTTTTCTTTGTTTTTTAACGCCGTCCTTAGCGATTCCAGCACATGACGGCGGCCTGTAAATAATCTAGTCTGAGCCTCACGATCCACTGATCCATTGTGAATAAGTAAAAGCGACAATACCATTTTCATAATCAGAAAGATAATAATAATCATAATCATTGTACGGTTCCGAGTATATCATAACGCACGTCACACGCCGTCGGGGTCGGGGTACGATGACGTGATATCAACCATGTCGCGCGGGGGGGGGGGGGGGGAGGCTCATTCCCCGTTCCGTTTAGTCGCCTATGGCAACCAGCGTAGGTTGATGGGGACGTCTATTCTTATCCGGCCTCCCCTACGGGCTGAAATCTGAATCACTTTATCAAATAAAGCATGGCTTGATGCATCGCCCTGTCATGTTACGATAATGTTATAAAACGACAGCGTGTGGAATGTAACCTCCCTGATAAATGGCCGTCCTCGATCCCATAAACATAGGAAAGAAAAGTGTAAATTTGATTAATGGGGATACGGACAGGGGCAGTTTATTGGGCAGCTCTCATGACCCAGGGTAGTATTTGTTTCAAGCTGCAATGCGACACGAAGCCAGCTAGTGTCTTTGATATGACCGGAAAACATGCATTTTCCCACCTCTGGGATATATCAAGTTGGATGTTGTGGAGACTGATATTCTATTTGAAAACATATATTCGTGTAACAAATGTTATATTTGGGATAACACTTTCTTTATAAAGTACAGATTCTCGTATTTTTTTGGGTTGCGTCCGGTCCGGGATTCGAACCTTCACTGCCAGAGTGCACCCCGGGCGGGACTCAACCCCAAAAACGTACGAGAATCTGTATCTTTACAGAGAAAGTGTTATCCCAAATATAACGTTTGTTACATTTGACCATTTTCTGAATGACATTGTGTATTTACTGCTTTCGGCCATGGGAGCCGTGCCAATTTACACTTCTTTTATAGGCATTTAGAACTAGTACAACAGATGATACAGAACATCTCCATCTCAGAAATATTCCCGTCAACAGTCTGCACCCTTTGTGATCAGCCTACTTTAGAACAGCGAGCTACAAAATCCAGAGACTCTTAAAGAAACAGGCCAACATTGATGTAGGTTTTACGAGAAGTCACGCCATTCACAATTAAAGGCACAGGAAAACCAGCATCCAGCCACAAGCTAGAACCATTCTGAGCAGTGTGCCACATTCCGTGTAATTGTGGACATGCTTATATTGGAGAAACATCTAGGACCCTCAAAACCCGAGTTAAAGAACATCAAAGCACGGTCAAAAGATTCAGTCAAAGTGACAGGAACTTTAGTCGATTAAGACTAGTTGTAATTCAGACGTAGTTTTGTAGTCTAGGTGACTGATTTTGGTAGAAGCTCTCGGTGTTTATTTTCCCTTTGTTTACTGAGCCGAGTTTATTCACTCATTAGAGTATAGAGTTAATTGACTCAGATGATAATTGGTCGCAGATGACTCAATTGGCACACGACGCACCGGGTCCATATCTTGTCAAAGTGTTGCTTTAGCTACCTTCTTTTTTATAGCTGTTATACAGATGTTTAGCTAAAACTTGATTATATATTTGCGCTGATAGAATTAATTTGTGATCTTTGTGAGCGCAGAGTAGATTTATTTGCAATGGTCAACCATTAATCCAATTTGTAGTTATTTAATAAACCTGTGAACCTATCACCACGATTACTTTATCACTTTATTCATATTTTGACACCCCTGATCATAAGAGCACAGTCCCGTGACATCTAAGATTTGTTTGTTTTGTTTGTCTGTTGTTTAACGCCGCACTCAGCAATATTCTAGTTATATGGGGGCGGTCTGTAAATAATCAAGTCTTGACCAGACAATGCAGTGATTGATATCATGAGCATCGATCCACGCAATTGGGATACGGTGACACACATCAGCCAAGTCAGCGAGACTGACCACCCGATCCCGTAGGTTGATGAAGACCAATTCTACCCCGGATCTTCACAGGTATATACATGTCAGTATCTCACGCTACTCGTAGTATCATAATTAATATTGTTTTGATACACGAGCTAGCACTATAAATCGGCATCAGTCCGGACTAGTACAAGCAGCCACACAAACACACACACGTACATGCACGTCGCTATATAAGTGCAATAATCTTGGACGCGACGTTAAACCCCATTTCACCTCAACTCCTAATGAGGGTTGCGCCGCAGAACATATCCTAACGCTGCTTAAATGGATGTTCATTATCTGTGCACAGAATCAGTGAATCACGGTTTAAGCTAACAGACACAGGTTTGTCTGACCAAATTTCGGCAGCCGTGATATTGCTGGAATAAGACTGCGGCGTAAAAACACAGTCAGCCGCCAACTACCTGAATAAAAGCTTATAACAGTTCATTGTACGATTCCGACTGCATCATGAACGTTTTGTTTATGAATCACTGTCAAATAGTGTTGATACCAGGTGTTCGCCTAAAACGTGCGTATCTTGCTCCACCGGTGGCATCCGTCACAAACACATGCAAAGGCAAGTCAAGTGTTAACCTTAACAAACATGGATATATATGGAACATGTCATTTTCGTCACTGGTGCATCAAATTTGGAAATGTTGCCCACATAAGTTTCCTTGGGTATCAAATGCTGTAACCCTGACAGCATTTTGATTTTTTTTGTAGAAAGAGCATGCTCAGTTATACGTCAAATATTGTGAAATTTAGACATCAGAGATCTTGTACTCAAACAACTTTCCCTTCAACACCCGATATGTGTCACGGGCAATCATTGTCAATATGATCCAGACCAGAATACATCTTCATTTATCAACGACATCTGTATCAAGGGAGGTATAACACAGAGCCGTGACTCTCTCCACCCGTAATGAGATCGGCTTATGATAATGGCAAACACTGTTTGCTACTGGAGACAGGTTACATATAAAATTATTCCAATGTGGTGTTACACACATTCGTCAGGAGAAATATCCTCTAGAACACACAGATTGCTCAACATGTTATTCTTCTGGCTTTTCTTATTTGGGGTCTTAGAGTCTCAGGAATACAGCCCAATGGGGATTAAGATGTGTGAAGAGAAGTGTCAGATGACGGTCGGGTGCCAAGGAGTATTGTATGACCCGGTACATCTTTCGTGTGAACTTCAGTTTCAGCAAGACCACCACACCAACTTGACCAATTCTGACATTGTCAAAGTTCCCTTAACGCCGAATGGAGAGGTGAGAAAATGTGTTTGCCTTTTGCTCTGACAACCTATATCCTTTCCCTAGTTCCATCTTAGGGAGGGCGCTGGGCCAGTCTAGTGGTTAAAAGCGTCGTCTCGTCACGCCGAAGACCTGGGTTCGATTCCCCAGATGGGTACAATCCGTGAAGACCATTTTCCGGTGTCCCCCACCGTGATATTGCTGGAATATTGCTAAAAGCGGCGTTAAACCATACTCACTCACTCACTCCATCTCAGGGCCGTGTAAGCCTTCGTTTCATCTGACAATTCAGCTTTCCAACTCAACAACTACTGAATACTGCGTTTGTATTCATTGTGTGAACATTTAACGTAGTATACAAAGTCATTCGCACTTAGGTCTCGCACAATATTTACGTAATGACAGCGTGACCTTATTTCTCAAGAACCCTTAATTTTGGAACTTAAAATAGTCTTTCATCTGCTTTTTTAGATGCAAATATGTACCTATTTTTAGTGTTCTATCACAATGTACAGAACGCGGAAGGACTTTGAGCTCCGGCCCTGAACACACCGCTATTGAAACATGTAACGAGTCTATCACCTGGACCCACTTGCACAAAGCGATCTTAGCGCTAAGACTATCGTAAGTCTATGTTAAAGAATGGGAGTTACGATCATCTTAGCGCTAAGATCGCTTTGTGCAAGTGGGCCCAGGAGTTCACGAGCTAGAGCACACAAACATGAGTGACAATATGTATGGAGTGACAAGTGACATCTCATGACACACTAAGCTTCATAATGTGCCACAGTGTGGTCACTGGCCAATCGGATAACAAGGTGTTATGACGAATAATTACAGACATTTAACCTTGCTTGCTCATCATATCATATTTTTAGATGAAATCGTGCTGGTCCAGCTGTGGGGAAGGAAATAAATGCATAATGGGCAACCATCGTCGCATCGTCTGTACACAGACAGGTATGAGACAATTTAGTCGCCTCAAGACACATGGACCTTTTGAGCTGAGCCTTTGTCCAGTGTTTTCAGTTTGAGACGATTCTCGAGACAAATGGGTGTCACGGGGCAAAATGTCTGTAACTTTTTAGTTTCCCCACACCCCACTTTTGTTGTGTTTTTGTAAGAATTAATAATATGCAGAGTTCCGACATTGCAGCTTGTTCCTGCGTATACATGTATGAAAATTATCACACTATTCCTTTTCCTGCCCCTTTATAATGATGTAAGAAATGATTGATCCTTCTACTCCGAGGGAGTTGATCTTAACACTATATTGAATGGTAATGCTAGTTTTACAAAAGAACCTACTGATCTAGATATCCTAAAAGCAGTGCATTCATACATACTCCATTCCAAAAGGTTTAAACTAACGTGAGACTATAAATCTCGCACATATATTAATCTTCTACTCATTTCATCATACTGTTGTCCATGACCTCTTGCTATCTTAACGTAGTTAGTACACCATTATGTTATTTTGTTTAATGCCTTCATGAATATAACTTGTACTGGAGATGTATAACATAAGCCTTATGTCTTATTTACCAATCCAGATTCAATCAATAAAAATATGTTTAAATCAAAATAAATAATACCAAGTTACATCGGGGACTCTTTTTAGAAGGTGTTTTTGTTAACATGTACTACTAATTATAACATGATATTAGAAATGACTGCTATTGACACAGTTGTCTGACTGTAGAGAGGGGCGGTCGGGTAGCCTAGTGGTTAAAGCGTTCGCTGGTCACGCCGAGGACACGGGTTCGATTCCCGACATGGGTACAATGTGTGAAGCCCATTTCTGGTGTCCCCCGCCGTAATATTGCTGGAATATTGCTAAAAGCGGCGGAAAACCATACTCACTCACTGACTGTAGAGAGGATTTGTGATCTTAACAGAAACCGGATGTGCTCATGTAGACAGGTTCTCGTTAGGGTTTGTGATTTAAATAATTGCCCAATGACCATACTGCATATTGGTGCTTAGTGATACAGTATATTATGTTGTGAATGTTATGTAGATAGGATGTCTTTAGGATTTTGAATCCTTTCTTTCTGTTGACAATCTGGCTAATGCAGAAGGAAGCAGTGTTGGGGAGTCTTCACATTCTCCGAAAAGTTCAGGATGGGTTTGACTAGGCACCGCTTCCTGGGAGAAGTCCCATTCAATATCTGGGCTGCGTGTAGAGGGGGCAAGGGTCTTGACCTGATGATGAGCCTAATCAGCCTGACTGTGCCAGGATCACCCAAACCCTCTTTGCTGCATTTTTAAAATTTTAATCTGCAAATAATAATAAATAATATTCTTAATCTTCTTGTTTTTTATTCAGCAGTTGTACAGCAGCCATTATTATAATTGAAATGTACATGAGCAGTTTAGTCCTTAATTGCATAGACTTATAAATATACATAGCCAAGTTTCTGATGATATTAAATTGATCACTTGACATCAAGACATGGAATTTATGTAATGATATAATAATATTCGTATTGTAATAGTTTGTCAAAATGGATAGCATATGTGAAAGAGGATTTCGGCAACCTTGAAATACGTTTCATTTGCCATTAGAAAACCGTATTTTTGTACATCAGTTAAAGGACAAATATTTGTAAAACAAACTAAATAGTCAAGATTAGAAGATGGCATGTAGAAAGTTTGATGAACGATAAAAATGCTTCAATGAACACTCAAATCTGTGCTATTCTAACATTGACAATAAGCGACTTTGTACGCACCGGAAGTTATATTTGCCTAAAACAAGGTCAGTTAAGGGTGTTTCTAATAGACCCTATATAATGCCCTGACACACCTGCGACCAAACATAAAAACAATTAATCACCACATGACAAGTTACATTACCTTCCACTCCCATGAGGGTCTTCACAGGGCTTAGATTTAAACATATTTTGTGTTTTTGACAAGCTGTTACCTGATGTCACACTGCATGCTCGAGTCGTATAGGAGGCACACGAGTTCTCTGCAACTTATGAAATATTTGAAAAAGGGTCATGTAAAAAGGACAAGCGTCAAGACCTTAAAACTTTACACATTTCACCATTGCCTTTTCCGAACTGTGCAATTGGTAGATTGTGTTAGGCGTAATTTATTTGTTTTTTGTTATACACCCTTTTGTAGTTGAACGTTGTGATAATCCACACATCATTTACAAGAGGATGTCGTCTTTGCCTAAATCATGTCAAGCATCATTGTTGAACCTGAAATAAGCAGTATGACCAAACTATCAACTGGGCGAAACTGTTCATATTTATGCAATGCATTTGTTCTCCAACTAGACTTGTGCCGTCGGCTTGTCCAATAATCTTACCGTATCAATATGATTTCTCTTTTTAGAGATTCTCCCGAAAGGACGACGCGCACTAAAAACTGCCACAAAAAGTAAGTATAATTCAATGTGTATATACTGTGGATTCCTGAATGACAGTAGCATTATTTCTTAGCTTAGTCTATTCCTTATTGTTTGATGGACAGGAGAAAATATTTCACGAATTGTATCAGCTTCAATATCTTAAATATATAACGTCAATGCAAGAAAATAACCAGTTTTGATTATCCGTCGAAACTGATTCCGTGCGTTAAGGGCAAATAGCTGAATATTGGTGCTTGGTGATACAGTATATTATGTTGTGAATGTTATGTAGATAGGATGTCTTTAGGATTTTGAATCCTTTCTTTCTGTTGACAATCTGGCTAATGCAGAAGGAAGCAGTGTTGGGGAGTCTTCACATTCTCCGAAAAGTTCAGGATGGGTTTGACTAGGCACCGCTTCCTGGGAGAAGTCCCATTCAATATCTGGGCTGCGTGTAGAGGGGGCAAGGGTCTTGACCTGATGATGAGCCTAATCAGCCTGACTGTGCCAGGATCACCCAAACCCTCTTTGCTGCATTTTTTAAATTTTAATCTGCAAATAATAATAAATAATATTCTTAATCTTCTTGTTTTTTATTCAGCAGTTGTACAGCAGCCATTATTATAATTGAAATGTACATGAGCAGTTTAGTCCTTAATTGCATAGACTTATAAATATACATAGCCAAGTTTCTGATGATATTAAATTGATCACTTGACATCAAGACATGGAATTTATGTAATGATATAATAATATTCGTATTGTAATAGTTTGTCAAAATGGATAGCATATGTGAAAGAGGATTTCGGCAACCTTGAAATACGTTTCATTTGCCATTAGAAAACCGTATTTTTGTACATCAGTTAAAGGACAAATATTTGTAAAACAAACTAAATAGTCAAGATTAGAAGATGGCATGTAGAAAGTTTGATGAACGATAAAAATGCTTCAATGAACACTCAAATCTGTGCTATTCTAACATTGACAATAAGCGACTTTGTACGCACCGGAAGTTATATTTGCCTAAAACAAGGTCAGATAAGGGTGTTTCTAATAGACCCTATATAATGCCCTGACACACCTGCGACCAAACATAAAAACAATTAATCACCACATGACAAGTTACATTACCTTCCACTCCCATGAGGGTCTTCACAGGGCTTAGATTTAAACATATTTTGTGTTTTTGACAAGCTGTTACCTGATGTCACACTGCATGCTCGAGTCGTATAGGAGGCACACGAGTTCTCTGCAACTTATGAAATATTTGAAAAAGGGTCATGTAAAAAGGACAAGCGTCAAGACCTTAAAACTTTACACATTTCACCATTGCCTTTTCCGAACTGTGCAATTGGTAGATTGTGTTAGGCGTAATTTATTTGTTTTTTGTTATACACCCTTTTGTAGTTGAACGTTGTGATAATCCACACATCATTTACAAGAGGATGTCGTCTTTGCCTAAATCATGTCAAGCATCATTGTTGAACCTGAAATAAGCAGTATGACCAAACTATCAACTGGGCGAAACTGTTCATATTTATGCAATGCATTTGTTCTCCAACTAGACTTGTGCCGTCGGCTTGTCCAATAATCTTACCGTATCAATATGATTTCTCTTTTTAGAGATTCTCCCGAAAGGACGACGCGCACTAAAAACTGCCACAAAAAGTAAGTATAATTCAATGTGTATATACTGTGGATTCCTGAATGACAGTAGCATTATTTCTTAGTTTAGTCTATTCCTTATTGTTTGATGGACAGGAGAAAATATTTCACGAATTGTATCAGCTTCAATATCTTAAATATATAACGTCAATGCAAGAAAATAACCAGTTTTGATTATCCGTCGAAACTGATTCCGTGCGTTAAGGGCAAATAGCTGAATATTGGTGCTTGGTGATACAGTATATTATGTTGTGAATGTTATGTAGATAGGATGTCTTTAGGATTTTGAATCCTTTCTTTCTGTTGACAATCTGGCTAATGCAGAAGGAAGCAGTGTTGGGGAGTCTTCACATTCTCCGAAAAGTTCAGGATGGGTTTGACTAGGCACCGCTTCCTGGGAGAAGTCCCATTCAATATCTGGGCTGCGTGTAGAGGGGGCAAGGGTCTTGAGCTGATGATGAGCCTAATCAGCCTGACTGTGCCAGGATCACCCAAACCCTCTTAATATTCTTAATCTTCTTGTTTTTTATTCAGCAGTTGTACAGCAGCCATTATTATAATTGAAATGTACATGAGCAGTTTAGTCCTTAATTGCATAGACTTATAAATATACATAGCCAAGTTTCTGATGATATTAAATTGATCACTTGACATCAAGACATGGAATTTATGTAATGATATAATAATATTCGTATTGTAATAGTTTGTCAAAATGGATAGCATATGTGAAAGAGGATTTCGGCAACCTTGAAATACGTTTCATTTGCCATTAGAAAACCGTATTTTTGTACATCAGTTAAAGGACAAATATTTGTAAAACAAGCTAAATAGTCAAGATTAGAAGATGGCATGTAGAAAGTTTGATGAACGATAAAAATGCTTCAATGAACACTCAAATCTGTGCTATTCTAACATTGACAATAAGCGACTTTGTACGCACCGGAAGTTATATTTGCCTAAAACAAGGTCAGATAAGGGTGTTTCTAATAGACCCTATATAATGCCCTGACACACCTGCGACCAAACATAAAAACAATTAATCACCACATGACAAGTTACATTACCCTCCACTCCCATGAGGGTCTTCACAGGGCTTAGATTTAAACATATTTTGTGTTTTTGACAAGCTGTTACCTGATGTCACACTGCATGCTCGAGTCGTATAGGAGGCACACGAGTTCTCTGCAACTTATGAAATATTTGAAAAAGGGTCATGTAAAAAGGACAAGCGTCAAGACCTTAAAACTTTACACATTTCACCATTGCCTTTTCCGAACTGTGCAATTGGTAGATTGTGTTAGGCGTAATTTATTTGTTTTTTGTTATACACCCTTTTGTAGTTGAACGTTGTGATAATCCACACATCATTTACAAGAGGATGTCGTCTTTGCCTAAATCATGTCAAGCATCATTGTTGAACCTGAAATAAGCAGTATGACCAAACTATCAACTGGGCGAAACTGTTCATATTTATGCAATGCATTTGTTCTCCAACTAGACTTGTGCCGTCGGCTTGTCCAATAATCTTACCGTATCAATATGATTTCTCTTTTTAGAGATTCTCCCGAAAGGACGACGCGCACTAAAAACTGCCACAAAAAGTAAGTATAATTCAATGTGTATATACTGTGGATTCCTGAATGACAGTAGCATTATTTCTTAGTTTAGTCTATTCCTTATTGTTTGATGGACAGAAGAAAATATTTCACGAATGGTATCAGCTTCAATATCTTAAATATATAACGTCAATGCAGGAGAATAACCAGTTTTGATTATCCGTCGAAACTGATTCCGTGCGTTAAGGGCAAATAGCTGTAAAAATTTATGAATAGACAACTGAAAATAAGGGGTAACTCCAGCCAGAGCACAATTCTTGTACACACTTGGAGAAAATAGATGCATGTTGAATTGCCTACCTTGTTTGCATCCTCGAAATCTCAAGGTATCATATCTCCATTCCATCTGTGGCGGCAACTGGGCCTCAGGTATTTCAGAATAGAATGGACGTATACACTCCATATTCCATGATATCTTGTCTATTGGTAAAATAAGAACGTTAATTCTATTATTACATGTATATGTCTCTATCTAAATGAATAACGCCCACGCATCCTTTGGGTTGTAAAGTGAAGCAATCAGAGTCTAATTTACTAATTTCAGAGGAGTCATTTCTCATCCGACAGGTGAAAGGAGATGCCTGTAAGATGGAGGGGAACATGCTGGTAGTATCTGGTGGAAATACTCATGCGCGATGCAAAAACGTGTCTCAGGTTGTCATGCAAAGTAACATTTATAGATCGACATTTGCAATGGCTTTTAAACATAAGAGTGAATTCGTTAGCATTGTGTTCACATATGACAAGGAAATTATTACTGCTAGATGGACACAAGGCGTCGATGAGGTCACTTTTGACTTCCGCTGGCATTCTCATCTGATTAAAGGGGTGGCGATAGAACACATAGTTCCCAACGTGGAAGTTGAAGCAAGCGTAGAATTCAATTGTCATAATGATACATTATCTGTCATCTCAGCTGGTAGGGTACTTGGTACCATGACCCAAATCGCCTGCAAACAATATGCCATTACACTGTCAGTGCATGGTGCCCCGGGGATATATGTTAAGCAACTATAGAACAATTTCTTTGAGAGGCATTTAGAAGTTGGATGCTAAGTAAGGAAAAGATATATGGATGAACAACTTCTTTATTATAATTGGCAGCGACGTTTCGGTATAGGTTCTAACACCGTTATCGCTCTCTTGATGGCGGTGTTGGAACCTACACCGAAACGTCGCTCCTAATTGTTATAAATATAGTCAGGTGAAATGGCGTTTAACGTCGCGTCCAAGATTATTGCACTTATATAGCGACGTGCATGCACGTATGTGTGTGTGGCAGCTTGTACTAGTCCGGACTGATGCCGATTTATAGTGCTAGCACACTGAGATACCATGCCACAGTTTAACATGAATACCCCACTCAGACACAGTATACTGACTCCGAGCCGACCAGTCCTTGTTTTAGCCCCTAAATGCCGAGCGCCAGGCAGGGTAACAATAAGTACCATCTTTTAACGTCTTTTGGTATGACGCGGCCGGGGATCGAACCCCGGACCTTCCGCTCTCCGGGCGGACGCTCTACCATTAGAAATTGTTATAAAGAAGTTGTTCAACCATATTTCTTATCCTTACAAAGATAGAACGCCAATACCGGACTATAACAAGTCTCGGTGGAATAGCCTAGTGGGATCGTCACGCTGAAGGGTCGGGTTCGATTCCCAACACGTGTACAATGTGTGAAGCCAATTTCTGTTTTCCCCCGACGTGATTTTTCTAAGGGCGGTGTAAAACCATGCTCAATCACTCACTCACTCATTAAATTGAATGGTTAAGGGAAAAGCTCATGTTCAATGTACTCCATCCGCATTATTATGAAAGAAACCAAATGCAGTTTTAGGTGACTCGTGACCTATTGGATGTATGTTTGAGTACACGTGATATTAAAGGAAACGGAGATGTCAAGAGTGTGTGTGCTTTTGTTGTATTAATGCCGCGCTCAGTAACATTCCAGCTATATGACGGTGTCCATAATCGAGTAAGGACAAGACAATCCAGTGATTGATATTGTGAGCAACGGGTACGAAGTCCGGGTTCTATTTTTTCACGTTGAAAAAATGTGTGGTGCCCATTTCTGTTGTTACCTGACTTGGTTTTCCTTTTTCTTATATACTTATATGTGGTAATATTCTTTAAACAAGGACAACATATTTTTTGGTAATTCTTACAGTATTGAAAATGAGTTAAGGTTAGTGTTCTTGTTTGGTCTTGAAATGTCATGATTCCTAGTCCCCAGGACCCGTGAAAATTCGGGGTGGAATAGGTCTTCAGCAACCCATGCTTGCCGTAAAAGGCGACTATGCTTGTCGTAAGAGGCGACTAACGGGATCGGGTGGATTCTTGAGTTATGAAAGAAGATTGTTTTTTATTCCGCATATGTATCATCAGTGTCTTGATGACCATTAGGTTCCGGCCATGTGTATTGGGTGGCCTTGCTTGTTGACTTTGTTGATTGCGTGGCCTCGTGATCCGACGGTGTGTCGTCGCTCATGATGTGGATTGTCGAGTCCAGACTCGATAGTGTTGACATGAATATGACCGAAGGCGGCGTTAGACAACTCACAAACGATCCTCGGATGTGGGGCGAGTTGGGCAGGGGCAGTACTGTCATTTTGATTCACAGGTTTGTTTGTTTGTTTGTTTGTTGTTTAACGCCACACTCCGCATTCCAGCTCTATGACGACGGTCTGTAAATAATCGAATTTGGACCAGACAATCCAGTGATTGACAGTCACCATGTTGGATGGATGGATGGATGGATGGTTTGTTGTTTAACGCCGCACTCAGCAATATTCCAGCTATATTACGGTTGTCTGTAAATAATCGAGTCTGGACCAGACAATCCAGTGATTGAAATCATGAGCATCGATCCACGCAATTGGGATCGATGACATGCATCAACCAAGTCAGCGAGCCTGACCACCCGATCCCGTTAGTCGCCTTTTACGACAAGCATAGTCACCTTTTACGGCAAGCATGGGTTGCTGAAGACCTATTCTACCCCGGATCTTCACGAGTCTCACCATGTTGGAATACGATGACATGCATCAACCAAGTCAGCGAGCCTCACCATTCACAGGTACATGTATCAAATCTTGAACTGCAATAATTCCAAGCTTGGTGGCAACCAGTAGCAAGAATCGTACCTCCGTATTAAGTGAGACTCTCTGAAGTAAACACTGTCTCTCACTAAACAAGCTTCCTCAGTTTGTCCATAACATTGGGTTAAGAAGACATGCAATCAACAAGGTCATGGGGACTGATTCTCCGATTCATACATGTGGACGCTTTCGGTTGGGGACCTGTACTATCCTGGAACCCCGGGAACATGGTACCCACATCATGATGGCCCAGCTTGAACGACCGGACAAGGCAAGCAAAACCACGCGACCGGAAACCAGTTGTCATTGTAAGAAACAATTACTCATGTATGGAGGACATAGACCTCGATACTCATTGACTTGGCGTCTCTGGCTA